ACCACTAGGGCACCGCAAGTGTCAGTCCGTGTTTCCATTTGCCAAGGTTCCATTTTGGGTACCTATTTTGGACCCACAGCCGCTCCAAGACTTCAAGGCGATTCGGACTTTCAACAGGCCGTCGGTAAGTTCGGCGGCCCGTCCTGCAAGGAATCAGCACCAGGCGTTCCTGGCTTGGCCTGGAAATGCCGCGTCGCCTCAGCTCTCACCAGAGCCAAGCGGACGGACATTGTGGTTTGATCCCGTGGCTTAAGAATCTCCCTTCGCAACTTGAGAAACACCAAAGCAACAAACGCAATGCAAGAGCTGAGATGCGTATAAGTTCCGCAGGTGTGCCATTCCATACCTGGAGGCCAGTCTCACCACGCAAGCCATCGCCTGCGACGCATGCCCCATTTCCTTTCTCAGTAGCGGACCTGTTGATGAGATAGGACCTCAGCTGTTTTTTCTAGGTTTTGCTCTTCCACGGAATTCGTGGCTCTTGCTGAGCTATAACCGGCAGCAGGTCATGCACGTGTGCCAGTTGAATGCTTCGCTTCAACCGAAGGCTCGCCAAGGCACCCCGTGCCATAGAAGTGCCTCTCCCGTGGTTGGAAGAAGACCCCCGAGCTCGCGAGCTGCAGAATCGCCTGGCCAGCGACTGGCGTTTTGAATTGGAGACTCAGGGGAATTTGGACTGATCGAAAAAAGAAAAAAGAAAAAACAACTCAACGGTACCAAACCTCATGTCAGCCGACAGCACCAAACCGCATGTCAGCCATGATTGCCCGACTGGGGAATCTACGTTTGATGCTGGTGCCTCTCAGTGCTTGCTTGAAGCGCCTGGAACTAACGCCATGGCTAGACTCCTGTGAACAACATTGGTCACATTGGAAACGGCTTCGATTGAAAAGGGCAAAAGAGCAAGCCGACCTTCACAACATCATGAAAGCCCTCTTTCGCTGGAAACTATCTTTCTCCCTGGATGGAAACGACAAACCCGCGATGCTAGAGTGGCGACAACTTGCCCTGATGAAGCCTTGGTGCTGACGGTCGACATCTGCAAGGCGCTCCATCCTACAGAATGCACACTGGGCTGTGGGCAGGCAGTGAAAACACCACATGATTTGTGTTCAAGGCAGGTTTAACACATCCACGCATCCATCCTTCTGGCGCTTGAGCGAGCAGGCGCTCCAAGTCTGCACCGAATTCCGGATAGATCTCGATGTCGTCCTGGAAAAGATACCCCAGCTTGCCACTCAGCGCACGCAGAATCCCGAGCTTTGCAGCAAGCGCTGTCCTCCATCATCAGGGCCAAGCCGGAATTGCCTGGCAGCATGCATGCCCCCAATAGCCCCCACATTTATAAGGCCCCGCCAAAGAAATGCAGACACAGGCCACTGGTTGAACCTGCAACCCCTGGACGAACCCAAGGCCTGCCAAAGCCTGCTCGATGGCGCGCAAGTGAGAAAGGCTGCAAGCCATCTCTGTGTACAGCAGCTCGCTCCTCCCAGTGCGGAAAATAAGCGGAACCGACACACTGTGGGACCGCGGTGCTTCCCTACTTGCCCTGCACAGCATCCACCGCAACAAACCACCAGACAAACGGACAGACAGACACAGACAGACAGAGACAGAGACAGAGACAGAGACAGAGACAGAGACAGAGACAGAGACAGAGACAGAGACAGACACAGACACAGACACAGACATAGGCACAGACAGCCGGACAGCCAGACAGCCAGCCAGACAGCCGGCAGACAGACACACAGACACACAGACGCACAAACAAGAAGACACGCACACAAACGAGCAATCAAACAAGAAAAAAACACAAGCAACAAGCACGCACGCAAACCAACAAGCAGCAACAAACACGCAGGCACGCCGAAGCAAGCAAGCAAGCAAGCAATCAAGAAAGCAAGACAACCAGAAGCAAACATGCACGGACTCACGCACAAGCAAAGCACGCACGCACGCAAGCAAACAGGCAAGCAAGCGCAAGCAAGCAAACAAGCAACCATGTAAGCCAGCATGGCAAGCAAGCAAGCAAGCAAGCAAGCAAGCAAGCAAGCAAGCAAGCAAGCAAGCAAGCAAGCAAGCAAGCAAGCAAGCAAGCAAGCAAGCACAAGCAACGCAACAAGCAATCCAGAAAGCAAGCAAGCAAGCAAGCAAGCAAGCAAGCAAGCAAGCAAGCAAGCAGGCAGGCAGGCAAGCAAGCAAGCAAGCAACGCAACAAGTAATCCAGCAAGCAAGCAAGCAAGCAAGCAGGCAAGCAAGCGTGCAAAGCAACTCAGCAAGCAATGCAACAAGCAAGCAAGCAAGCAAGCAAGCAAACAGGCAAGCACGCAGGCAGGCAGGCAGGCAGGCAGGCAGGCAAGCAATGCAGCTACTCAGCAAGCCAGCATGGCAAGCAAGCAATGCAACAAGCAATCCAGCCAGCCAGCTAGCAGGCAAGCAAGCACGCACGCAAGCACGCAAGCACACACAACAAACCAAACCAAACAAATCGTTATACTCCAACAGCTCGCAGCCCTGCCTGGCATGATGCTGCGGGCACGCATCCGTACAGGCATCAATCAGTTTGGCTTCAACCGCCAAAGCGCCCTTCTGCTGCATGGCCTGCAGCACAGAACGGTGTGATCCCAAAAAATGACAATGGAATCCATTTACGAATGCCCCCCCTCCTTCCCGGGAACAAACAGCAGCAAACCCACATCGATAGCGATGCCAAGCGTATCGGCGGCCTTGACCTCCTCTGCAGTGACTGCTGGTACCCGCACGACTTGCAGCGTCAAGCTTGCCGGCAGGGTCTGCCCTGAGGCACAAGCATCAGGGCATCAACAATAATGGGGCTGCCTATCAGCAGCAAGCAAACCATTGGTTATCGCATATGGGTGTGCCTTTATCTGAAGGTCCCCCTTTTTTGTTTCAAAGAGGGATCCAAGGCAAACCACCCCTCTTGAAGGCGCCCCCCTTCAAAAAACATGACACTGGCGTGCGCAAGCGATCGATCTCAGGCGGTGGACGAAGAGATGAAAACATCTTCTCCATGGCCGTGCGACGGTCTTTCGACTGCTCCAGGTTGATCCAGAAGACCTCGCGGATCCCTGCTTCAAAAAAGGGCTGGCACCTTTGGGTGGTCATTAGCTCAATCAACGTGAGTTAAGTTGTGTTTTCTGAATTGGTTGTATTTCGAGGCTGCTGCTACCTGTTCAAACTTTTCGAGCTTTGCAGCGGGCTTGGGATCTGTTTCAAACTGAATCCCACTAGCGCTTGGCTATACAGGAGTGCGGGTGTGCCTGGCTTCTCTCTGAATTCAATTGTGACTCTAAACATGCAATAGGCTGCTGTTGGCAGTTTCCTGCAAATTTGTAGTATCAAGTCCTACTGATTAGTGCAAGCATTGGTCTTCGGGTGCATTTGGCTGTACGGTGGACAAGGTCGCTTGCTTTGTCTGGGCAATCCCGTGATCGTCGTGTCCAAAAGCAACCAGTGGCATCTGTTAGCATTTAGGATTCGATAGTTTTACTTCGGTTGCACTTGCTTTTGTACTTCTGCTTGTTTGCTCTTGGCCACTTGGTGCGGACCTTCCCCTTGCACAATGTTTCTTTCTCTCTGTCTGTCTCTATCTGCATCTGTCTTGCCAGTGCAGCTGGTGTGGGGCGAAGCCTTCGAACATCTAGATTGTAGCTACAGCCACCAAAAGCTTTTTTGGAGGGAGTTGTTCGAGCCAGTTGTGTGAGCTCAGCTGGCATCTTGCCATGTCCAACGGCTCGGAAAACCGCCAGGTCGCCCCCATCCCGAGCCCAAGGTCCTGCAAGGTCCTGGGTGTGCTTGGACCCGGTGGCGTTGGATCCTCTCCAACCTGAGCATGGCCATGGCCTCTTTCAGACGTAACCCACAAATGGGGTGTCTTCCAAATCAGCTGGTGCAAGATCTTGACAAAGGCGTGCATGTGGCTTTTCCCCTGGTCCTTTTGGTTCGTTTTCCTTGGCAAAGCCTCCCGTTTCGGGCTGGGCCTCTCACCCGTTCACCCCGTGCCAAGCCACAAAGCGGTCCGGTAGTGGACTCACCTCCGAGGAGCTCGCGTCCCAGCGATCCGACGGCGCCTGCGCGAAGGCACGAAGCGATCGCAGGTTGATGGTTTGCATGTTTCGCCTTTTCTTCAACGACGGCAAGTGTCATCTTAGCACCCCTTTGATGCAACAACTTTTGGCGTCGTCATTTCAAAGGGCAAACATGACAGATTGCGACAGACTTTGACCCATACGTGGAAAGGGTACGGCACTGATTTGGGATGGTTGATCCTTGTGTCGGTTGATCCTTGTGTGTTGGGGTGGGTAAAAAATACTGATGTTTACCGTATGTTCGGGCATCTCTCACTTTGTCAGCAAGTATATACGCACACCCTACAACCAGCCCTACACCAACCCTAAAACCACCAGAAACCCATCTTGATCTCGTCGTAAAACCACCCCCAACCACAACGGCAATCAGCTGCCTGAAACTTCACCGACTTTCAGACCCACCGTAAAGCAACCCTAGACCAACCCAAAACAGACCTCAAAACCATTCGATACCCCGCGCCTAACAGAGCTCAAGCCAACAGCTTGCTGATGCCGGGGTGCTGCTGGTGAGAAGTGTGGAACGATGAGAGCCACAGAAGCCAAGTCCACAGCCACAAATAGCCACAGCCACCAGAGCCACAAAAGCCACCCAGAAACGCAGCAAAAGAGAACAATCTGATGGTAGAGGTCTGTTGCGTTTTGGGTTAGCCTATGTTATGCCAGTGCCATGCAAGTATTCACCCAATATTGGCCCATTATTGTCTTTTTGTGGAACTGTTAGGATCTTTCGACACCTTTGCCTGCTTGTTGTGCGGCGCGGTCAGGTGCGAAACGTTGGGCTTGCTAACGGCACCGCGGTCGGAATACCTGGGGTGTGTGAAACCCAGCAGCTCACCCACAAACATGCGCACACAAACGGCGTGCTTGTCCATCTTGTCCAAAGTAGTTCATAATGATGAACAGATCCCATACGAATTTGCATGGCGAAAGGGAAGATATACCAGGCAACCCATGGACAAACGCCTGGCCGAACGCATGGCTTCGCTGAGTCAGTGGCTTGTCAGCCAAGCGCTGGCTCCAGCATTTGGTCTGCGCCATTTTCTTTGCATAGACCATGTGCCTCGCGAGAAGCTTCAATGTGACTCTTCTCTTTGAGGGTTCGCTTCTTCTTGTAGTTTTGAAAGAGAAAGCAAGAGGACGAGACGCAATTTTGCATATTTTGGGGGGGTCCCCTAAAAGAAAGTCCCACGTCTGGCCCTGTTTCTTGTCATTCCCAGTTACCCAGAGCTTGAGGTTCCTTCCAGCCGAGCCACGATTCCACTGGCACAAAGTCCCCAGGAATCCGCGCAGTTGGCGGGCAGGATGCCCAGCGATCGTAGAGATATTGCTGGAAGGAGCACAGGGAGCCGTCCATTTCCTCCCGAGGCATCCAATCCGCAACACGACAGAGGGGCCTAACAAAGGAACTGCAGCAACTGGCATGACAGGCCATGCCCAAAACATCAGCTTACTCGTTCAGGCACGGCTACTGAGCTCCCCGCCCTATTGACCTAGGCCAGTCGAGGGCATCAATCCCCGTCGCTTTCGCTAGTGAGTGGCGCAACATGCTATTGGAGTCACCATGAATTCATCAACTGGTTGGCCATGCGCTGCCACGGTGCAAACTTTTCTTGAAGATACGGGTTGTCGAAGTTCTTTACCATCCAATCCAAATCACCTCAAGTGAGGAGACCCGTGGAGACCTTGTGTACTTTTGTGGCCGTGCACATCCCATGAACTGCATGGGGGCAGTTTCTACTTTCCGAGTTCAGCCAAGCAGCTCTCGCAATCAGGGTAAAGCTCCTCTAGCCAAGCTTGAGATGGCTCCTTGGCATTCAAGGTCAAATGCTGCGATCCGTTCAAAATTCAACGCTGCAAGCCAAAAGGCTGCACCGAAAGCCCCTTTTCCTACCCTTGTGGAGTTCTCCAGCCAGCATGCTTGACTTGCCAAGGCTCAGTGGCATTGCTGACACATGAGTATGCAGTCTTCACCTCTCCCTTTGACGTCAGAATGCCGTAGTAGCGCTCGCTAGGTCCTCAGATTCCGAGAAACATGCAAGTTCCAGTGGGACACGAAGGCGGTGGAAAAAGGACTCCCTGTGAATGCCCCAGGAGCCCCGCACTCATGGCCAGCTGACACCATGCAGATTTGAGGAGCTACGTAGTCTTGTTTGTGCTTTGGAGCTGAGTTGTACAATGTCTTTGGCGCGTGGCTAACACCTGCGCCAAACATTCTACAACACAGCACGAAAACACGAGCTCCACATACAAGAATCACTGCAAGAAACGCACGCGTCGGCTTGCTGCTGCCAGTGTCGCGTGCAAAAGTACTTCTTGCGAAAGAGGTTTAATAAAACGCAACTGTCACGGAGTGCCTGTCTTCAACCGGAACGGCGCGATGGATTAAAGTCAACTTCCTGATCCTGTACTCCCACTTCGGCTGAGGCGCTTGTTCCTTTCGTCTCTTCGTCGAACGCAGTAAATAGCTGCCCGGAAATGATGCGCCCATCTGAGAGGCTGGATTCCATCCTGAACACAAAGCAGGTGTTCGAGCCAACAAAAGCACGTGAGGACTTCACACTATCCACGGGCTATACCCAAGCGAGTCAGAATCAAAACCCGGTAGTCAAATGGTCTACCCAGAACCATGCAAAGAATTCAGAAGGCGGCCGCAGCTATTTCTGGCTGGGACTGCCCCTTACTAACCTTCATCTACCCGGGTTTTGTTTTGAGCACGTGGCTCAAGTGAACCCATTGCAAAGGCTCCACAGCGCCACGTTCTTCACGAACCGCTCTGAGAAGGGCAGCGTCGCGTAAGAATAAGGCGTGGAGCTGGCGGCGCCGCAGCTTGGCCACCCGGTTTCTCCTGCAACGCGAGCGTATGGAAGAACCATCCGTAAAAGCCCCAGCTGCACCGACAGCAGAGCAGGACCAACCAAACCAATCAACAAACAAGCAACAAACAAAACAAAAAGAAGCAAACAAACAAACAAACAAATTGGCCAGAAGAAAAAACAAGAAGCCAACCAAACAACAACAGCCACAAAGCTCAACATCCAGAAACAAACAACCACACGCACATACCAACACGTCTGGGGTCCTACAGCCAGCGGCAGGTTGTTGTGTGGGAAGTCCCTGTCCAATGCTATGCCTTGGATGGTGGCTGCCCTTCCCTTTCACCAGGGGCATCTCAAGTCGTGTACAGTGCCAGCTGCCATTTCTCCACCCTTGTAACAAATCATAGGCACAAAAAGGAAAAGGACAGTATTTCGACCAAACTGCGCAAAGCAGAGATCTGGTCGTTGAGGAAGTTCATCTCAGGGCCTGTGAGGTTGTCCATGGCGACACCTCTGGTGCCAGAGCTGAGGAAGGGATAGATGTTGATGGTGAAGTAATCCAGGAGGGGAAGGACATCTTTGTACCTTGGTGGAATGGCCTCGTAAGCCCCCAGGCAGGATCAGGCACTGACCAATTGAGCCACGGTCAAAATATGTGGATTTTGTGGATACTGGAAAGTTGGTGTTCCCTGCTGCTGCGGGAAATCTAGTGAGCATCCTCCTGCCCCTCCCCAAATTGACGATGGACTGATACAAACTGCTTGATATTCTGACCGACTTGCTCCTGCAGGGTTGTGCCATCAAGGAACCGATCAATAAACTCTTTCTCCAGCTTGGACTTCTCCACTGGATGGCTGCGATGCATGATGGAGTATGCAAATGGAACAGTGACCTAGGTCAGCTTTCCGCTTCGCAATGAGTCCGGTCCGCACATGCAGCCACGCACTCGCTCCATGGCATAGGGTCTGAGCTCGCTTGAGCGACACTTGGAATCCAGCCTGCGCCTCGGGAATCTCAGCCTTGATCGCCTTGATGACATCCACCACCCGATCCTCATTTTGAAAAAGAAAGACATGGCGCGGTCACAACCAGGAATCACCTTGTGGTCCCATTCAAAATGACACCAACATGACACCACCCATCAGAGTGATACCTATTGGCACATTCATGTGCAACTGGCCTGGAAGACACCGCTCCGATCAGGCTCGTTGCCCACAGCAATGTGCAAGCTTCCTGTCACAGGCTCAGGGAACGCCAAACTTGCGGGGGGAAAGCTAGGCGCATGCCTTTTGAGTCCAAGCACGTTCTGGCTTGATTGGGCAACCGCTGCAAGAAAAGACCATCCTGCTTCCATGGTTTAGCCGGGGAATCTGCTAACAACTCTCACGATGCCTCTAAAGTCATCTGCGACTCCGCGGAGCCAGTCCATGTCAACAAAAGCCAGCTCCTAGGCGGGAGAGTTGCCTCAGAGGGGCTCTTCTTGTTTCATGATTGCCCCCCCCAAAATGGCGCAACGGTGTTCCTTTTGGTTCCCCAAGCCACAAAAAAGGGGGTTGCCTCCAAACAAAACTCAGAACGAGCAGGCTGCTTTTCCCAGAAACGTGATCATGTGGGGAGGCTCACACACACACAAGCGACGGTGACTGAACCTTTATTGGCCGTGACTGTACCCGAGGCATCACCAAGAGGCATACGATGCCCCGTTAAAGTATAGCCAATTCTGATGACTGGGCGGGGTGGTGAATCCAAAGTAGGAGGTGATTGCACCCGGCCCGGGTAGAAACAGCTTCCTCCCCCCAACCAAAAAACAGGGAACAAACTCACAAGGAACTGTTGACGATTCCGGGACTCCTTGTTGCCAATTCCCACCACCAGCTCTTTGACAGAATAGCCGCCTTGATCTGGCCGGCTGGACTGCCTGACAAGCTCCTGGCTCGAAGTCGACAGCCCACCCACCGCAAGCAGTGGAGGCCATCTCTCACAGTCACAGCCTGCTTATTCCCGTAAGAGCCCCAGCGCGAATTCTGGTCGGGCATTCATAAGCTGCCCGCGTGAACACCGCGACTCGAATTGCTGTGGCTTCCAGCGCGCTCCTCCACAATGGCACGATTGGAGGGGGCCAGATCGTAGGTCTTGACCTCACCAAGAGAAAGTCGGCAAGCGAGGCTGGGCACCCATGGGAGCCAGGCACGCTCGATCGGCTTTGCCAAGCCCAGGTACTCCTGCAAAGGATCGAAGGCGTGACAAGCTCGACGCAAAGCTAGCAGCATCGCAGGCCTGGATCCGCGGAATGGCGGCGATTGCCTGCAAGGGCAGAACTACCCGGCCCATTCTCAGAAAGTTTGCCCCCGCACATAGATAGATAGATAGACAGACAGACAAACAGACAGATAGACAGACAAATAGATAGATAGATGGATGGATAGATAGATAGATTGATTGATTGATTGATTGATTGAATGATAGATAGTTAGATACCTGTGCATGTTTTTACGGAGGGAGAGGGAGAGAGAAAGCGAGAGAGAGAGAGAGAGAAAGAGAGAGAGAGAGAGAGAGAAAGAAAGAGAGAGAGAGAGAGAGAACGAAATAATAATAATAATAAAGGAGAGAGAGAGAGAGAGAAAGAAAGAAAGAGAAAGAGAGAGAATTTCACATTGTACTTCTTGTTTGCATTTCATATAATGCATTATGATATAATATAACATCATGTAACATATGTGTATACAAATATTTGTATTTCACATACACGTACATATACATCAGCAAGAACAGAACCCAGCCTCACTTACCTGAAGCGGATTCTTCATCCACTTCACGGAAAGGTTGATGCCCACCTGCACATCGCAAACGACCTCCCAGCCTCTGTTTAGACCCATTGTGTCACGCCTTGCTGGCTGCTGGCTTCGCCTGCGCTGACTACCCAGGCAGGGAGAGAAACGCAGCATGCGACTCTCAAGGCTCAGGATGCAAGCTAATATGGAACCAAGGAAGACCAAAACCATCTGCACGCCTTTGTCTGGAGTCAACATTGAACAAAACGCTTGGATCATCTGCACAACTTTGCGCATCAAGGCATGGTACAAAACAAAACCCCGTATGGCTCGCACGTGCCCAACACTACTGGCTAAAGAGAAAGTGGCATCTCCGAGAAACGGGACTCCCGCACTCCCCCCACTGCGACGCCATGCCTTCACAGGATCAGAGACGGCAAGGCCCTTTGGGTTCTCCTCCTCCATCCGGGAGCTGCCCTGACAAGCCCAAGGCTAGTGCAGAATCAATGGAAGACGGGGCCGACGAAGGCTGACGACTTAGGGCTTATATTCATTTTGGGCGTCACATGGTCTCACGTCTGTTTTGCTTGCGTGTTTGCACGTGTGTATGCTTATTCATGTTGGTCCTTTTTGTGTGTGCTTGTTTGCTTATGTATTCATTTGTTGTTTGTTTGCGTGTTTGTTGTTTGTGCTTGTTTGTTTGGTTGTTTGTTTGTTTGCGTGATTGCTTGCTTGTTTGTTTGTTTCCTTGTTTGTTTGCTTGTTTGTTTGTTTGCTTGTTTGTTTGTTTGCTTACTTGTTTGCTTGTTTGTTGGTTTCTATGTCTGTTTGTTTCCATCTTTCTGTGTTGCCTTGTTTGCTCGCTTGCTCGGTTGCTTTGTGTCTCTGATTCGAGGCCGTTGGTTGCAATGGAGCCATCCAATTGGGGGGGAATACGAAGCGAACAGACAACACAAAACAAAGAAGCATACAGACCACACGAAACAAAAAACAAAAACACTCAAACAAAACAAAAACAGAAACAAAGCAAAGCAAACAACCCGGTGCAACACAATACAACACATATGCAAAACACCAAACAAACAATACGAGACGAACAAAAATACAGACCACACGAAACAAAAACAAAAAAACACTCAAACAAAACAATAAACAAAGCAAACAACCCGGTGCAACACAATACAACACATATGCAAAACACCAAACAAACAATACGAGACGAACAAAATGCAGACCACTAGGACAAAACGGAAAACAAACCAGTAAGCAAGAACACACAAGGAACAAAATGCAGCACAAGAAGCAAAACGCCAAACCAAACCAAACCAAACCAAGAAGACAAACAGTACACAACGGACCATGCAAGCAAGACGGATGGACAGACGGATGGACGGACGGACAACTGAACAAGCAGACAAACAACAAACAAACTTGCAAAGAGAAACAACCGAACTGGCGAACAAACGCGCAAACACACAGCACACACACACAGACACACAAGCGTAAGATCGTCTGAAACAAGGTTCCAGCAAGGCGACGCTCCTCTTGACATCAGCTCGCAGGGGTCCGGAGGCCACAAGGCTCCATGTGTTTCAGGCCCCTCTGCTCCACTTCCTGTACCAATGTGGGGCTCCCATCTACATTCATGAATTTCTCTGGTGGACTCCCGTAGTTGGTATCAGCAGACGGGACCAACTGCTTTGAGAAACGCCCAAGTGAAGCCTGGGCCCGCGTTTCCGACTGCCTGGGAGTCGATGCGCACAACGCGCCGGGATTCCGTCTGAAGGAGCTCCGCCGCCTCCGCCCGGGCAAGGGCCGCTGTGCCCAATTTGAAGGCAGCAAAGCCCGGCAGAGACAAGGAAAATGAAGTTACAAAAGATAAGAACAAATAGTTTGGAGCGTAGTTCTTATTCTTTTCTCTGTCTCTGTCTCTCTCTCTCTCGCTTTCTGCTTCTACCCTTGCTCTTTCTCTTGCTCTTTGTTCTGTCCCTTTCTCCTCGTCTTTCTCTTCATCTTCTTCCTTCCCTCGCCTCTTTATCTTTCTCTGTCTCTTTCTCTCCTCTCTTTCCCTTTCCGTTCTTTTTTTTTCTCTTTCTCTCTCTCTTCCTCTTCCACTTCCTCTTTCCCTCTCGCTCCCTCTCTCTCCCTCTCGTGTGTTCTTTCTCCTTCTCTTTTCTCTTTCTCTGCCTGTGTCTCTTTATCTTTGTCTGTGTCTCTACATTGAGTCTTTCGAGGCTAACCCCCCCCCCCTCCAAAATCCGCAGAGCGTTCTGTGAGCGCAGCCAAAAAGCACACCAAAAAAAAAACAGAGGCAGAAGACGCACGATGTTGGCCCACCGGCCCCCCGAAAGTCTGCAGGCAACTTGTTGCAGGTCGACCCATCGAAGGTCTGCGGAAGGCTCACCTTTTGATAGCGGCTCAGCGGCTCAAGCAGAAGGAGAGGCTTAAGAACCACGAGCTTTTGACGGTAGACCCGCCCATTGGAGGCTGCGAAGCAGTGCGCCCAACCGTGCCAATGGCCTCGTCTGCAAGACAGCTCGCTCCGCACCCGCCGCCGTCAGTGCCATTCTTGAAAGCAACCCGCAAGTGCATGCGTTCTTAAGCAGAGCTAGCTCAATTAGCTTCAGTGCTATGAAAGTTCTTGTTCAACTTCCTTGGGGTTCTGTATTTAACTTGTTCCACCACCAGAAAAAATACTTGCCCCCCTGAACTACTCCGGGCCATTCCCAGGCCTCCAAAAGTGGCCTACTGGGGGAGTACAACTGAGGTAGCAGCTGCGTTTATTGCTAATGTTGCTGCATCCTATTGTCCCCGCAAAAAATGCTCCGCACGCCCCCAAGCTCCAGCAATACCAAACAAAATGAAAACTCATCTCAAAAGGAAGCTTCAGCAATACTAGGACAAAGGGAGACATGGGAGATCAAATCCAATTCTAAAGTAGTATTGCCCAAAATAGAATACGAACATAGTCTACCCAGATTATCGTGAGCTCAAAATTTGGCGTATGCTGCAAGCCCTTCAAATGTCACAGCAACATTTGCCGCACCACCTGATGGACCCGAATTACCTACTACCCGCCACCCCGCAACAAAAACACAAACAAACAAACCAACAAACAAACAACAAACCAGCCAGCAGCGAGCAAGCCAACCAACCGACCAACAAATCGAGCAAGCGAGCAAGCGAGCAAGCGAGCAAGCGAGCAAGCGAGCAAGCGAGCAAGCAACCACCGACGCATGCGGCAACACTGCTGCAAGTGATGCGTCAGCCCTCTGCCTCTCCCGGCCCTGCATCTCGCAGGACGGCGCAAGTCTGGGAGCCGACCTGCGCCACTGATTGCCACTCGTCAAAGCATGACGTGTGCCGCTGGTGCAACGCAGCAAACTCGGTTGTGCACCCCTTGGCTCAGTGAGCCGAGCCGGACTACCGACAGTTGTGACTATGGCTCATGCAAAAGAGCCTCACAGTCAACGGGTTCACTGCTGGCCCAAAATACTAGGCCAGCAAGAACCTGAGTAGAGTGCAGGGCAGAGCAGCAGCCAACTGGTGCGTCTGGAGCCCTTGCGCCGAATCAGGACATATCTGCCATGCCTTTTCAGGACGCTGAGCTCCCGGCTAGCCATCTCTGCAATGCTGGCATCTGTGCTCAACCGCGAAAGATCTTTTCAAGTATTAAAGGTATGGATAGAGCGTGCAGGAAGGGGTTGACTCCTGCTCCGAGCCGAATACGGCTGCGAAAGGCGGATCAAGAGCGTCTCCGCGCTCTCAAAGGTTGCTCCATAGCTCTCAGGAGCAACCCTCCCCTCCCAACATTCCCTCTAGGGCAGCAAGACTAGTGCAACAGCTCTCTAGGGTGATGGCTCCCTGCAGCCGAGAACATTGTCCCATCCTGGCCAGTCACCGTCAAGACTCTTGGCCAGTCCAACCGGTTCTGCATACTCAAAGCGCTAGACGCTCGATTTGTTCGTTTCCTCAAGCACCGCAACGCTGGGTCTGCGACCTGGGTCTTGAAAGTCCCCAGGCCCAGTAAAAACAGATTGCAGCTTGCCAAGATGTGCTGGCAGTTTCATGTGTTCAATACCTTCCTGCTCGGCAGTGCTTGGTCAAACTGCTCATGCAAACAAACCGACTAAACCAACAAGGCATTCCGGCCACATGCGGAACCTTTGCCGACAGCATAGCGCCACAGCTTACATTTCGAATCTCGAAACTCCGATTTCCAACTTCCCAATGTTGAAGGATCCGCTGAATCACCCTGACTCTAGGATTGGGGCTGTGATCTGCAAATCTAAGGGGTTCAACTGGAGCTGTGTCATGGCGCAGCTGACCAAAGGGTGAAACCAGCTTACAGGCAAGCGCCTCGCATTAGCATTGGCATGGCACCCATGTCCTGCAGTACTGCAGTCACGGGACACTGTACACAAAGAGGCCATGGTAAGGAGCCGCTCGCTTCGGGGCAACCAACACCCTAGAGCTGCAGACCTTAGCATGCGCTCCAGGAAAATTGCCCTGGGTTCAGCTCAGCGATAAAGGATGGGATACATAAGCAGCACCGCAGATGGTAGATGATGTCATCTACTCCCAGCCACCCCAGTCTGCGCCTGCCTTGGGTGGGCAATGGCTGCTGGACCCTTCAGTTGCCCCGTCCCGAACTCAAACGGCCCTTGGTCAGGGTGACATTTTGTAACTCAAAAGATGCCGAGCGGCGTTGATGAAATACACCTGTCCTCAGCTCTACCATAGCCCATGCGCCACGCCCAAGGCCAAGGTTTGCTCAAACATGAGGCAGCCAAGACGCTGTCGCGAGTGACTGGTGGCAGTTTTGGAGAAGGTGGGGCGATAAGTTCCGTCCCGAAAAGTGGCACCAGCCTCTCGGGTATGGCATGTCCAGGGTGCGGCGGAAATCCCATTTCTAGCCGAGTCATAGTTTCAAGCGGCTTAAGGGGCATGCAAGAAGAGCAACTGTAGCTCAAGAATCAAGAACCCAATCTGTCTTCATAGATTTGCGGATGTCCCCTGAACTCTGGCGATTTTGTGGCGCCCCTTGCGTGTCTCACAGCCGACTTTGTCATAGGCCTCTCTTCCACTCTGGCTTCGTTCCTGGCAAAGCGCCAGCCCTCCGCGGAGGAACCCGCCAGCTGTATTGTCGTCTCATAGCCTCGCTTTGCTCGGGTGGACAAACGCATCACTTGGGGGCATGACAAATGCCCCAAGAAAGGCATTCTCGCATTTGGGCAGACATGTGCAAGAACAGCCCCCCCCTCCCCCCAACAAAAACAAAAACATCATGCCGAGGAGCTGTATGCAGTTACCTGGAAGCGCTTCACTTCGGAATAGGTCCCATCCACCCATCTCACTCGGGCATCTTGCTCTGATGCCTTGTCAAAAGTGACCTGGGCCAGTCGCGCGTGCTTGCGCTGTCCCTCCCTCCTTCCCTTTCTCTCTCTCTCTCTCTCGCGCTCTCTCTCTCTCCCTCTCTCAGTCTCACACAGCCCCAACACCCCAACGCACGTTTTTGGGAATGGTTTCGCACAAGTCTGTGGGAAGTGTTCCGATTCCTGCGGACAAGACGGTGACGAACAGCCGAGTCACAATGGCGCCCTCCAGCTGTGGTCCAAGCCCAGCCAACGGCACGCTGCTGCGCCCAGATAGGAAGGCAGCCTCCAAGCGGTTTCCTGCCTCCTTTTGGTAAGGGGTCACTTCCTCAGAGCAAGCATTTCACGACGTGCATGGGCTTGCACTTGCTCCCTGACACGAAAATCCATTGAACCTTACCTACCTCTTTCAATATGATTGCCAACCAAGCATCGCCAGTTGCCTGGTTCAGCGTCATCCAGACCTGGGTAGTTCAGTGCTTCAGCACTCAAACCAATGGGTCACCCGATGCAGCTCATCAACAGGAACAACTGATCTCCCGGCGGCTCGCGTCTCTCCTCTTCTGGAGGCACCTTTCAAGAACGTCCGCGCCTCTCGCCTTGCTTGGGGCGTCTCCTTGGCTGGGGCGCATTGGGCCAGTGGCTGCTGGAACGGGCCACAGATCCCCCTACCCCTTGCCACTTTGCCAGGCATCATCCTCCTTCCTGGAGCGTGGCGTGTCCAAGTCCACCGGCTGGATTGCTGCGGAGAACCTGGGGCCGGTCATCTCGCCCTCCTTTCCCTTCGCCCGAAGGCTGATTTGGGACAAGGATTGGCATTCAGGGAAAGCGATGCAAGTGTGGCATAGAACGGGCCTTGTGGTTGGGACAACGCTTGGGTAAACCTTGGAGCAACGTCGAGCGGTGTCAGAACTGCTTGAGAAGGTGGATTTTTTGAGGGTGCCCCTTTGGGGGGTTGTTTTTTGGAGCTTCCAGTTTTACCGCAGTGTTGATCTTTCGGTAAGGCATGGGAAGTGTTGCGAGCGGGGGGGAGGAGTTGAAAACAAGCCCCACCAGCACAAAATGGCCGTCAACCTGACGGGGGCTTCTACGTAGCCGTGCCGAGCGAACGCGCCCGAAATCCCCCGCCTGTCCCGCTCGCGCCCGAGGCTGGCGGCGCGCTTGGTGAACCACTGGCTCTCGGTGCGGGGGCGCATGGTCACCCTGGCGATGAGGAAGCTGTCACTGGGGGCTGGGGCTGGGGGCTGGTTGCTTGCTACGCTTGTTGGACTTGGTTCCCAGACACATCAAGCCGCATCGGATTCGGGCCATCTTTGAGGGTGTAAAAGCAACTTGAGGAAAGAAGCGCGAGAGAGAATGATAAGGAAACAAATCATCCATGTTGATGCCACGATACAAAGCTTGACAAAGGAATGTAAGCAACGCAATGAGGCTAGCTGCCGGCACAGGCGTTCAATCTGTTCGGATGCAAAATTATGTGCACCATTTAGAACAGGGAAACAAAGTCCAGTTTAACTGCAGCCAAGCTTCTCCCTCCCCTCTGCCCGACCTTCTTGCAGGGCCACATCAGCAGAGCTGGCCTAGGTTTGACTTCTACAATGCAGATTCTCAGCGGATCTAATCCGAGCAAGATACAGACAAGTTTGAAACCGGTTAAAATATAATAGAGGTCACAGGGATCCCTGCAACTGGCGGTTTTTTGCTTCCCTTTGCATCAACCCCAACAAGGGGTTTCTAAAAAGAAAAAAGAAAACCTAAATCGGCAACGCGAGTCTTCATGCGCAGCGGCTCTCGTCGATGCGCTCGCACTCCTTCGCATCTTGGACTTCCTTGGGCCATGTTCAGGCGAGTTCGTCTCGTCGAACTCGAGTTTTCGCGGGGACAAAGCCTTGACATACACCTCACACAGTGAGAGCCGAGCAAATCAAGTTGAAACAACAAAGAGACTCGTGTCAAATTGAGGGGAGGGGACGAAAATACCCTTCAAAAAGGGTACCCTTAAAGAAACACATACGCCCAAATTGTCTCAGAGACGGTCCCGCCTGGTTGAGCACCAAATCTTCCACAGTCAGATTTCGTCCCTCATCCGGGTGGGCCAAATCCTTCCAGGGATCCCGCAAATCCGCGCCCTCGCGGCACATCTGCGCGAAATTGCTTTTGAAGGACAGTTCCAGGGGCCTCAAGGGTGAAGGCGGCCGCTCGGGCCTGGGTTCAGGTTTCTCCTCCAGTGCCTTGGCGAGGTTGCACTCCCGCAACTTCTTGAGGTCGCTGCCGCACTTCTTCAAGTCCTTCTCAGTCACGACAATTTGCTCGGCTCCAGGTCGCTTGGGCGGAACCGGCGGCCGCTTGGAGTATCCAGTCGCCGGCTCGATGCGGGTAGTACGGACCAAATGCAATGCATGGTCGCGAGGACCCTCTTTCGCCGGGGTGCTCACAGAATAAACAACTGGACCCTCTTTGCGCACATCCTTGCGTGGCGCATGAGTCCACTCTAAAGGGCGTAAGCCCATACCTTTGTCCATTCTGTCTGAGTCCCTTGACATAGCCCGTTTGTCTATTCTGTCGGAGTCCCTCGACATAGCCCGCTTCTGAAAATCCCTGCTGCCTCTGCCATCTCTGCCTTGCGAAGAGGCCCTTTCTTTGGACAGGCTTCGACTGAGGTTGGGCCGAGACTTTTGGTTGCGGGAGTCAGGTCGCTCCAGCTTCAGTGTCGATTGACGGCCCTCCTCCTGGTCAAAGCCTTCGAGGTAGCCCAGACTGCCCAACTTGATGGTTGAGTTCAGAAGCATCGCTGGCCAAGCTCAGCCAAACTTCCGTGTTAACCTGAGGTGCGCATTGCACCTTGAGCCTTGGCACATGCATGCGCCACATGCAGCCAACTCCTTGGGCCTTCACATGTAATGGGCCTGTTCTGCAGGCGGCATTTCTTGCAAGCGTGGCAACAGCCCCGCGCCTAGCCAAGCTGCATTCGGTCAAGGTGGGGGCCACATGGCGTGGCAAATGTCTTTGGAGGCTTCGGGCCGAGACCAAGGCCATGGGCTATGAGCATTCTTGGAGGCGTGCAGCATGCTCTCATTGGTGCCTGGCGCACTGCGAAACCATAAGCCGCAGGCGCTCTTTGCCAGCTGCTGGCTCAATCTGACTGAGCGGTCATCGTGGCCCACCGGCCACTTTTGCGGAAGTTGTGAGGCCACTGCTCAAGCGCAGGAAAACTGCGCACAACGCCCAGTCGCCGCTAACTGAAGCCTTTCCATTTTGGATTGGCCGTCCTACAAGACATTCCGATGCGCCGGCTCAAGCTGTGCCGGCGGCTTGCAGCTATCCAAGGCCATCATGCTGGCCAAGCTACCTGAGGCAAATCACCATGCTAGCAAACTCCGATACAAAGTGTTGTCAATTTTGAAGAGAAATTCGGCATCACTTCCCCACAAGCATAAACACGGCGCGTTTATAAATACAATACTTCCAAACACCCTCGAAATTCCCAAAAAAAAACACGATATGTTTTGGGATTCCCACAAATTCCAAAAACAAACTCGAGAATCCGGTCTTTTTCTCTGGCCGGGCTCGTCTCACAGAGATTCGAAGGGCAGTGGTCCGGGCCATGGAAGGGTTGCCAAACTTGCTGACCTTGTTGCAGGTTTCCGAGAATGATCATATGACTCCTGGCCAGATGCTTGCGATGACCCAGCAGAAATGTCTAGGGCCAGGCACAGCTCCTCTCTCACCAGCTCAATGTCAAGCACGTGCGCCGCTATGCAAAGCCGCGAGCAAACCCATCGTCATCTTGCAATAGCTGTCGCCATACTTCAACACATGCCGCATTCGCAGTCGTCAAATCCCATCGGCCACTCCGGCCGAATCCAGAGGCAAAGGCGGCTTCAGCCATTCCTCACTGGGTGGCGTATGGAGGATGCTCACCAGCTGCGGCAAGGAAGCAGACACAACGCTCCGCAGCTCGGTCTTGGTTTCCGGGGTGCGTTTCGCCCGCTTGGAACTCGGCGTTTCGCAGCTTTCGGATTCAAGCGCGCGGTCCAGGGCCTTGGCAAGTTGCACCTGCGCGAATCGCATGACCATGGTGCCCGGCTTTCACGACACACCTCCTGATTACATGTTTTACCCATGCAAAATGGACGAGGGCCTCGTTGAATCATTGGGAGCTGCTGGGCCGGCCCACAAGCTGAACACAAGAAGCTGCAAAGCCAGCCTGAGAAATGAGAAGCTAAAAGGGATCCATGAAATACATCCAGGTGTTACAGAGCGCCAGTGCTACCCTTTCATCAAGCAAGCCACCATTCATTGCTGGAAGAGGCTGCCAGGCTTCCGTGCCATCTATGGGCCCGTGGGTGTGCCCCAAATTGCCCCATCACCAAGAGAATTGCAAGACCTGCAAAAGCAAGAAACACACGACTTGCAACATTTGCAACCATGAAACTGGGTTATAACCATAGCCCAAAAAGAGCAATGATTCCTTGGTTCCCTCCTGCAGGGGGTGGAGCTGCTGCAGCAACCGGCGCTGCACCTCGGCCTCCTCCTCGCTTCGCAGCCGGCGCCCGCAGCGCACCAAGCGCAGCGCCAGCTCTGCGTGCTGTTGCCGGGCGCGCTCCTGCGGGCGTGTCTCGAATGGGAAGAATGGAAACCCGAGTTTTTGGTGTGATCTGTCCTTTTAACTCCACCCCGAAAAGGGGATGGCACACAGACCTGAAAAGCAAGTAATCCGGTATAAAGACATAGAGCAGGCATGGAATGGGACTGAGCTTTTTATCTTGAAAAAAGGCCATCCCTTAGGCCTGAGGCAAACTTGCTGGCAGCGTGAGCGCGCAACGCGCCGCCACCACGGGCCAGCAAAGGGCGCACCATGGGCTGGCGGAATCGCGGCCTCCCCGGCCTGCCACAAGAAACCATTTTTTGGCCAAGGAGGACGGATGATGCGGGAAGTCCAAAACCACGTCTGCTCCCCAGGACTCTTCCCGGGCAGCGTCGCACAGCGCCCTGGCGCCGAAATCATGGTCACCCTTGGGGGGATAGAACTGCATCGCCAACTTTGCTTGGTCCGTCGTGACCTTGTGCAATGATGCAAATAATGTGTGGAGCTTGCCCTGTGGGATGCTGGTCGGAATGGGCTCAACTTTCATTGGCGTTGCTGAAGGGGAAGCAGGTGCAGTCCGTGGGTTGATGAGCCATTGCACCGCGCTCACAGAAAGGACACCATCAGCAACCCCCGCACGCAACGGGAGTGGCTGGGACATGTCTGCCAGCACTCGGTCACTGCGCCTTGCAACCCAAACCAAGCCGTCGCTCACGTCGCAGTCGCCTTCGGACCCGCCAGTGGGTTGGACCCGGATCCCTGACAGAGATGACTCCTGAATCTCCGTGGTGAACATGTGGGCGCTGGTGTCAAATGCCAGGACGTATGCTGCGCCCCCGGCTAAGGCCTGGAAGGTAAGGGTACTGAGGCCACCGCCTGCACCCAGGTCCAGGATCAGGCCATGCTTCGTGGGTAGGCCGCCTAAAGAGACCGCAGCTTGGGTGAGCTCTGCCTGGAGTCGTGCAGCCCTGGGCACCCGATGATATCTTTCAGCCTCGCCTTGCTCATAATACTCCTCAGCACTTTGCTGGATAAATGACTTTCCCAGTCCCAACACCTTCTACTGCCTTCGCTCCCTTCCATGTTCCTGTTGAACTTCAACATGCCAAAACTCACAAACCAAATCAGCCACATAACAACACTGCTAAATCCTGTGCTTCGCCTCTAGAATACCTCCCAAATGCCAAAAAAATGACTTTATAAACAAAGAGCTCCCGCTGGTGCAGACACCTCAGGATGCAAATGAGCACGAGCACGCCCCCCACGACCTTCGCCTTTGCGGCGACGAGCCATTGCTCGTTGGCTTGAGCAGCTGATTGCGTCCAAGATGGTCCCAAGTGGCTAGACCAAATATAACCTAATACAGCCCACAACTGCCTCAATGTCAACAAATGTAAACGCTGCAATGCCCACAGCACTGGCGCCAGCGTTAGTTGCACAGTCTACACCGGCCAACTTTGCAGCTCGTGGCACCTGCTGCAGCATCAGCTGCACTGCCGCTCACTTAGCATTGCGCCTCCCCCTTGCACCAGCCCTGATTGGCACTGCCTCCAGCAACATCACCCGCGCCGCCAGCGCCGCACCCAGCACTATCATCCCTATCATCACCATCATCAACACTATCATCCTCATCATCATCATCATCATGATCAAAATCAGCATCATCAATCATCACCATCATGATAAAATCAACATCAGCATCATCACCATCATCATGATCATCACCATCATCATCAGCATCATGATCAAGATCAGCATCGTCATCATCATCATCATCATCATCATGATCAAAATCAGCATCATCAATGATCACCATCATCATAAAAATCCACATCAGCATCATCACCATCATCATGATCAAGATCAGCATCGTCATCATCATCATCATGATCAAAATCAGCATCATCAATGATCCCTATCATGATAAAAATCCACATCAGCATCATCACCATCATCATGATCATCAGCATCGTCATCACCATCATCATGATCATCAGCATCGTCATCATCATCATCATGATCAAAATCAGCATCATCAATGATCACCATCATGATAAAAATGAACATCAGCATCATCACCATCATCATGATCATCAGCATCATCATCAGCATCATCATCATGATCAAGATCATCATCATCATCATGATAATAATCAACATCGGCATCATTACCATCATCATGATCATCAGCATCATCATCATCATCATCAGCATCATCATCATCAGCACCATCATCATCAAAATCATCATCATCATCCTCATCATCATCATCATGATCAAGATCAGCATCGTCATCATCATCATCAGCAGCATCATCATCATCATAGTCAGCATCAGCATCATCAGCATCAGCATCATCATCAGCATCATCGCGTCAACATCAGCATCATCATCATCATCATCATCATGATCAAAATCAAAATCATCATCATGGTCACCATCATGATGAAAATCAACATCAGCATCATCACCATCAGGATCAACATTCAGCACCATGATGGGAGCGTCATGCACGCCAAACCGGATTGCTATCAGACCAGGCAATGCATCAGCACATCAGTCCCCCCCAACCCCAACCCCAGGTCCAAGTGATGCCGGTGATGCTGGGGATGTTGCCAGCCCTGCGTAAAACAGACTAGCAAAAAGAGCAGCCTAGTCCAAACACCTCTACTGCATCATTTGTATGCGAAGCCTTTTGCCTTTGGCCTGGCATTTGGCAGCACATTGCTTGGTGCCAATCTATTTCAATTTAGGATGGCGCATTGTCCGGGTAATGCAAAGGGTGCTGCTGGACTCGGCGACGTTGCTGACGGTGCAAGGTGCTGTCTGTTCGCAGGTGGTGCTGCGACTTGCAACGCCAGCTCAACCAGTGATGCTTGGGGGGCCTATTATTGGCTCTGATTGGGTGGCAGTTGGGAGTTGCTGGGGGGGGTGGTTTGGGGTTGATTTTGGCCAAGCGAAGGGCTCACATACAGGCTGCTGTTGGGCGCTGTCTAGGCTTGACTTTGAGTGGGCGTGTGCGTGTGTGTGCGTGTCCTCTTGGAGCTGATTTGTGTTAGGTTTGCTGCTGGTTTAGCAGCAGCTTTGGGATTGCTTTAGAGTGTGGCTAAGTGAGATGTGGGCGAGTTTTGGTGGTCGGGCGCTCCAAAACCAATCCTAAACGAGACCAAAACTCATTAACCACACCATAAAGGAACCCTAAAGCCGCTGCTAAACCAGCAGCACACCTAACACAAATCAGCTCCAAGCCAACCCAAACCCACTCAAAGCTCAAAGTCAAGCCTAACCACCGCCCAACAGCAGCTGGATGTCATCCCAAATCAACTGCAAACCACCCCAAGACCCACCCTCCTGAAGATCTAAGCCAGCCACAAGCCCCCGTAACTTAAACCAGCCCCCAGCAACTCCCAACTGCCACCCAATCAGAGCCAAATAACAGGCAATTCCAGGGCCGAGGCTGGTGATGCCAGGGATGCGGCCAGCCCAACCAACCAACCAACCAACCAACCAACCAACCAACCAACCAACCAACCAACCAACCAACCAACCAACCAACCAACCAGCCCTAGTAAAAAAAAAAAAAAACGAAACAAAAACACCGGAGCCAGCCAGCCAGCCAGCCAGCCAGCCACCCAACCAACCAACCAACCAACCCACCAGACCTAACTGAAAAACACACCTAGCAAAAAAAGAACAACAAACTACCTCCCAAATGCTTACAGCAACCTAGAGCTCACAAAGAATTCCTTCCAAGGTGCGCTGGCTGGCCGAGCCTTCTCCTCCCGCCTACGCTTTTGCAGGAGGTCCTCAACAGATAGATTGTCCCGCAGCAGCTTGCAGCGGGCTTTCAGGCCGCCCACGTCCACCATACCAACTTTCCTCCTAGATGCGCCCACCTCAATCTCCTGCACGGGGATGTGCTGCTCGATCCCGTCCCATCCAAACCGGCGCCGGTCTTCCACCTTCTGGGCAACCTGGACTCTGGCTCTGGATCAGCCGGCACAGACCCGTGGCCAAATCAAAGAGCCCAAGGAACCAAACCCAGTGGCTTTCACGAGCAGTACCACCAAACGTTGGCCAATCTGTCGGCCCAGATCTTGACCTTTGGATCACAAACGCAGATTCATGGGTCGTTTCCAGCCTACCAGGTGCTGAATTCAATCGGGGCAAACCCCGCACCTTGCGCTGAGGATCTCGCGCCCACCTCTCGCGCTGGCGCAGCCTTCGCTCCTCCTCTTGCCGCCTTCGCTCCTCCTTGGCTAAGGCCTCCTCCTCTCCCCGGTGCTCCTCTGACAAGTGCTCCAGGCGCGCATGCTTGGTGAGGTATTCCAGCTTCGAAGTCATGCTGTCCGCATCCTCAAGAAAGAGGACACATGCCAAGCCTGATCCTCAACAGTGGACAGACGTTAAACAGAACGGACGGCGCCTTCTGGAACCACTCGTCGCGGTTGGAGCTGTCCACGTTGGCCAGCTCCGTTCGAGACGGCTCCGGGCGCAGTGCCCGCTCCAGCTCGGCGGCACGGCTCTCCACGCGCGAGTTCTGGCGGAGGACGGCTGTGGGCCTGGCCCTCAGTCGCGAGAACTCGGGGAAAGTCTTGGCGAAGTCCTGAGACGAACATGGCAAATGGGCTTGTCTCAAAATAGAGGAACCCCCAAAATGGTATCACTTTGGTGTCCCTTCAAAACACCCAGAAAGGCCACCAACTCCAAAAGCTTGCGAAAATCCGGACAAGAACTCTGACCCTGCCCCCAAGACCCTTCAACCAGGACCGAAGCCGGGACTCAGATTTGGGGGCAAAGCTCTGCGCGGGATGTGAGGCGGCCCGCTGCAAACAGCCTGTATCTGACAGCAAGGGTGAGCATGGCCGCATGCGCGCCAGCGACCGAGGAAGGGCCTGACGCTGAGTCATCGTGAAACAGCGCCTTGAGCCGAGAGGCCCCCTGTTAGGTCACAACTCCGGTCCTGTGCGCCATGCGGGATCTGCATCCGTCGCAAACGAAGGGGTCAGGCTCCGCTTTGTCACGCAGCGTCTCCAACGCAGGCCACTTGGCGAGTCATTGCAAGCGTTGCACGCGGGTGAAAAAGCAGTGCGAAGCCTGCTTCGTCAAACTATGCAACTTGTGCAAGTGCCAGGGTTGCAGAGGTAATTATTCTGGCCAGCTTATGTAGCGCAAGCGAATGCATGAAGCCATGCTGCCAGAGCCGACTCTGGCTTTTCAGAGCTGGGAGGACCGGCTCTGAAATGGGAAGACTGGGGATTTAGCAGCGGCGCCGCTGCAGTGTGTGCCTGTCACTTTGCCAGGCTCTGTCCTAGACTGCACATCTACTACTTCTGCTTCCTGTTGAAGAGCTCTCACCAGAACCTTGACAAACGCAAGCAAATGCATCAAACAAGTGATTCTGCCGTACTACCTATGACGAATTGAAGGCCCACCCCCAACATAGGAGCAAAATGCATCACGGGTGAAAGGTGCCCAAGCAATTACTGAGGCGCTCTTGGTCTCCGCATCATCAGAGCTATCAGAATTGCAGGGTCCATTCGAGCACCTTGGTTGCAGCTCCCTTCGCCAGCTTACCAGCGCAACGACACTTGCATTTTTGGTTTGAGATGCGTCGTGTTGCTTTCACTAGCAATGCGGGCACACCGTTAAGCAGCTTGGATATGCGGCCGGAAAGGCCAATTGGATTCACTTTCTGCCGGGAGCGCTGTGCCAAATCAAAGGCGTCGTGTGCCTCCGTGTGCACCCAGCCATCCAGTTCATGATGTGCCCTCGGGGTGCCTGCGGAGCTCAAGCCAAACTTCTGCTTTCAAACCACGCCGGCATGCATCACGCCTGGAAAGCAATAGTCATCCAAAGGGTCTGTGGCCATTGTGGCCTGACTGTGCCTGACAAGGCTGGCGCTGGCAGCCATGTCAGCACATGTGAGCTGCACTGCACACGGCGCTTCCTGCGCATCATGATCTTCTGATTCCTCTGCATCTCTTCATGGGCTTGCTGCGCCGCTATCTGCTCCAATGGACTTCCTCCCCTTCCTTGGATTGGCAAACCGCACGTCCCGTAGGGCAGGGCCACAGGGGCAAAGTGATGAAAAAAGCGCCATGCAGTCAACTCAATTGCTGACAGACAGCTCAAGGACCGCACCGGGACTTCAGTTGAGTACGGAGCACCTTGAGCCAAACAAATCCGCGCGGCACGTGTTTGAGTCCATTTGACAACTCTGAGACCCTCTGTCTGACTCCTGCCTGTGTGGTGCATCTCCTCTATAAGTTCCGTTGTGCCTTCGCCAGGCTGCCATCCTTAGCTCGCGCCAAAATGTGCTGGCCACTTGGAGCCACATCCAAGAAAGCAAAGCGCTTTCTTGGCACTGTGAAAATCCGTCCTTGCCAGCGGCCGACAGGCTCCAGAAATCAGCGAAATGCATGGCAAACCAGCATATCCAATCGAGACACTCAAGATCTTGACTTCGGCTTCACGCAGAGCAGCAAGAACGAAATGCAGGATTTGCTTCGTACCTTATCTCCCTCACTGGAAAAACGGCCATCGGCCGATGGACCTCTCTTGTCAAGCCGCGGTGGTTCAGCCGCTCCTGGTCCTCCGGCAACAGCTGCTCCTCCAATACCTACGGGACTCGGGACCCAGGACTTGAGAAGCGAACTTGGAGAGCGTTCCATCTCTCAAGCGGATGAATCTTTGGCATAGCACGAGCCCTTGCCGTTCATGCCAAGCTTCCAGCTCCAAGCGCAGATCTTTCAAGTACAGCTCATTTACGATGTGCTGCGCTCCAACATCACTGAAGGGGTGAAAGGATCGGAAGTCCACGATCTTGCACCCAGCCTGGGGCCAAAGGCGCCGCCCGTTTTTGCAGATTTTGCACGCACGACTTTGGCGAAAGACCAGCTCGCGCGCCTCTGCAAGTGCTGACAACAGAGCGGCCTGCTGACCCCACTGTGCATGAGAGCGCGTCTGCAAACAGTAATAGACCTCAGCCAAACTCAGAGGCTTGGCACTTGGGCACAAAGTGAGGCTCAAACTGAGTGAACCATTCCTGCTTCACAGGATGCCGTGTCGTTCCTTAGTCCGTTCTGCGTGGCACGCGTCTAAAGCTGGGCAATGTGGTCTTGCCCAGCCCTGAACTGCAGAATCCAGAAGCCCCCCGATAATCAACAACCTGCCTTTGCCAAGCTGCTTTGCTTCCTCGATGTTTTTCTTTGCTTCTTGCTCGCTTCGCGAGAGAACGCAGCGCAAGGCAGTGGGGCAAACCAGAATGGAAATCAGAACCTTGGATGCGGCTCTTACAGCTCGGCTTGAAAGAACTGCCCAGGGCTGCCCAAATAAAACACTGAAATACGCTGTCTGCGTGGCTGCCAGCACCAGAGCGCTATAGTCCTGTCCTTAGCTGCGAAGGCTTCATTCCATTTTCTCGTGATGGCTGCCGCATGTGCAGCCGAGGGCACCTTCCAAGAGGTTGCCCCGCATGGCACGCAAGGCCAGGATGAAGGAGAACTCGCCCCAGCTGCCCCAAGCAAAACTCAAAGTCAGAAACTCGTTCAGCGTCAGGGGCATCGCAAAGACCCCCATGCAAAGCTTTCCGACAATGCACCTCGGCGTGAGAGGCTCAGAGAGGCATGCGGAAAACCGGCACCTCACGTTATGGGGCCAGGTGTTCGTGCTGCCTTTGGCCCAAGCGGGTCAATGGGTAGGGACATGCCAGCCGGCCAAGCCATCAGGAAGGCGCAATGTTACTGGACTGAGGCAAGCCGCATAAGCAGCGCTCCGGCCTTCATCCAAACTTGGGCGCTCCCAAAGTCTTCTACTGGCACCGTAAAGCCGATGCTGCAAGCGAAGAAGTACCGCATCAAAAAGGTGGCTACACGCTTCACTTGCCGCTTCCAGGTGTTGTGGACGGCTTCATCCTTAGTCACGAGACGTCGTGCACTTCAGGCGCTGTAAGAAAGCATGAACTGACCCAAAGGCACCCGTGCTCCCCGCTCCCCTAACGGACCCCAGGTCCATCGCCGAAATCAACCGGCCGTGCGGCTGTGCAAAAGCAGAAGCCCGCCAGGAACGCGCCCAGGAGTGCAGAGGAACCGGTGAGCTTACACCTGTCGAGTTCTCCGAATCGATTTCTTGCGGGTGTCAAAGGTAAATGACTCAGATATGTCCAAAGGGCGGCTCTTCGTCTTTGCCCTCACTCTGATTCCATGCATTCACCTAATTGCTGTCCAGGGGACACCGGCATGTACACGACAGTGGCGACCTTACTGGCATGGCCTCCGCAGTAAGGCCGATGAGTCTTGAATCTGAGAAAAGCGCCAGAAGCAACCCAAGAACCACGTTCTGCCGATTGCTTGGCCGTACTCTCGGCAGCACAACCTGGTCAGAAAACTCCGTGCGCGCTGCGTGCGAGAACTTCGCCGAGCGCCCACAATGAACACTAAAAAAAGCCATCTTCCTTCAGGACCCACCCAGGCCAGCCTTGTCCAGCATGCAAGGTACAACTTTGACAGCAAGCACGCTCATGAACAGCACCAGCACCAACATCACCCTGAGCTATAGTGCAACGAATCGGACAAACCGATTGGGGGCTGCATTGTTTTTTCAGCATAGTCATCCCACATTTGCGCGTTTGTTTGAAGAATGTAGGACCCAAAGAAGGAATTACTTGGTTGACGCGCACTTTGATGCGGCATGTCCTGCTCTGCATGGCAAAGGCTGCCGAGCATCACTATTGGCACAACCTCAGTAAGCGTGGCCCTGCATTGAGTACGCGGTACGATAAAAGCCAACTGCAAGGCAGCAATGTTCAATGACGTGCCATGGCACGTAGGTGTGCCATGGTCCATCCTCAACAATAGCATCAATCTCTGTGATCAACGCAATGTTGATCAATTCCTCATCTCCAGCCACAAGAGACGAATGCCCAACCAAATGGCCCTCCCAAGTTTGTGCATCACAAGCATTTGACCTCGTCCACCCGGCACACTGCCAACGAGGGCGCGTTCACCGTGGCAGCTGCCAATACAAGCTGGCCAGTCGGTTGGTTCAAGACACCGCCAGCTTTCATCACATTCAGCGCGATGCCCGTGGACCTCAGCTAGCCATCGTCCCCTGCCCCTCTGACAGTCTTGACCCAGCGGCATTGTCGCAAAGGAGGCTCCAATGGCAAAGGCCGGCATCATCCCCAGCTTCAAGATGGTGCGCGCCTCTGTCTTGTTTGCAGGCGCGCTACGCTACGCGCTCCGGCACGAAGGGCGCCGATGTCAGCCACTGAGCCCCTCACCACCAGCATGCCTGGCATGGCTACGCTTAGAGGGTCCGAGAGGGGCCTTTGGAAGGCCTAGGCCCATAGGAAGGAAGGAACCAACCAGGCCCACCACCAGGGCACGCAGGCCGACGATCTTGATCATTTCCTAGGTCACGGCTTCACTCCGGACACGCCTGCCCTCAGTGCTAGCAAGCATCCATGTCCACGTGGAGGCCTGCTTCTATCATCAGCAGAACCTGGCTGCCAAGCAAAGCATGTGCGCAATGGGCATTCCCAACAGGTTCCCAACCAACACAGAAAGACCTGCGACCTTAACCCCGCTTTCTCATGTAAAGTTTGGCCACGGGTGCTTCGGGCCGAGGCACCAGTGCCAGCTCGCCCTCCAAAATCAAAGCGTCCGCTTCTGGGACGACGTTTTGCACGTGGGGCCCAGCAAGGATGCCCACTGCAATCTCTCCGATCAGAGCAGGCATGCCCGCGCGGGCAAAAAGCTTGCCTGAGATCCATAGACCCGTGGTGAACAGCAGGAAGGCATAGAGCCTGTGGAATTCCTGGCTTTCGGTAAACTCGCGGTGGCAGTCATCCATGGCGAGGGATGCATCTCTCGCACCCGAGGCTCTGAGACTCAGCCAGTGCTGCTGTCACAAAGTCAAGGTCAGTCAATGGGACCAGAACTCCCTGGCGTCGAACTTTGTTTCAATGTGCGGCTTGCAACGCGCGCTTTACCCGGCGTCCTGATGGACCCAGCGATCAATGATTGAGAATGCCATGTCAGCAGGTGGGACGGGAGCACTTCTTTGGTGCCTCCCTCTGCAACCGCGGGCCAGGCAAAACCAGGCCCTCTGCTTCCAGCACGGCTGGCCCTTGACACCCAGCACGCTGAACTGAACGCTGCAAAGCTCTTCAGCCCCTGGGTTGCGCTCAGGGTGTCCAGGGACACTCAGACTTCTTCAGGCCTCTCAAACGGTTGCATGTACCATGCTGCGTGCCCATTCAGGTTGACAATGGTGTCAATCAAACTCTTAGCTGGCCACAGTCAACGATGATGATGGTGATGGTGAAGAAGAAGAAGATGATGATAAAATAATGATAAAATGATGATAGGGTGACTCACGCACAAAGCAAGATAAAAACGCAAATGCATGGCAGCGGTTTCCATTCTTTTCCCAACCCATGCTACAGGCGAAATAAGGGCTTTAAGACTTTGGCAGCCACCTGACAGTTGAAAGTTGGAAGTGGGCATCTCAAGGTGTGGATGGTTGGCGGGGTACTGAGCACATGTGCAGCTCAGATGGAGTTGACTCACGCTCGCAGCAACTTGCTCACGCGATTCGTCTGGAGAGTCTGGCCGCTGTCAATTGGCCTGGGAAATCCTGCACTCAGACATTTCCACTCCACGCTCCACGTTGCCATCATCCAAATATCGGATGTCCAGAATTTGGCCTCCATCCTCGGCGCTGTAAGCTTTTAGCACCTGAGCAGGATACCACAGGCCATCAATTCGTCGCTCCACCTGGGGTCCCAGGGTTTCCTCCTCGGGCTCGTCGGCCACGGCCGGGCCCGTCGCTTCCAGAAGGTAGATGGTTTTGCCGGTTGAGATCCCGTAGTGGCCCAGAGTAAGGGCATCCTGCAGCTCTTCCCCACGAAAGAGCAGCCGCAGCGCGCCCGAGAAATGCTCGGCAAGCGCCTGCTTCAGGCCAGAAATGGTGTCCCGCTCCCGTGCCGGGAGGTGGATATGTCCACCAGAGAGGTTCACGATTGTGAGCATGTGGCTCTTGCCAGTCTCAGACCTTCCATCCGCTTCAAGGCAGTAGATGCAGGGAGAACCTTCTCGAGTGGGGCCAACTCCCAGAGATTTCAGGCTCCGTCCATGTGGGAGCTCAGACCCACAAAACAGGAGTCTGGCGGAGCAGCCCAAGCCCAGGCGAGAAGTGAGATCCTTCACTTCGTCCGCATCGGAGGCTGTCAGCTGCATCGTTCCGCCCGCCAGAAACACAACATCTACGACGAACTGCTCCGTCCCGCTGAATGGCATCAGGCCGGCCAGAAGAGCGCAAGGGCCCGAGCAACATCGCACTGCATCATGCCCAACGGCACGGCCGGTTTTCAGATGTCGGCCCGGTTGCCTGACGTGGGTTTGTTTCCTTGGCGACTCTGGACGGAACGGCGTAATACAATTCGAACACGGAAGATGTGCCTGCGGGTTTGGGTCTGCGTGCAGGTGTGAATGTGTGGGTGGGGGTGTAGGTGTGCGAGTGTGGACGGGTGGCTGTGGGTGAGTGGGTGCGCGGGTGCGTCGGTGTGATGCCCTTTCTCATTAAGCATGTGACCTTCCGGCTTCTGAATGTGTACAATGCAAACAGCTACCATCTAAGGGTGAGTGGAGCTCCTTCAGTCTGAGCTTCGCATTGAACACAGGAGCTGCGCAGGCGCATTTGCATGCATGCAGGCTGCATCCTCATGACATGTACTTGGCCATCATTACCGGGCAATGCTGAGCACCACAACTTGCCCTTCGTTCCCTAGCATGATGATCCTTCAACAATTCCGGAAATCTTCAGAGGCGTTGTTCTCGAACACGTGCCCCGACGGGAGTTCAAAGCTCGATCAATGCTCCCCGGCTCACCTCATCCACGCTGAACCTTGCGGCTTTCACTCACCAACATACAGGTCAGGCATGCCCCAAGGCCAAGGTCTGGCGAATGTGGGGCCCATCCCCTGCCATGCCACAGTTGACCGCCCCGCCCTGTTGGCAATTGCAAGGGGGTTGCCGACCAGGATTGGGTATACATTGTGCTACAACAGACCCTCCCCTCCGCAAAAAAAAGACATCGCTTCGACAACAATTGCTTAAACATGCTTAAAAAAAAAAAAAAAAAAACTGGCCCACCCCCGACTGGTTGGTCACAGCATGAAAGCACCCTCAGCTCTTTGCGCAAAGGTCACCACACTCTTCCGAGGCTTTCCGGCACCTGGCGCATGAAGCAAATGGCAAATGGGTTCCTCACCTTGACTCACCCTATTTTGACAGGGCCATCAACTTCTCCCTCTCTTGGCTTGCGGCCCTTGAGAGCCGCTGCACACATTGGGCATAGGGCTGGTCAAAAGGCAGTTCTTTTTATGGAGTGTTTTTGGAGGGTGCCACTTTGGGTGGTTTAAAGGGAAACACGAAGGACCGCCGATTTGGGGGAGACAAAGCTGAACTTCTGCCGGACTACGCCAAGAGATGGCCTGTGAAAGCCGGCAAAACCACCACGGGCCTCTACTAGCCTCACGCCGCTCACTGGACTCCGAAGCCCTGCAAGCCAGGCCGACGGATTATCGAGAGAGAGTGCATGCGAAGAAACCAAAGAAACTACCAACCAAGAATGGGCACCCCACAAAAACCATGGGCTTTGAACAGCTGGAGTAGCGTCCGGTTTTCCAGGAAGATGCGGCACCAAAAACGGCCCTTCGCTCCTGCCAGCTTCAACCAGATGACCATGGCCCACCTGTGCAAGCACAAGTTTGAGACCTAGCATGGTGTTTTGTGCTTAGGTCATCTGCCTCCTCCTCCCCCTCCTCGCACCTCGTAGCCATAAAGATTTGATGGCTTCCCACTATGCCAACTCCACCTTTCTGCTTGCAAGTCTGTAGGCCAGCCGCCGTGGAAAGACCGAGGGGTCGCGTCCGCCCGGGCCTGCCCAATGCGTCCAACGGCGGTCCGCGCCTTTGGGAGAGGTGAAGGTTCCCGCAGTTCCCGTGTCCAAGGCTCAGGCTCGGATTCCTGGCACGTGCCAAGCAGAATGCTCTGACGGAGCGCAGCCTGCCGACGCACGATCCTGCTCCCAGACGCGGGCGAACATGCATCCTGCCAAACAAGATAAGCTGGATGTCAGTGGCACCTCATTCGCTTGCATGTCTTACGGCCAACCCGCCCCCTCCCAACAACTGGCACCTTGGCAAAACACCTGTGGTTCCGCTTGTTTTTCCCGCGTTGCTTCGGGTCGCCGTCGCAGTCGTCCCGCTTGCGCTTCAGCCAGGCATCGCGGTCCCGGAGCCAAGCCCGCCCTTCTGGGGAGGCATCCCACCAGGCCATGCAGCGCACCTCCACGTCCGTCAACCTAACCAAACGACACCAAACAAATTGGTGGCTCGTCCTTTTTCAGGTTGGACCCCCAAAACGGCGTCAGTTCTCCTTTTGGTTTCCCTAAACCAGAAAGGGGGTTACCACAAAAAAGACACACCTAAATGGCTTCCAGGCATTTGTTGGAAATTCCAAAGGCAAAGTCCAACCGAAGACAAAGGCAGTCAGCGCCAAGCCTCTGAACGCTCTGCTGGCTCTGGAACCTGGCGAGCATCCCAGGCCACGCTGCTGGATCCAGCGACAGCTCCGGCCACACTCTCTGGACTACACCGGCCATGTCCGGTGGCAGGGCAGCCCGCAGCAGGATGCGCCTTTGAGTGTCCGGGTGCTCCAAATCGAGCAGCCAGGCATGTAGCAGCTGCCGGCGCTCCGGCAGCCGCCCAAGCGACGGAAGTTCGAATCGTTTCTGGGTGTAGAGATGGTCGTTGGCAACTGGGGACCCCAAGTGAGCAGCATGCACCCGAATCTGATGCGTGCGCCCTGTAAAGATTTCTGCCGTGACCAGTGACAGCCCATGCTTCTTGCTGAAGGCATGGACCCGAAAGACCGTCTTCGCGGGCTTGCCATCCGCTGTGACAGCCCAGACCTTTGGATTTTGAGGGTTTCGGCCAATCTTGCCGAGAGCCGTGATGCAGGACTGTGAACCTCCAGGGTGCCCCAACAGCACTGCAACATACACCTTCTTGCCGGAGCTATGGCCCCACAGCATGTCGGCGGCTCGCAGCTGGGCTGTCAACCCCTTCTCTGCCAAAGGGCTCTTGGCAATTACCATGACGCCTGTGGTTCCAGCATCCAACCGGTGCACAATGCAACGCGGAATGAAGCTGTCCCACTCGTTGTGATTTCCTCTTTCCTGTAGCATCTCCTCAGGCACTCTCTCAACCAACGCGTGCGCCATGGTGCCCTTGTGCCAAAATCCTGGGGAAGGGTGAGCCAGAACACCGAATGGCTTTGAGATGGCCAGCACATGGTCGTCTTCGTGAAGCGTCTCTAATGTAATGCCAGGGTCTCGTTTCAACACCAGCTTTGGCGGCATGCGGCATCCGCTGGCGAGCCGCTATGTCAATATTGCGGAAGCCGTTGGTACACTTATGGGAACCTTCGTTTGTCACCTGAAGAGAACGAAGAGAACGGCTTTCAGGTTTACATGTGCTCGCCTCTTGTCCACCCTGTGAGCCACACATGATCTTTCATGGGCAGCTGCAGCTGTGCTCATGAAGAGCTGACGTCCTGCACCAAATGAATCGCAGCCTGGGATACCTTGGGCACATGAGACGCCCAGTGAAACACGTGGCGCCGACTGAGTTCACTGCCAATGCTCCGCCCAAGGACTGCCGGGCGAGCCTCCGTGCCCAATGAGCTGCGAGATATCGCGCGGGCCAGTTTCTGGGGCTCTCGCCGCGACAGCTCCACCATGGTCGACGTCTGCTCCTGTGCGATCAGCTTCAAGGCCCTGTTTTTCAAACGGCCCAGGAGTGCAACCAAGGATTGATTTGAAGATCCGGAAGGCTTACACCCACAACTCAAGCATCTCAGGATCGCATCCACTCTTTCCCATGCGACGCTGCGGCGCAGCTTGAGGCCAGCGCGTTGTTCCACTGGGGGGCACTGTAGAAGAGGCCAAGCTTGGGATTTGGCTCGAGAAGATGCTCCTGAGAGCACAGCGCAATTTCCTCTCGCTGGTGCCTTTGCGGATCCCAAACGGCGATCAGGTCCAAAGCCGCGTTTGAGACAAACAAGCCCAGGTAATACGGTAAGTGTGCGGGCAGCAAGTTCGCAAAGAGTTGGAGTCCTTGCCAATCTGGTAAAAGATGCAGGGGGGCTTGTGCTGATGCACGTACCTAGCATTCGGCGTGTTCGTGCATTTCTCAGTGAGAGCACCTGCCTGGACCGCAGGCAGTGCATGGGGTTCGTGTTGAACCAATTTCCGGGAAAGACCTTTGCCACCTGCGCGGCGACAAGGAAGGCGTGAGCTGCCCAAGGCATTCATCAGATTCAAGGAGTCCACATGTTGAGTCAGTTCTCAGCCACTGGTGGCTTGGGGGGCCCCTTCACCTTGGGGAACACCATATTGATCCATCAGGTGGATGAATCCGGGGTCAAAACACATTTTTAAAAAAATGCCTAAGAGTGAAGCGCGCCTGTTCGTAACGTTGCGCAGCAGGCTCGTGATGAGCCCGGCCAAGCCAGGGCACAACGAACTCAAGCACCAGCCTTAGAGCTGGCTCCCCCCTGGCCCGCATCCCAAGCGCTGTGAAAGCTTCAGCAGATGGGGGTCTCAAAATGAAGGAACCTCCAAAACGTGTTCCTTTTTTCCCCCTCAACATGATTACCTGCAGCTTTAAGCTTCCCGGCTCCAAATCTTGGATTCCAATAAAATTGCTGACAGGTTACAGGGCATGCAAGGTGCGTCCAGCCATCGCGACTTCTCGAGCGACTATGGAGCTTGTCGGTAGCAAACATTAGGACCTATGAAAGAAACTGTGAATTCAAATTGAAATTGGACCCGGACATGTGCATTTGCATTTGTGGCTCGAATGGTCCACCAACCCCACTAACGCCAAGTAGGCCGCCTGTGACTATGGCACGCTATGCTCGCCCCGCGCCTGGCACCTGAGCCTGCGGCAGGTACCCGGCGGTGTGCAAGCCCGCGGCTGCCACAATTAGGCAAGCCGAGTTCTTGGTGGAAAGCGTCACCTCGGAGAAAAAAAACAAATAATTTTGAACAGCGAGTTCAGCTTCGGCAAGGAAATAAGGTATAGCCCTATTGGAAGCACAGCAATGCGCTTGGCCATGTCTGAGGCAAACGCCACTTGAGTAATAAGCACCCCCCCTTCCACCAATAAGCTCAGGTGATATCCCCAACAGCATGCGGTGCTCTTTTTTAGTGCTTGCACCACCCCGCAGCCCTCGCAGAACCTCGTGGAACCCTCGTGGAACCCTGGTGGAACCCTGGTGGAACCTTGGTGGAACCTTACCTCAGGGCCGCCCCGGACCACCCCGGAACCTTATCTGGGCTGAGACCCCGAAGCTTTCAGCTGTTGGGGAACAAACACATCTGACTGGCAGGTGGGCCCTCCAACGCAGGCAGAAGATTTGCCAGCAGTGCTGCAAAAGCTAGGCTCATGGCCAAATTGACCTGCGAGCAAGCAACTCTTTGCCGTCAGCACTGTTCTTCCGGCTGTCAACTCCAATCAAAACATGATCAACACTACAGTCAGTGTCAGTACAGCCGTGGGTGGCACATGCACGTGCATATGCACAGATACGCACACAAACTACATACACACACACGCGTGCAGATATGCGCGCATACACAAACGCATGCATACATGCATTACAGTACAATCCATCACATCACGCACGTCACATGACGTCACATTGCATTGTGCGACGCTACTTTACCAACCAGGCCTGGATAAGCTGCAGCACCAGGCACGCTGACAGGCCTCGGCCCATCCCCATGGGCACCAGGCCAACTAATGACCAGGGGATGATGAGTGTTTTTTCCCCGAATGCGTTGCAAGAGGGCTCCCGTTATATAGAAAGGACTCTAGGGGCCAGCATGCGTTCGCCAGATGCGTCGCTGCGTCCGCAAGCGTTCGCAAGCGTTCGCAAGCGTTCGCAAACCTCTGCAAGTGTTCGAGCAAGTCGTAGGATGCAAGAGCTGCCGTACTGTTGAGGAAGACTCAGAGCATGACTTGAAAAAGGTTGTTTCGTTGCGCACGTGCGTGAATCGTAGCTTGTTCGACGTCGAAGGTTGTTTAGCTGCGCGGGGGCGGTGCTCCTGTCATGCCATGGGCTGGCCCTGGCTCTGGCAAGCTGAGGTTGTCAAAATCGGTCGCAAGCATTCTGGTGCTACAGTCTTGTACTAATTTCGGACACACGCTGGATTTCGCGATGCTTTGGTTTCTTGTTGGGTTCCTGGCAAGCTCACTTTGCGCGACGGGCGCTGCACTGCAGAGCGCTTTGAGCAATTTTCGTGGCATTGCGGTGGCGCGCTCCGCGGAAGGCACAGTTCGTTGGAGGGTTCAGGCGCAGATCTCTTGGCCGGCGCAATGCTTTGCAGCATGGGGCGCCGATTCGTGGCAGGCGCAGTACCTTTTGTGGGTCACGCATTGAATCTCTTTCTAGGCGCGGCACTTGGGAGCAGAACTGTGTAGGGTCGCGCATCGAGGGTCGTGACAGGCGCAGCGCTTTGGAGCACGACTCGAGGTAACTAGACAAATAGACAGGCAGAGAGACAGGAAAGAAAGGCTAGACAAATAGGCAGATTGACGGACAGAGAGACGAACAGACAGACACACAGTTCAGCACATAGATAGACAGGTAGATAGATAGATAGATAGATAGATAGATAGACAGGTAGATAGCCAAATAGACAAATGGATAGACACATGGGTACAAAATACATAGATAAATAGATTAGACAAGCAGAAAGATAGACGATAGACAAATAGACAGACAGATCGATAGACAGACAGACAGACAGACAAACAGACAGACAAACAGATCGACAGGGAGAGAGACAGGGAGAGAGACAGAGGCCATGGAGAGGAGAGAAATAGACATAGACAGATTTATAGATAGATATAGATTAGACTAGATACGGCAAACCGATTAAATTAGATTAGGTTAGGTTCGGTTAGATCACATACATTGCTATAGAATTGTTGGTTCATCTATAGGATTATAGTAGACTAGACTAGGATTAGATTAGACTAGATTAGTTGGATAGAATGTGTTAGATTCGGTTAAGTTGAGGTAGGTTAGATCAGATAGACTAGAATAAATAGATAAATAGGGAGATAGAAACTAGTTAAGATTAGACTAGAACAGATTTGATAAGTTAGGTTTGCTTAGATGAGCAAGGCTGGGATAGATAGATTAGATTAAAATGGGTTAGATACATAGTTCAGGTTGGATTAGGTTAGGTGAGGTTAGGGTAGTTTAGATTTGATTAGATTTCTTTAAACATATTTTTGGATGAGGTTGGTAGAGCGATGGATGAGAGAGATACATAACTACGTTTAGGCTGGACTAGATAGATAGCTAGATAGATGAGCTTGAAAGCTCGGTAAATGAAATAAGCAAACAAGAAAATATAGAGATAGACAGATAGTTGGATCGTCAAGGGGATAAACATCTCTGAACCTTTTTCTCAAACAAGTAAATAGATAGGTGATATTGGCAGATAGGTAGGTGAGATAGATAGATAGATAGATAGATAGATAGATAGATAGATAGATAGATAGATAGATAGGAAGGTAGACAGGTAGACAGGCAGACAGGCAGGTGGATTCACAGATAAATAGATAGAGAGATAGATAGATAGATAGAGAGATAGATAGATAGATAGATAGATAGATAGAGCGAGAGAGAGAGAGATGGATGGATGGATGGATGGATGGATGGATGGATGGATGGATGGATGGATGGATGGATGGATGGATGGATGGATGGATGGATGGATGGATGGATGGATGGATGGATGGATGGATGGATGGATGGATGGACAGACAGACAGATAGATAGATAGATAGATAGATAGATAGATAGATAGATAGACACACCGATAGATAGATGAATAAATCGAAAAATAGCTAGAGAGGTGGAAACAAAGGTAGGTAGGCACTCTGCGCTCCAGCACAGGAATGTTCAGGCTTGCGGTCATGCTTGTGTTTGTGATTCGGAAGTGAATGGTTCTGAAGGGTCCCGCTGGCGGTGCCGACAGGGCAGTGGAGAAGTGGGCATGCGCACAATCAGCAAAGCCAACCAACCTAAAGAATCCGAAGGAAGTGGGCCGAGGCCTTGTGAGTCAAAACCTGTGCCTCACCGCATCTCCAAAATGGCGCCAACAGCTGAAGCCGTGGGGCTTCTGCCCAATGCACCGGAGCGGGGCTAGGTTCCAGAAGGGTCCGGAGTTGCTGTTGGGAATGCCTGGGTTTTTCCTGGAGATATGCAGCGGCAACTTCTGCAAGCTCCAGACTGGCCCCCGGAAGGGAGAGCAGGCGCTGCGCGGCCTCCAACATCTGCATACTAAACGTTGTGGACATCAGTTTTCTCGGAAAGCTAAACCTAAGCTATTGAGACAGCCCATGGTTCGGGCACACCCTTCATTCCCGCGCCTTCTCCGTGCGGAAGGACGTAAACCTGAAGTTGCGCACCTGGGCGTGCCAAGGCCTACTTGCGGCTGCTCTTCATCGATTTCCCCGGTATCCCTGGTGCTGCGGCTATGCCCAAGCAACGTGCTGACTGCAAGACTCCCTGCGGCTGACCGGTCAAAGTCTTCCAGTTTTAAAAAGTCTGTGTGTGTGGCGTGGACATTTTCTGTGGCATCTTCTGAGTGTCAGCTAAGCACTGCGCATGTCGGAGCACCCTGTAATGATCCCACGCCTGGATGAGCATCATGCATTATGCGTCCGGTGGGGCAGAATCAGCCAGCGGGATCCCAAGACCCCGGCAAATACACAGGTATGCCCCAGCAGCATGCCAAGCAGTGTGGGTAAGACATAGCCTGCGCCAAGATAAACTCTCATGAGAAAATATGCACCTGATGAGTCCGTTTCTCACAGGGTGCGCCTGGGCTGAAAAAGAGGGAAACTGTGGCTTGGGTCATGTTGAGGACCTTAGCTTCGTTCAAGGCAGAAGGGGTGACATTGGCTTCTCTCGGGTCCAAACTACGTCGGCATAGCGCGACATGTCAAATATCATTGGCCTTGGCAACAGGTGCTTTTGCCCAACATGCGGCATGGCACCCTCGCTTGGCTTGGTGCACACGACCCTAGCTCTCTCAAGGATCTCGCATCAGGCAGGCATCTGCCCCCTTCTGGCCTCAAACATCGCAGGCCGTCTGACTGAGATCTATCCGACTCGTTTCACTTCGGCCCAGGCTGATCGGCTGGGTGCCCAGGAGTTTCTTGTAAACATGGTACGGCAGGACCAGAGTGAACCTGCGGGCAGAACTGGTTTAAAGCAAAGGAGGTGACAAACACAGCGAGGCCAGTCGAGGGCCAGGCAAAGCTTCACACCTCAAGCAAGCAAGGGAAGAGGGATCAGATCCGGACACTACGCAACTTTGTTACATACATACATACATACATACATACGTACGTACGTACATACATACATACATACATACATCATATACATAACATACATACATACATACTTACATACATACATTACATACATTACATTACATTACATTGTATGACATTACATTGCACACATACACACATTCATTACATACATACATTACATTACATTACAATTTTAATACTTACATTACATTACATTACATTACATTACATTACATTACATTACATTACATTACATTACATTACATTACATTACATTACATACATACACACAAACATACATTACATACATTACATTACATTACATTACATTACATTACATTACATTACATACAGTACCATACATTACATACATTACATTACATTACATTACATTACATTACATTACATACATTCCATACATTACATTTCCTTACATTACATTACATTACGTTACATTACATTACATGCATACATATTTACATTACATACATACATACATACATTACACACATACATACACTACAGTACATTACATAACAGTACATTGCAGCACATTACATGACATTACGTTACATGACAACAAAACACATACATACATTACACACAGCACAGACATTACATACATTACATTACATTCCATTACATTGCGTTACAGTACCCTGCATTACAGTCCATTCACTACATTACAATACAATACATTACATTACCATACATACACACGTTCATTACATACATACATACATACATTACATTACATTACATACACACATTGCTTACGTACATACATACATACATACATACATACTTACATACATTACACTACATTACATTACATTACATTACATCATCACATTGCATACATACATACATTACATACATTACATTACATTACATTACATTATGTGACATTACATTGCATACATACACACATTCATTTCATACATACATTACATTACATTACAACTTTATTACTTACATTACATTGCATTACATTGCATTACATTACATTACATTTCCTTACATTACATTACATTACACTACATACATACATACATACATACATACATTGCATACATACATACATACATACATACGTACATATTTAGATACATACATACATTACATACATACATACATACATACATACATAATTGCATACATTACATACATTACATTACATTACATACATTACATACATTACATACATTACATACATTACATACATTACATACATTACATACATTACATACATTATATACATACATACAATACATACATTACATACATACATACATACATACATACATACATACGTACGTACATACATACATACATACATTACATACATACATTACATTACATTACATTACATTACAGTACATTACAGTACATACATACATGCAATACATGCAATGCATACATACATTACATACGTACATACATACATACATACAAAACAAACATACATACATACATACATACGTACATACATACATACAAACAAACAAACAAACACACATACGTACATACATACATACATACATACGTTACATTACATTACATTTCATTACATTACATACATTACATACATTACACGCATTACATACACTGCATACATTACATACATACATACATACATACCATACATACATACATACAAACATACATACATACATACATACATACATAACTAGATATGCATACATATATTATATGTGTATGCAAGCTAACCAAACGGCGCCACGCAAGCAAGCGATAACTCTTTTATCCAAGCATTGTGTTGGTGCCGGGGACTCATCTTCCCCTGAAGGAGACTCCAGGCTGGGTGGGCCCAATGGCCACCCACCCGGATCCAAATCATGAAGAAAAAGGGTGTGGAGACTGATAGCGCCCGTGCCGTGGCCGGGGTCCGAGGCACCCAGGCCTCAGGGGGTCTGCCACCAAGGGGAAGAGAGTCGCCCAGGCAGAAAGACAAAGTCAGAGCAGAGTTCCTGCAGGACTCTGTTCAGTCGGGGTGGGTCAGATCATCAGCCCACTGGTTGAACTCGCGCCAAGGAGCAGCCATGCGTGTGGAGTAAGGCACCAACTCCATCAAGATAGCCGCGGTGCAGGGTTTCTTGGACCCAAGGTTGAGCATTGCCATGACGTTGCCCTGATTGTCACTGCCCACCGGGAGTCTCACCCGGGACAAAGGGAACAAGGATCATGTTGCCCAGCATCCGCAATCCGTCTCTTGGGGTCCCCATAATTGAAGGCCCATGGATATTCTTCCTTGTGGATCTGCTCATGGAACCAGTACACCTCCGCCTTCACCGGTTCCACCTTGTTGGAGCACCAGCCTCCCACAAATGCCACTCCCTCGTCCGAGGCACTCGCATCGCTACAGCCCCACCAAGAAGATTTTGGCAGGTAAGGGGAGTACTGGACGAAAGGCGTGTTGAAGAGGAAACGCAGCATGAAGGCCAGCATCTTGGTGGCCTCCCCACTGTGGTGGTGGCCATCTTCCATGCCCATAGCGGGTGCAGCATCGACTTGGCCAATGGACAAGCTGAAGTTGCCCATTCGATTCGGCCCAACGCCTTTTCGATTTCCTTGGCGTGCATGGCCTGGCCGCCATGAGAACCTGGGGAAGGTTGGGGTGGACCACAAAGCCCAACCACGTGTTAACCTCCGCCAGGTGCGTCTTCTTCCAGCTGAGCGGGGTGCCCAGCGCCAGAAGGGTGGCCAGCACAGCCACCGCCAGGCTGTGCATCCTTGCTCCGGAGCAGCCAAAGGAAGTCGTCGGCGAACACAAATTGCCAGCCCACCTTCAAAAAAAAGCGAGTGGAGAACCCTGAGCAGCAGCGCTGCCAGACGGCCCCAGTATGATTGGGCACTGGCCATGCCGTACGTGCCCACCTTGTTCACCCACCATTCCTCACCCAGGAGCACCCACCGGGTGCCTGGCTCTGGCCACTGGGGCCATGGCGCTTGGCTGTCCAGCTTGGGGCCGGAGGCACCCTCCTCTGCTGCAGCATGTAGCCAGTGAAGGGCCTGCACCCCATCGAACACCGTAGGAGCTGTCTGGTTTGCCCCCTTCGTCGATTCCAGCCAGGGCGCCCGGGCAAAAGGACTGCAGCCGCAGCACTCCGCTGCTGCCTCTCTTGTGAGTGGTCCTTCCACCATGGCCAGCCGATGGGTAATTACCCCGGCCTGAAGGTGGCAGGCCCTGAAACTCCGGCTCCTCACCCGTCAGCTCCAACCTTCGACTCCTGGAGCCTGTCTCCAAGGTGCCGTGAGGACGCCAATCTTGACCCCCATCAGCGCTTGTATCCAGCCTGCCCAGCATCCAGCTGGCTGGTAGCCGAAGCCTGCCTTGTTGCGCTGGTACTGGGATCGCCACACTTCCTCCTGCCGCAGCTGGACTTTCATTGGGACGTAGGCCTCCAGTATGCGCATCACGAGGTCCTCCGTTAGGTCCGCCCGGAAGAAGTGGGAAGGCGTCGGGGAGGTCCATGAACTTGTAGTAGCCCGGCTTGTCCGCCACCGGCCGCAGGGTGATGGCCTTCGTCTCGAGGGCCATGCCCTGGAAAAGCTGAAGGTGGCCTTTGATGGTGCTGACCCCGGCCTGGGCGCCTCCGGCCCCGCCGATGGAGCCCCGCCGGCGAAGAAACTCAAGGGCTTCGTGGCGGCTTCTCAGGGTTCCTCCAGCACCAGGCCCGCCGCCACGGCCGCCTCACGCGCACGTTCCTCCTGGGCCTCCTTGGATGCCATCGCCACATCCTCCTCCGTGAGCTGCTGTTCCTCCACCAGCTCGAGCGAAGAAACCGACGTGGCCGAAGATGCCATGGCAAACTCGGGAGGGGAGGGTTAGAATGCTTTTTCAAGAGCAGACGGGTTCAGCGCGAACCCAAGGCAATGCCTGAGCCAAAATGGCACATGCCATTATGGTCAAGCATTGCACACACAATTCATGTTTCCACATGTTCCAACATTAAACAAACATATGGTGTGAGGCCGGCAAGCTGGGGAGCATAAAGAGAACTTTTTCATAGATGGGAAGCTGTTGCCAACAGTTTGGCCTCAAGCTCCGCGGCTGTAAGGTTGGGTGCGCCTTGATATGCGTCATCTTGATTACTGCGTCTAAATCCCAAGATAAAAGCGCACCGCCTTGACCATCCCCGCCCCCACAGGCACCAAAAGGTCTATCTGACTGCACGAAGGGCCTCAAGCATGCCGCTGGCTGATGCGATGGCGATGAAACTAAAATGCGCCGGTGGCCACAGCAGGACAGCTGTGCCCTGAGGCTCCCACCCGCGGCCGGACTAGGACAGCTCTCCAAGCTTCGGACTGTCGCAGCTGTCAGTTCACCATTGTCTGTCATAGGCTCTGTCTGTCGAAAGAGCCTGCCATAGGCTATCAAAGTAGTGTCTGTTGGCCGTCAGTGGGCGGGTGGTGGGCGGGCAGTGGGCGGTCGGATGGCACTTAAAATCTAACAAACTCAAACCTGTCCGGTGCGGAGCACCCAAAAAAGATCGAGTGATCTGAAGAAACAAGACGCAACCATTTGGGTGCCCGGTCAGGAAGGGCAGCAAGAAGCAGGCCGGGAAGTTGTAGGCCATCAGGCGCGCACCAAGCCGCGCCTTTCAACCGGATCCAGATCCCTCGCCATGGGCCATCTGGACGTAAGCACCCCACAATCGCAGGGTAACTTACCCGCCTCAGAAAGAGAGTCGCAAGGCGTGCCGAGCGACATGCGCCAGAGACGGTCGCAAAGCTGTTCTTGGATATGTAAGGGATGAACTCATCCTCGTTTAGAAGGAAGGAGCTCGAAGTCACATCAAGTCCTGCTGCATCCACGGGTGCAGGAGCACATCTCACTTGCATTCGGTTTGGACAGTGTTTTCAAGGCAACCTTTCCCGGAGGGAAAACGGCATTGCTAGCTGATCCATGGCCTAAGTTCTCCATTGCCACCGTGGTGGTGTAGAACAGGATGGCCATGTCGATGGCCAGGTTGGAGAGCAGCGCCAGCCTCATTCGCAAGCCTGCCGCGCCCGCTGGCACCAAGCTCGGGGTGCGGCGTGTACAGCCCGATGTAGGCTGTCAGTTGGTGGCTGGCCTTACTTTTGCTTGGCCCATGGCCGATTCAACCTTGGAATGGGGTGGGTCTCTTCGAAAGCGCCCAGGCCAAAGATTCAACATCTCCAAAATAACCCTGTCGACTGCACTTTGAGTCCCTAGCAAATCGAAACCCAATGAAGCGCGAGGCTTTGTCGCACAGCAGGTAAAGGATCTGATTGCCGGCCTGGGGTGCAATCCAAGATGCATCGTGCAGTGCATGCTTGCATGTTCAACTTGTACACCAAACAAAGTCTGAGCTTACTGTTGAACAGAGCCCGCAACATTGGATGCACAGCTAAGGCCGCGACCACCACCAGCATGCTGAAGGTTGTCTCCGTTGTAAAGTCTGACGGCTCGCCTGCAACCACGGCGCCACAAAGGCAAGAACAAGCAAAGCCCATGTAACCACTGCGGTCGGCCAAAATAATTGCGCTAGGCGTGCCAAGAACGGAATAGGACCAGGCCTCGCATCGCTCCACTCGGCCGAAACCGTACAAAAGAACAAGCCAAGGTTCCGGCTTCATACATGGCGAATGGGAAGTAAAAGAGCACGCCTGAGCCGTGAGAAGCAACCACAACCCGTGCCATTTCCTGGTGGTTTGGCTCTGAACGCATCCAAGTGCAATACCCCAGAGCATGATGGCAACGGCAATGCCGAACACGGAGGCCAGAGTTCTGAATGGCACAGCCTGGCACCGTCCACTTGTGGCTATGTCAAAGCAGGCAGCAATGAGCAGAGCGCCATTGCCTTGACCTCCTTGGCAAAGTTCTGCCAAAGCACCTCAAAACGGGCAACTTTGAAGACTTTGCAGTGGGTCCTTGCCAAAGCTTGCTTGATTAGCGTGCTCGGCAAATGTTGGTGCCGATGTGCTATTGAGCATCCGGCGCTCTCTGGCTCTGACCCATTTCCGCTGCGGTCAAATCTGATCCTATAGCGCCTGAGATGACGGGGCGTTTCGGAGCAAAGCAGTGGGACACGACTGAGTCCCTGGCGCTTTGTAGAGCGGAACTGAAGTGTCTGACAAGAAGGCGGCTTTGGCACGATCCTCAGTTCGAAAGTCCCTTGAGTTCGACCGAGAACTGGTCAAGCGACCAAGAGGTGCTCTGGAAATCGTGCGGCATTTTAGCACGCACCAGCGGGTTATTCCCCACAGCGTAGGTAATATGCAAACCCGGCTTGGACAAAAATACCCGCTCAACCCACTATTGCTATCCGTCTGAAAATTGGCTTGGTGCTTCGTGCTGGCTCACGAAGCATGGCACGTGGAATGCCACGTGGAGCACGGGCGTTTAAAAGTGGAGTGCGTCAAACTGATAAGCTGACGTCTGTTCACTATGTTGGAGTGACAGGTAGCACGAGGCCAAGCTTCCACTCATGTTTGCAATTAGCCATCGATTCAGTGCGGTCTTTAACATGCTAACATGGCACGTACGATAATATTTGCCCTTGCCGCAGATGGCAATCCCTACCAGGTTGATCTTGGGTTTCAGTTCGATGCTACTGCAATGTAGCAAGGGCAGGCGAAGCCCTGCAACTTCAACGCCGACGCCGGCAAAATGTGTGAAACCTCCGAGGTTCCGGCTCGTTCAGCCCTGGCCGGAAAAAATACCGGGACACTCCTGTGCAAGTCATGGCTGAGAGGCAGACTCCCACCGAAAGATGACGTACATAGAGCCTACGAGGCGCAGGCACGAAAGAGGCGGCAACAAGTTCGGCCGAGGGCCGGGCTTGTTGACGTGGCGCCGGCAGCCGCGGCAGTGGCCTGAAGCATCCATAGACCCCAAATAGCATGGGAGATTTGACTCTATGGGCACAGCAGGACCAGCACCCACAACAGCATCCAAAATGCATCGCAAAACAGGCACCGCCCAGCAACCAGCACCCTGCCCAGCACCCGCAACAGCACCCTGACTGCAGCGCCAATCAAGCACTGCCACTAAACACCGTCACAGCACCTTATGTACACAGACAGCATCCAAAACACTACCCTGACCAGCACCTTCAGCAATCACTTGGCCAAATCTTGCAAAGCAAACCCCACCTCTTTACAAGAACCCCTATAGCTAAAGCTACCTGGGGAAAAGCACATCTTACCACACAAAATATATGCGGAAAGAGCCGCCCGATTGCCTCCTCAGCTTAAGAGAAGCTGTCTAGCCGCTAGCTTCCCTTTGCATTGCAACTGGGGTGGGGTAGAAAGGGGACGCAAAACACAAACACCACCGAAGACCTCAAATGGCGTTGCAAACATTGCACCGACATGTACCCCCCCCCAAAAAAAAAAAAAAACGCGTCACCGCACAAGGCGAGGCCCACTTGTGACCTGCAATGAGCTGAAGCACGGAGCATGGAAGCGCCAGAGCGGGCAAGAGAGACGCAACGGTAGCGCTGTGGAGCTCTCCTGTTGGAATTGGCAAACGCTTCCCAGATCCTGTCAGACCCAGGGCCGCTACGAAGCCCACCACGGAGGGGTCCAAGGCAGATGCATCAAGCGCAAAGCTCTTGGCTCGCAGATGCCATCTTGCGGTCCATCTGATGAGCGATCCCAACCCCAGTGCCCCAAAGTGACAAGCGTCTAGAAATACACCGACCTGTGCCAAAAACAACTCCCAAAGCACTCACATCACGAAGCGCTCCCATGCTGGGCAAAGCCCACGAGCCCGGGAGCCCGGGCACGATCTTCATGCCGCCGCGCCTCCAGCTCCGTGTCCTCCGTGCGGCCACAAGCGGCCGATGTGCTTCGACGTGCCCCGACGTGCGGTCGTTTTGGCGAGCCGACGGCCCGCCTCAGGCTGCAGGGGCGGGGCCTAGCTCAGTGCAAAGGCACAGGACATCATATATTCGTCACCTTTGCATTCAACTTTTGGCTTGTTCTTGGCTTCTTGCCACTGGCCTGGCACCTGACAACTTGCCGAGCTTCCATGCTTTCTTGAGACGCCCGCTAGGAGGCGGGTGAGGTTCTGGAAGAAAACCTGCAAAGGCCCAGAACCTGCCAGGCTTGGCACTTGACAGGTACATCCTGCCCCTTGCGAGCCTGTATCTTGCCCCTGGGATGGCCGCAGGTCGGAACTGGTTGCCTTCATGTCGCAGCTGTCCCGGCCCTAGCAACTCCGAGGAAAGCCAACGGGAACTAGAAATTACCAATCCTGCGGAATTGAACCCATCAGAATACAGGGGTCTCATCACAAAGGTTTCCCACGAAAAGCGCAAATTCTTCCGGCCTTGCCCCAAAGCCAAGTCTCCCTGGCCAGAAGTTCTTTGACCTCAGCGAAGGAAAACCCATGCGACTTCTAGATCACATGACAACAAACACGCAATATTTGCGTATATGTGCGTATATACATCTAGACGCGCAGGCCACATGGCACGGTAGACTAGGATAGACTTGAAGCTTAGATTCAGTGCGGCTTCGCTAGTGGCTAGTGAACCTTAAACCTGAAACATCCTGAAACGCAACCAATCAGTAGCTCTTGCGGCTCGGCCTATTCGTACGCTCAATTCGTGGCACCCGAATTGCCTGACGCTTAACTCGACCCTCAGCTTCGTGACGCTCGAATTGCCTGGCGCAGAGACTAGGCCAGAAACGTAGAAACTGCCAATGCCCCAGAAAGACGTATACGGTGCTCGTTCTGAGCTCTGCCTCGTCCGGTCCAGGATCACTCGGAACGCGTTTTGGCGGGCAGATTGTGAGCGTCAGGCAAGAGAGTGCCATGTGTCAGGCTGTCGCTTGAAAGGCTCCAGCGTCCAGTATCCAAATGCGAGTGCTCTGCCAATAAACTTTCCAAGAGCGAAAGTTCGGCAGGAAAGCAACATCCACGAGTCTCAAAAAGAAGTTCATGCTGTGCCTTTAGACATTGCAGTTCACTGCAGGAGTCTATTGCTCATTGGCATGGATGTGCATGCAAGTGTGCACCTCTCTGTTGGAGTTCGGGCCCGTACACAGGCAAGCGTGGTCAAGTTGTTGGGTACGCTCGTGTTTGACGTGTTGAGGGTATAACCACCCTCGGAAAGATAGATTTTTTTCCAGATCTGGCACCCCTAAGAAGAGGGTGCCAAACGCAGAGATAGAAACTCTCCCACGCAAGGATGGCAACTCTCTGGTCGCGCAAGGTCTGGAAAAAACTGGGCCAGTAAGTCAGGTTTTTCTTTTCGGAGGCACAACATTTCCCAAACCATCCGCAACCGAAGAGCTTCTATCTTTGCACGGGGCCGCCAAAGCCTGCAGAGGGTTCACTCTGTTTTCGCACGAATACTAAATGAAGTAGTGGCAATACTAAATCTAGTACTGGCAACACTAAATTCGGCACTGGCAAATTGAGTACTGGCAATTCTAAAATTAGTACTGGCAACAAAGCATTTAGTACTGGCAACACCAAATTGAGTACGGGCAATACTAAATGTTGTACTGCAATACTAGGCTTATTTCTGGCAATACTAAATTTATTTTACGACCCGCAGAATTAAATTTCGTGCTATCACTACAAAATGCAAAACTTGCATTGGAAAAACTACATTTATGAACGGCAGCACTAAATCAAGTACTGGCAATGCTCAATGTACTTGCAATACTGAATTTAGTACTGGCAATACTAAATTAGGTACTGCAATACTAGATGTTTTCCTGGCAAGACCAAATTCAGTATATACTGGAACCTGAAAAGCAAACAGACAAACAATCCAGTTCTGTTCAATTTCCCTACTAAGAAGTCGCATTCTTGAGCAAACACACTCATTCGTAGTAATTGCTCCGGAAGCTCCTCAAAAAGTGTCCAAATACTAACTTTACTATTGCCAGTGCTACATTTTGGCAGCGCAAGGTCTGGAAAATGTTGGGCCCAGCAAGTCACGTTTTGCTTTTCGGGGGCACAACATTCTCCCGACCTGGCGCGACAGGAGAGTTTCCATCTTTGCGCAGGACGAGACATTTCTGCAGAGTTGATGTTGGATTCGCTCCGCACAAAGATAGAAACCTTCTTTTTTCCCGCTGGGAGACTCGCAATACTAAAATAGTCTACGAGGGATCGTTTCCACAAACTTTTCGATTTTTGCGCGGGACCCCCTTTCCGAAATCGTTTTCCAGACCTTCGAGCTTTTCCATCTTCTTGAGGATGGTTACAACATCTGCTCAGTACAAACTGCAAACTAATTACTGCCAATGGCAAAGCATGGGCCAAGCGCCTCTTTGTCGTCGTACACCCAGCAAATCGATACGCCAATGGGATCACACCTCAGTAGCATGATGGCACATCCTGGCGTGCTGTAGCACTTGCCGTACTTGCTGGGCCTAACAACAATCAAACCAGCTGGACCTCCTTTCCTTGCTTCAAGTCTTGCATTCAGGGTTATTTTTTCGGAGCGAACTTGATGGGCGCATTGAACGGGTCCCAACACTCCACGGCAACGATTCAACACGAGCCATGAAAACGGAGGCACTCGGGGGTCTCGCTACCCATGGCTGGGATTCTCGCCCGGTAGTCTGGCGAATGAAAGCAGCGCGATGCCGCTCGACCTGCAAAACGCCATGCAAATTGAAGCAATCCAAGGCTCCGCTGGGTCACCTCTGGCCCCGTCTCGGGCGGAAAGCCCGAAAGCATCAGCGCAAAGTCCTTCATGGTCGCCTGCTGCCCACCCTCTCCGGCCGCTGTGAATCGTTTTCTCTCATGCATTCTTCTGTGGGTATGGACAGTGCAACGGTGCAACCCGCCACTCTCACACGTGCCGGACATTGCCTCGCCAGTGTCCAGGCGAACGCGCCGGCGGCACTGGTAGGTGGCCTGGTGTCCAAACGCCCACCTCGCAGCCTGAGGGCTCCACTGGGCTGCGAACATACGCAACGGACGCGCAAGTGGTGAAAATATACCTCGACGGACGCAGGAGGAAAGCAACATGTTGTTTACACCAGAAATCCAGAGGCGCACAAAAGGATGGTGTACGTCAGCTTGCCAAGTTTGACAAAACGCCTGGCCACTGGCATCCACCCGTAAAGTCAGACGGACAGACCGGGCCTTTGGTCTGCTTCCAGCTGCTTCAAAGTGGAGCCGCAAATGGAGTAGACGTCCTCCTTCTTGGCTGACACCCTGCCTTGGCTCCCAGGGTGTCCAGAAGCTGCTTCTCAACACGTCATTATCGCGTTAGGCGACACCAGTGACTCGCAAGCCTGATTTGGAGCCTGACCTTCGCTCAGCATCCGCTCGCTGAACACCTGACAGAACTTTCTTGGCCCTATTCACCTGTTCCATGGTCAGAAGCCATGACATGGGGATGGATTCGGTGCGTTGCGGTGATAGGGATCCGTGCCCACCATCTAAAGGTCTGGGAGGTGCAATGCAACTAAGTGATCTCAATCCAAGCCAGAAGCACCCAAGAGCTCACTATCCAGCCCAAGGCTGCACACACCTAAGTCGCCAGGAAACCATATCTGCATATTGGCTAAAACCCCAGTGATCACACAACCTGTGGCGCGGGCACACCAACAGAGAACAAAAGCCTGAAAACTGAAGAAAAAGGTCGTCGCCTCAGCTGGTGACACGCAGCAGCTTGGCTTTATTGCAGGTTTTCACGGCCTTTCACCAGCTGAGGAATGGGCACGTCCACCGACTGTATGACCGTCAGCTCTCGGGCGGCATAGGTTGGTGGACAAAGGGTACCTCGAACCCCCACCCCCACCTCCCAACCCTGCATACACGCGGGAATCTGAATACCGACTCGCCTAATTACATTGCACCTGAACCACTCGCGGGCGACTGCCAAACAGTTTGCACATTTAGCTGTTTGACCACGCATGTCTTGTACCGGACATGGCCACGTGGCACGCACGCAACGCCAAGGCTCACCAATCGTGTCGCTGGGTTGTGTGATCCTGGGCTAGGGCCCTGTGAACGCGTCATGTGTAACTTCTGCTGCCAAGCTGAAACTGGGCTGTTCAAACTGGGGCATCCCCAATCCTAGTCCAGAATCCGCTGTGGGACACCACTCCAAAGCAACCACTACCAAATGGCGTAAGGATTCGGGATTGATTTCGAAAAAAGCCAGGGAAACACCGAGGCTGGAGCTCGCAAGTTCAAGTGCTGCCGCCGCATGAGCGCCCGCTTCAACACTCGAGCGTTGATCACCGGCCTCACCACGTGCTGACTCTACACAACCCTTCGAGCTGCGGAAAGAGGCGAGCACACGCGCTCAATATGCCCCGGCCCACCAAACCGACCACGACGAAGTTTTGCATGGACCCTAAACTGTACTTCTGTGTTGATGCTAGGGAGCACCTCGTCCTGCTCTGAGCCAAGCACAGCCGCCGAAGCCACACGTACCAACTCGGGTTTTGGTTCGTGTGAGGGATACTTCCATAGTGCGAGGCTGGGGCGAGAAAAGGGTCGCCAGCGCCAGGCTCAGGAGGCCGTAGACGCCTGAGGCCGGCTGCTTCTTCCCAGTGCAACATGAGATGTTTCAAGGCCCCTTCCGCATTTCAAGCTCAAAACCAACGCTAGTTTGTGAGCCCCGCTCCGTGGAATCAAGCAGGGTTTGAGGCACTTGCATGGAACAAAGAAGGCGAAACGGCTGTGGCATCGGTCGGCATCCTGGCTCAATGGTGGGCGGGCACTCCATCAGAGCAAAAGCCGGAAGCATCGTGATATGGGTGTTGTGTGCTTGGCCTTGAGGGCAAGATGTTGTGTGGTGAAAAGGGAAGCCAAAAGGTAAACAATTTTCCCCAAGTTAGATCTTGGGGTTTGCAATTCATGCAGAGAATTGCTCTGAGTTACGAGATGGTTCGGTATCCAATTGTCTCCTCACTTGTCCTGCTTGTCTCTGCGCTTGTAGTTGACCTTCTCACAACTTCTCAGCCCACTTACCTCCCCTTGTCGCAGCTTGTCTTCCCGCTTGTCTTCTTGCTTGCGCTCGTCAAGTCTTGTTGTCTCCACTTGATCTTGTCCGAGTGTCTTCCCATTTGTCTTCTCTCGTCCTGCTTGCGCGTGGTGGCTCGGCCTTGTCCAGGCTCAGGCCTTGTCATGGCTGGTCCCCCCACTTGTCTTGCACTTGCCCGCTCAGACCTCCATTTGTCTCCCCACTTGTTTTCCCACTTGTCTCCCCGCGTTGTCTCCCTGCTTGCAGTCGCTGGCTGGTTTGTCGCCCCACTTGCCTCCCTGCTTCTTGAACCTCGTCACAACGTGTGTCTCCACTGCTCTCTGCAAGACGCAGCAGCAGGAGAGGAGGTAAACAGGGCAGTGGATAGCCTCAGCAGCGTCAATTCTTGGACGGATGGCAAGGCCCACATGGCGCAGACAAGGCTGGCAGAGGCGGTGCGTTTCTGGTTGCTCGGCGAAGAGAAGGAACAAGAGCGTTGGGGCCAACGGCGCCCAATAAAGCGCCAATGGCTGCACCATGTGCAAAAGCACTTGTCCTGATTACCTTTGGCAATGGCGGCCATCAGGCCCCATTTGCACAGGGTGCCTACCACATGTTTGCCAGAATTGGTCCAAAGCAAAGCTACAGGAAGCAACAAGTTCCAATGCGTAGCGAGAGCAGGGGATTTGCCCCAGCCACGAGGTGCAATGGCAAGCTGACAAGGGCAAATGGCAGTGCAGAAAATGCAGGAAAGGAGGCAGCACTGACATTACCCTTTTCCAAAACAGTTGGAACGATATGCGCGGGGCAGTGGTTACAAGAAGGTGGGGAGTTTCTGAGAGCCCGGTGCTTGAGGCAGGCACAGCCAAGGAGCTGAGTCACCCTAGTAAAAATAACTTGTCTCTGCACTTTTCACTTGTCTCCCCGCCTGTCTTCCCCCTTGTCTGCCACACGCCTTGCTTGTGCTTGGCAACTCCGCCTTTTCACGGCTTGCCTCCCGCTTGTCGCCTCTCACGCCTTGTCTCCCGACCTTGTAAGGCGTATCTCTCCACTTGTCTCCCTGCTTCACGGCTTGTCCCCCCGCCTGTCTCCCTGCTTGCGCTTGCTCGCGCCGACCTTCTCACGGCTTGTCTCCCCACTTGTCGCCTCACGTGTCCTTCCCTGCTTGCGGGTCACTGCTTGTCTCCCCAACTCTGACCTTGTCACGGATTGTCTCCCCACTTGTCACACTTGTCTCTCCCTGCTGGCTCGGACCAAGTTGTCCACAAGCAGCATGCGCTGCCATCGGCGCGCGGCGGAACGCACCCACAACACAGAGAAGCCACACGTTGCGAGCAAGGAGCGTGTCCCAGCCCATGAGGCCCGGAACCCAGGCAGGACTACACGACCCTGTCGCACGTTGTCTCGACAACGATCGTCCATACCATTGGCAACCAAAAGCTCATGTTTGGCAAGACTTCCCTGGCCACCTTTGGCCCCGGCATGCAAGGAAAAGGGCGTAAAGGAGCTGGCGCAACTGCTGCAGGGACAGGTCGCGAAAAAACAGAGCTATCAGCTGCGGCGCCCATGAGCTGCTACCCGCAATCGTGGCCGGGCTTCGGAGCACCTATCTGCGAAGCCTCTGACAGGCAAGTTCGGCGGAGAACGCGGGCTGGCGTCCTCCAGCATTGCCTAGCTGGCCCACCAGAGATGTCTTCCAAATTGGCAACCCGGATTGAAGCGCAATCAGCTGAAATGGCCATCACCCACCAGCTCGTAATAGACCAGACCTGGAGCATGAATACGACCGTCCTGCAGCTGCATAGGCCTGCATTTCCAGACCTCCTGCACGGCGCCCTGGGCGATGAGCATGCACGGCCCACCCCGTGGTAGGTTGCTCGGGCCAGGCTGCTGTTGAACATTTGGATCTGACTCTTTCGGTATCTAGTTGGCCTAAGGAAATTGCCCTGGTCCGTCTCCCTGCGGTCCTCGTCCAAGTAAAAGCCCATAGCGCACTGCCGGCCTGAGACGATCGTCGGGAAAGCGACCCTGGCAGCCTTGTCAGCTTGAAGTCCCAAAGCCAACACCAGCCTGTGATGATGGAAACAAGGAGAAATTCCGGGAGCCCTGCAGCGGTCGTCAAAACCTGTTCCGTTCAGTTCTCAGAACATGCCACAATCTGTCACAGCCACGTCATCTGGAAAGAAGCTGGTTTCCGTTGTAAAATGTGCCGGCAGCGCTGCAAAGCTGGCAGCCCGGAGTTTCGCAGTGCCTACCTTGGAAAGCTCATGGGCACAAGGCAGGCAAAGTCTTGGTCCTGGGCATCTCTTCCGCGTAAGGTCCGCCACGTTCATGGCCTGAGGGCACCAAAATGCATGCGTCAAATCCAAAAAACGGACCGGAACCGTTAAAGTGACATCCTCAAATTTGACCCTCATGGTGAGTGACAGGGAAGTGGCTCCCTCCCCCCAAAGTGATTTTGAGAACCCCGAAATGGATCCATTTTGCATGCCATGGCAAGGCCCCAACCGGCTGCCGGGCGCCGGGCCGGATTCGTGCAGCTGCCCGGGGTGCCGTTGACACAGGTGAATTCGCAGGCTGGGCGGTCGGATCACATCGAATCTCAAGTGACTTCTCGGGGATGGGATTCTAGCGACTTAGAACACATGTCAACGGCCGTGGCATCCCTGAGTGCTGGCAAATTGCTGGTGATGTTGGGTCAAGGCATTCTAGAAGTCATATTCTGTGCAGAAGTTTGGTGTGCCAGGGTCGCCCGAGCAGCGCACTTTGCTGCGGTATGTGCATTCGGACCGGGCATTCCTCCGGACCTCACACAAGTGCCAGTCAGCAGGGGCTAGTCCCAATAGGCTTTCCTCCAACAAACCTTTTGAAACCTGGGGTGTATTTAACAATGTCAAAAAGTCATTTGCATTATTTGTGTGTTTATCGATGCTTATTTGTCGCTGGCAATTTCGAGAAACAATGGTACCTGGCTCGGCAAGGCTTGTCACCAAACAACTTCATTCAAGGCTTACCGTTTACCTTTTATGGATTGAACTTTGTTTAACGTTCATGCGGAAATAACTTAGTAAATTCAAAATCTCATGAAACACTTCTAAGTCTGGGGGAAACCCTGCGTTGCTTGATCCCTCGTTGCCAACATGTGGTGGGTTTACCCCGTAGCGACCGACATTATAATAGTGACTGTGTTACCGTACGAGGCGCTGGGGCTTTCATGATCGTCTCGGCCACGCGATGAGGCCACTTGATGCTGTCGTTCAAAGTCAGCCCATCAAGTTGAGCACCAGCGAGCCTTTGTTTTTGGGGCACCGCTTGACTGTTGAAGTTTGGTTTGTTCGGCCCTTTCGTGGCGCGATCTTCAGGGGCTACCGACAAGTAGTACTTACTTGGGAGGTTATAATAACTTGCCCTGGGTGTCTTGTGGCAGGCCACTTTTGTAGTAGCCCAAGTAACTGAAACGTAGTTTTGGCTTGTTGATGACCGCGCGCTAGGATGAACAGACTGAGACTGGGCCTCTGTGTGTCTCTGTGTGTACAAGACTAAGAGAGACCGTGTAGTAAGTACTCCTGAGGGCAGCGATGAATCCCGAGTACATCACCACCCAGGACACAAGTGGCATCCTCATTTCAGACAGCATCCAAGCTGCAAACATCAAAAACGGAGGGGCTTCCCTGAACATATCCGAAGAGGACTTGCTGGGTGAGTCCGGCGTTTCAAGCCCACCGCCCCCGATCAGCTGCAATCCTGGCCTCCGCTCCTTCGCCGCCTTGGCGGGTCCTGAATGAGAAGGAGGCCTTTTTGGAAACTCCGTAGCAGGTGAATCAAGACCGGGCTCGGGAGAAAACTGCCATCGGGCAGCCACGGTCAACCATGCTAAGCTACTTTTTCAATGTCAAGCAATGATGCAAACTGCCCAGGAAAGGCGCCATAGGTTCAAGACCGTGGCTGCGAACGCTGTGTGGCCTTTGTCACGGAAGAGGAGCGACACAACGACCGTGAACCTTACCTAAAGCTAGTTCTCGCATTAAATGCTGCCGCCTAGTTTTGCTGAGTTGTTTTCCTCACAGAAACTGGCACTGTGCAGGGAACTCACCCATATTCTTCTGAAGATGACGGCCGAGGATGCCATCAACTTTTTCTTGGTTGACACATCGAAAGCGTTCTTGATCCTTCTTGCCGGCACAATGGGCAAAGGCTTAAGGCACCCGCTGCAATGAACCAGCTGTGTTTACCAAAAATAAATGAATTGCGGGTTTTGCACATCTAAAAGTCTCGCATTTAAGCTAATCACTGTTTTAGCGGTAGGGCCGCGGGGGCCCTACCCTTAGGACAGTCGGTAGCGCTACCGACTGTCGTAAGCAACCCCGTGACATTGTTAAATGCATCTTGGGTTAGCCCTGGCGCGCTTAAAACAGCCCAAAAAACGATATCGTTGAACCGGGGGGGGTTGCTTACGACAGTCGGTAGCGCTACCGACTGTCCTAAGGGTAGGGCCCCCGCGGCCCTACCGCTAAAACAGTGATTAGCTTAAATGCGAGACTTTTAGTTTTGCAAAACCCGCAATTAATTTATTTTTGGAACCAATGAGTTCTAAGGCTACTCGGAGTGTTCTGTTTTGACTCCCGCGTGCCCCGCAGAGCTACCCCTACTGGTGCCTACTACACCCCTGAGGCCTACCAGCTCCCCCTAAACGTCGCTTTCAGAAGAATATGGGCCAGTTCCTTGCCAGCTTCTGTGAGGAAAACAACTCAGCAAAACTAGGCGGCAGCATTTAATGCGAGAACTAGCTTTAGGTAAGGTTCACGGTCGTTGTGTCGCTCCTCTTCTGTGACAAAGGCCACAGCGTTCGCAGCCACGGTCTTGAACCTATGGCACCTTTCCTGGGCAGTTTGTATCATTGCTTGACATTGAAAAAGTAGCTTAGCATGGTTGACCGTGGCTGCCCGATGGCAGTTCTTTCCCGAGCCCGGGCTTGATTCACCTGCTACGGAGTTTCCAAAAAGGCCTCCTTCTCACTCAGGACCCGCCAAGGCGGCGAAGGAGCGGACTTGAAACGCCGGATTCACCCAGCAAGTCCTCTTTGTGGCAGGTTTTGCCTGCCTGCAAATGAAACACCATATGTTCGGGGAAGCCACTCCTTTTTTGATGTTTGCAGCTTGGATGCTTGTATGAAATGATGATGCCACTTGTGCCCAGGGTGGTGATGTGCTCGGGATTCATCGCTGCCCTCAGGAGTACTTACTACACGGTCTCTCGTAGTCTTGCACACACAGAGACACACAGAGACCCAGTCTCAGTCCAACTCAGCCTCTTCATCCTAGCGCGTGTTCATCAAAAAGCCAAAGTTACGTTTCACCTGCAACAAGACTCCCAGGGCAAGTTATATTATATAACCTCCCAAGTAAGTACTACTTGTCAGTAGCGCCTGAAGATCGCGCCACGAACGGGCCGAACAAACCGGTGCCCCAAAAACGAAGGCTTGGTGGTGCTCAGCTTGTTGTTCTGACGTTGAACGACAGCGTCAAGTGGCCTCATCGCGTGGTCGAGACAATCATGAAAGCCCCAGGGCCTCGTACAGTAACATAGTCACTATTGCATGTCGGTCGCTAGGGGGTAAACCCACCACATGTTGGCAACGAGGGATCAAGCAACGTAGGGTTTCCCCAAACTTACACGTGTTTCATGGGTTTGACATTGCTAAGTTATTTAGGGTTGAACCAAGTTTACATCCATAAAAGGCACAGGGTAAACCTTGCAATGAAGTTGTTCAGTGACAAGCCGTGACAAGCCTTGCCGAGCCAATTACTGGTGTTTCTCGAAAATGCCAGCGACAAACCAACATTGAGAACACACACAAATAACACACATGATGTTTTGACATTCTTAAACGCACCCCAGAAACGACAACGAAAAGATTGCAATCCGGGTGTGTCCCCCAAAAAGGTGTAGTTTCCTTCGAGTTTCCCTTCACAAGCAATCCATGAAAGTACCCTGGAAAAAGACACACCAAGTCAACATTGCCCGGGCGGTAAGGCACCAGCATGGTGTCCAGAGAGAATGCTGGTGCGGGAGGCCTGTCGGTCCAATCAAGCCGAACCCACATTGTCAGACCCAAAACAAGCTACCCTCCCATCCACAAACATGGAACCTCACATGGACGACAACTTTCCTTTAAAAGTGTACCCGATGAGTGGAAGAGAGGGTATAAGGGGCATGACCTGCCCCAGCAAATGCAACAAGCCGCTTGCACAAATGGTCGCCTGGAGGGTTAAGCCACCACGAGTCAAGCTCGAACGGCTCATGGACGGTCTGGCGTTGCCCTGCCAGAAGCAGCCGCTTTTGGTGCAACACGATGCAAGCGGCCTGTGCAAACACCGGGGGCATCCGTCAAGAGTGCAAAGGCCTCGGCTGCCGTCTGGGGCTGCCCAACTCCCAAACACCTCGGGCCCCTCAGCTTTTTATGGAAATCCTCCCATCCGGCTAGGGGCACGGCCGGGGTGGACCCGTGCCTGAATGCCATGTACCCCAAGCGTGCCGGAACCCCAAATGGCTCAAGAAGAAGAAGAAGAAGAAGAAGCAGCAGAAGAAAGGAGCGAGTGCAGCGTCTGCAGCCAGGGGGCTCCGTCATTCCCAACTTGGCATGGCATCACAGCACCCCTCAACGCGCGCGTGTGAGGGCAGCGCAACTCAGTACAAAATACAGGGGTCACCATGTGCCAGTGCAGCCCCAGCTGTCTGGTATGCAAGTTCCTTGTGCCCTGAAAGTTGGCCAGGGACCAAAACAAACTAACAAGTTCGCAATGCCCTCCCACACCTCCAGCAAACCACTCGTGGCAGGTTGGTTGAGTTGATGTGAAACACCCTGTGGCCGCCACCTGACCTGAGTTGAATGAGAACGCTGGTTCATTTTTTGTTGGATGAGAAAGTTGTCCTTTCATCAGGTTCGATGTTTTCTAAGCCGAGCTGTAAGCCAAGCAGGTGCATCCAGCGAGAAAGCTCGTGACTTGCATGTCGCAGACCTTGACCTTGCTGAAAGAGCTCTTGGGCCGCATTTGTTTTTGTCCAATCTCATTAGCGTGGTGCCATTTGGCTGCTGTAACAGCGCCCAGCACCCCTTCGAAACAGGAAGCTATCTTTTCGACGCTTCATGTCTATGTTCGACTGTCTGTGTCTCTCAGGACCTGCGACTCCCTGACCACACCGGCCGCCTACGAGAATCCTCGCAAAGTAGGCAGCAGAAGGCAGGTCTATGAAGAGCGGAAACCAAATCAGGAACAAAGAGGAGGGGAAGGACCTAAGCTCAGGCCTGGCCCTAAGGCCTGTCCTCATGAAGGTCTCGTGGCTTGGCGTTCACCGGCTCCTGCATGGAATAATTACCCCTACCCGCTACCTATGTTCTTTGAGACCTCAGACCAAACAAACATGCCCCAGGCGAGCAGGCCCTGTCCTCCCTCCATTCGTACCTGCACAACTGCTGGCCGGGCCAGCTTGGCATCCATGGCATCACACCCATGCTGCAAGCTCCCAGGTCGCTAGCATGCACACAGCCGCCTGGCATGCCCCTGTGGATCGCGGCTGCGTGATTTCAGCACCACGTGGCCTGAAACAGACCATGGCGGGTGGCGGCTGCAATCTGTGCCCTGCTCAGTGGACTCAGGCAATAGCGGTGCGATCTTTCACGCTCACCGAGCAGCGTTACGCCTGGCACCAAATGGAGCAGCCTCGTGAGCCGAAGCCCATGCTGCGAAGCATGGCCTGGAGCCGCGTCTGGCTGCGACTCACGGCCTTGACGAATTTCGCGCATTGCGCCATGGAAAGACGAACGACTTGATGCGCCTCGCCAGCGATCAGCTGAGCCAGCCTCCAAACCAAGGCTGGGCAAGATGGGACCAGCCACCGTCAAAATGGAACGTCAGCTGCTTGAAAAGCCGAGCAAGCCAAAGGTTCTGCCCGCCCCCCCTGCCTCACGCTCAGAATCTTGAGCATTTCCTGGGCAGTTGCGGCTGTGGCCCCTCTTCCTTGAACAGTGCCTGCACCAAGCCTCGTGAGTGTGCATCCCGCGCCTTCAGCGGTGCTCGGCCCGACTTCACTTGACATGCGCCAATCTGAACATTGCCAGCCTTCCAGGAGTTCGACTCGCCCTTACCGGAAGTCAGGGTCGCACCATTTCATGAAGATACCACTCCATGACTCAGCATTTAGAACCTTTCCCGAGTGAGTGCAGCTAAGTCCAGCGCGTGCCGAGGCAAAGCTCCTGTAGAGGAAGCCTAGCACCAGCTTGCCGCCCAATGAAGACTGAACAAGTAGTTGCAATAGGTCTCTTGCGACGATTGGCGGCTCCGCTGCCCTATGTCTTGTCGACCTTAGGCTGCCCCATCTCATGCTCTCCAAATGGAACGGACAGAAACGCGTTGCCCGCCCAAAAGCTGATTGAGATCAGCTGCTCTGCTCTGGAAGTGGATCCTGCCAGGGGGCGTCATAAGGCTGAGAAACAACGATTCACGCCGCCACGCGCCGCGGAAGAATCGTGGCCTCTCTCATCTCTCGTCGCTGGCGGGGGCACCACCAGTTTGAGTGCGCGAGCCTGCACTGCAAAAGGATCTTCGGCCAGTGCCTTTGCATTGTCGCGCCCCGCCTTTTCAATGATTTCATCATCCATCGCTTGTGATCTGCCTCCTCAGTCTGGTGGCTTCAGGGAGATCTTTGGCACGTGCAACTCCAAGGGCTCTCAGTCCGCAGCCCTCGCGCTTGTCAGCCTCTCGATCACAATTTGAACCAGTCGCAGGGCAGCACTGGCACACGCACAGCTCAACTCTCCCCGCCTCCTTGCGAGAGGCGGCAGGGTTAGACCCAAGCCTCAGATTTTCTGACGCCAGGGCCGTGCCCGTTGACTACCGCGATTGCTACCAAGGTGCGGGTCACTCCGTCCAGCTCGCGGGGCCTCGGCCGCATGACACGGTGAATTCTGCGTCGATGCTGTCCACCCATCTTCATGGTCTTCATGGCCGAAACCTGGAAGGGCGCCTGATGGACTCCCTCGAAATGCCATGCAACGCAAATAGCAATACCCAGCAAAGTCTGCTGTAGCAGCTGCCAAAGACCTGCCAAAGCACCTTGTGAAGATCAAATTTAGCGCATCCGCATTTCGACTCTGAGTCCAGCAAACCCTGGGTTGAAACTTCCATGAGTCGCCAAGGGTACCCGCCGTCACGCAAGGCTAGGACCGCGGCGTTTGCATCCTGCTTTGGGCCTGAGGTTTCAACGCGCTAAATGCGCCAAAAGGTCACACAAATCATTGCGCCTTTTTTTTTGGGGGGGTCTTTCCCAACTGCTTGGGTCATATCACCTGGTTGACATATCACGAGAGGCTCCTTAGGTTCGAAGCTTTCCCACATCCCGCCTCGAGGCTTCAGCACCAGCTTGTTGATGGCATCTGAGGCACAAGCTGGACTTGCCCCATACCCCGGACGGCAGGGATTGAAGCCCCGAATTCTTTGCCGTCAACCCGACATCAAGAGCCTCCCCACTAAGGCTAAGACGCGCATCATCACTTGCCTGGTCTTGCTCTTGGCACTGTGCGGGTTAGGTCATGCTCAATCCCTCGAATTGGCAGTTTCAGCACTGGCCATATACGGGCGTGTGTCTCATGCAATTTTGGTAGCTCAGGGAAGCCTGAAGTTCGTGGCACGTGTCACCCCCGAAGCTAGAAGTTGAAGCTTGACCAGGGCCAAAAAAAAACGCCTTTTCCGCGGGGCGTGAGCTGGACCTGCCATTGCCGAAAGGAAAACGGCGGTTGCCTCCGTGCCCAGTGCCTCAATTTCAGGAAGACGCTGATGAGACATTTTCGGGCGCTTGAAGAAGCTTCCACGTAGAAGTCCAAGAGAGCTCGGCATCCAGGAATTGGCGGAAGATGGCGTCTTCGTCTAATGGCCGGTCTATGGTGGTCCCCACCTTCTGCTGCAAGTCCTTCCACTCCTTGCGCAACTCTTTTTGGATCTCAGTGATTGTGATATCCGTCACCCTCCCAGGGACGTAGCTTTGCCGCAGCGGGCCATGCAGGACGTGCAGATGTGTCCGCGCCAAGCTCCTGACCATCAACGCCATGTCGCCCTGCCTCAGAGCCTTCCGAGCCGCTCCCCACTCAAAAGGCCACAAAGGATCGTCCCACTCGCTTTGCTGCTGGCAGTCCCGCAACTCCTGCAGGAAGTTGTAAAGAACCTTCTTGCAGGCGAGCGCACGCAGCTCTTCCCGATGTTGCGGTCGCACTTGCAACCGCACCTCTCGGAAGTCTAAGCTGCTCGGCCTGGCTGGCTCGGCGTTCTCCTCAAGTTCCGGGCAGTAAGCAGGCAAAGCGCTCATGATTCTGAGCGTCTCACTGCCCCGCACAAGCTGCGACGATACATGCTTGCGGGGATCATGCCGTGTGACTGGCGGCGGAAGCGCTTGGCCCTGTCGCAATGCCACGGCCACCACTGGCCGCTCTCTGACGTCTGCCGCCTCTCTTAAGACGTTGCGTTGGCCAAGGTCGCGCCGGGGTTGCAACCTCTCCCATCTCGCAGGGAGAAGGCGCTTGGTGCTACTTGGCGTGCCACCGCCTGCGCCTAAAAAATCTGGAAGAAGGGGTCGGTCACCGTCACTCTTGGAAGAAATCCGGCGCCAAATTCCAGCTCGGTCAGAGGCACAAGCCCATACGGCTTTGCATGGGCCATCCAAGCTAGGAGCACATCGCATGGCATTACCAGCAGGTGAGTTTCTTGCTGTGTGGATGGACGTGCGTGAAAATATCTGAATAGCTGTTCACGAGATCAAGCCTTCGACATTGTCCTCCACTGGGTTGGCAGTTGGTGACATTTGGTGTGCTTACTGCGTACCGAAAACACGTGACACATGTGCGGCTTGAGATAGCACATTCACCCGAGGCGCAGGCAACACCACAGCTTGACATGTGCATTGCCACTCCCAGGACACCCCTAGCCCACCCAAGCTTCCTGAGCAATAGGAAATCAAAATCCTCACCCCAGGAAACATTCCTAGAACCTTGGAAGAGGTTTTTTGAAGGGTCCAGGGTGTCAAACAGGGCCTGCCACAATGCCAATGGTTGGAAAATATGATCAGCCATGAAAGCGAAAGCGAAGCAACGCTTGGCCGGCCTCCCGACCACGCTGAGGTGCAGTTGCCTGAAGATGGGGAACACCAGTAAAAGAGGAAATTCATTTTAACCTGACACAAAAGGTGATGCTGAAGCACAGGGAAACTATAGGGAACCCTGCCTCTTGAGGTCCCGATTTGTTTGGAACACCCCCCTTTCCCCGGTTTACGCGTAAATTGCTCTGACTCGCTGACCACCTCCCATCAGCCCACGCCTCGCGAGACCTGGCGCTGCCCGAGTCGCGAGCCCGCGGCCTCTCGGCTGGCTCTGACATGTTGCTCCTTTGACAGAGGCATCCCCACCTTCGCTCAATCTCTGGAATCGCCGGTGTCTCGGGTCGTCTTTCAGGTCTGCTTTCGACCCGTCTTCTCTCTCCTTGCGCACAGGTGCAGCGAATGCAAAGTTCAAAACTCAATGCATCCGTTGGCCTTCACCTGCTTCCCCAGCTTGAAGCGACGCGTTGGGCCCGGCTGCGCGTGCCTGTGTACAGAAGCCCTTACTCTAATACGTTTTTGGGTGCTTTGAGTTGACTTGCACTAATCTCAGCCCACAAGCTTGGAGATCGCTTGAGCTGGGGCGGGACTGCAAACATGGCAGCGAAGTTCTACAAAAACATAGAAGGCTAAAGGCCCTATACAGGAGCTGGTTAATTCAAAAACCAGCGGGAGTATCAACTTGACCAAACTGTGACCCAATCACGTGAGGCGAGGCCTGTGCGGCTGCATGGCTTTTGTTTGCCTGCCAAGTCAGACTTGACATGCCACCCTTTGCGCTTTTGGTCTGGGCGAGGGGCGTCAGACTTTGCGTCAGGCTTGGCGGCAGACTTGGCGGCAGCCTGCGCAAAAGCCTGGGATTTGGGAAATAATGTGACCAAGGACCTTGAGCATTTAACAGCGCGGGCACAAGCTTGCAAAGCTGTGACCTAAGCAGCGGTCCTCCTTTTCGGAAACCTGCAGGCAGGTGCGCAGGCATGCTGCACGGCCACTATTGCCCTCGATGCCCTGCAAAGATCACGGAGTCTGTTAGCTGAAGCAGTCTAGGGGGAAGCGCATCCATGCCCTGTCTGTGCCTGACGATGACGCATAGGAGCACTTGGGTGGTCCTTTCCTGATTCGCGAGAAAGAAGGCGGGCAGGCACGTGGTCAGTGAACAGTTGAACGCTTTTCCAATTGTTCGGCGTAACCTGTCTGGTGTAAAGATCTCGGCTCGACAGCCCGCCAGAGAGCTGTCGCAAGGATGCGCTTCCTCTTGGGGCCTCGGCTCCGAACCTCGCGATCGTGCCTCACCTGCGGTCGCGTGGGCCAACTAGCCGCCACCCTTCGGCCAGGGAAGGGCTGCATTCCCAGCATTGGACATCGGGCTGGTTTAAGGCAGGTGGGCAAACAATGACATGGTATCAAGCAGGTGTGAAACCCTACAGGTGCAACGGAAAAGGCCACTTTCTTCGCCTGTGCTCAAGCCGGCTGCGGACATGTGTGCATGCGTGTGATTCTTGGTACATTTTCACATCCTCAAGCGGGCCTATCCCAAGAACCACCTTGCTCAGGCAGTGCTGGCCAATCGCTAGGATCTGCCTAAGCAACGTTCTCGTGAGGCAGCCGGCGATTTGAGCGCTTTGCGTCCATCACGAGGATGGACTCCTTGTCGTCCCTCCAATACCAAGCCGACTGGTGTCGTGGATGGTGGTGGATGTCATCTATGCCTGTGACCACCTAAAGCTCTTCCTTCATGACCTTCTCTTTGACGTGGCACGTCATCATTGGCCACGCTTGCGTCACTCGAGCAAATCCATACGCCGTCATTGAAGTTGGTGGGCGGCATTCGCAAGTTGCAGATGTGTAATCATGGGCCCGTCTTCGGCCATGACATTGACATCGCTGCAGCTGAGTTGCGCCCACATCCGGTCGGCGTGTTTTGGCAACCCAGCGTTGTCCGCCAGCTCCACGTAGCATCGTAGTCTCTGTCTCGGTCAACACTGCCATAGGATCCTTGGCGCCTTCTTTCGGTAGCGCCACAGGGTTCAGATTCTCGATGTTGCATAGACCATCTCATCTCGAAGTCCGTCATCTGAGACACTTTTCTGCTCGTACACAACCGCTTTCCAGTCCCAGATTGCGCATTCACCAGACCACACACCGCCGCGCATACCTGAACGCTGCTTGTAATCGGGAACACCAGTTGGTGCTTGTTGACATTCTTCAGGTCACTCTCATCCAAATGCGGACGCTAGGCTGGAGCATAGCGCTCCGCCTCCAGATGACCCAGCAAGACATGGCGCGGTGCGACACAATGCTCCTGAGCCTGGCCAGCAAGCATTGGAGTTCATCAAGATCTCAAACTCCCGCGACATGGCCTCACGAGAATGAGCTTCTCGCTCAGCTCCTTGCCTGACTGCTTCGCGAGGAAGACCGTCTTGCCCGACATGGCAAGTGGAGACACGTCAAGCTTGGGGATCTCTTTCACATCTCGAGGTCCAGCAAGGACCGGGCATTTGGACTTGTCGCCCCAGTCGTTCTAGCCCACACAAGCATGTTCCTGTCATGACGTTGGTGCTGTGGAGACAACATCGCTCTCAACATCTTCATCTTCATACACCAGCACCGAGCCTCCTTCTGGTGGCGTCACCTCATATCTGGGACTGAAGCTCCTCGGACGTGGCTTGTAGTAGAGCTTGGTCACAATGTGGGCGACGCGCGGCTGTAGTTCGCGGGAGACGTCCTTCTTGCCAATGTTCCGCGCATCCTCGTCCGCTGCATCTGGTTCCTGTCCCGTTGCCGCGCTGGCCAGCGGCTGCCCCCGCGACATGCCATGATCGGCCGACATGCCGAGCATTCCGCCATGCCGATGAAAGCGAAGGTGCCAAAGTCCGCACTTGCCCAAGAAAACCCAATGGCAGGATGCCCAACCCGGCAGGATGCAAATGACAATGTCCGGAATCCTTCACATTCGTAAACTTAAAACTTCCTTGATCCTCACTCCTCTACCATGTAAAGCTCTAAAGGTGCAAAGGAAAAGGCCGCTTGTTTCGCCTGTGCTCAAGCCGGCTGCGGATAAGTAGACTATGATTGCGTGCGATTCTTGGGCAAACTCCTACATCTTCACAAACAGGAAAATGGCTGTGGCTCAAAATTCAAGAGCTAGGATTACGCAGGTGTTAGTCTTTGGTTCCATTGACCAAGGTGCCAATTTGGTACATGTTTTGGAACGACAGCCAAATAAACAAGAAGAAGCCCAAATGCCAAAAGGAAAACTAACAACCAAAACAAGCCAAACGCCAAGAAGCCAAACGCCAAGAAGCCAAACGCCAAGAAGCTGCCAAAAAAGGCAAACCGAACACCCAGATACAGAATGACGAAAGTGCTGAGAAACAATTCATTTCATGTTCAACCTGCATATTTGTGTTGGCTGTGCTGTGTCATGAGCACCGTCCTCATGATGATCTTGTGGCTTGGATATTGCCGGGTCCTGCATCCAGCCAAATCTGACTAGGCACCTCTTGCAATGCATCCCCCACATTTTTAGAGTACCCCCAGGACTCCCATTGTCTGTGTGCCAGTCGGTTTAAAGCCCATTCTGAACCAGAGGGGCGCACACACAAGGAGAGCGGAGAGCCGCATCTCACTTCTGCTACCGCGTTCTGTACAGCGCAGGGGTCGCTACCTGAAGCTTCACAAGTCATGCCTATGAGCAAGCTGTCGTCCCCGGCGGCTGGAGGGCACAGATTGAAAGATGCTCCAGGCGCGAGATTTCCAAGACAACTTGCCACCTTCAGCGGAAAAGGGTGGAGGTGCAGGCGAAGACAAGCAAGAGGGTGGAAGGATGGAAGCAACTGAAGTGCTTAGGTGAAAGCTGGAGGCTCGGGTGAACGGCTGAGGTGGCGGGTGAATCGATGCTGGCAGGAAGGTGGAGAGAGGGCGGAAACGGCGGCTGGGCACTGGAGAGCGCAGAGTTGAGCATGGAGAGCGGACGCAGGCGACAAGTGGCCAAAGCTGCATTGCGGAGAGAGGCAGCTGGAGGCGAAGGCTGGAAAGTAACGAGGGGCGGCGATCCACATGAACACAAACACAAACACTAGCACACACGAAAAGAGACAACACAGAGAGAGAGAGAGAGAGAGGGAGAGAGAGCGAGAGAGGGAGAGAGAGCGAGAGAGATAGAGAGAGAGCGATAGCGAGCGAGTCCGCACAGGGCATGGAAAGCCTGAAAGGAGCTTTCAGGAAACTCTAGACACATGGCAAGATCAACATGTTGCTCGGTCCTCTCTCCGAGCGCACCTGCGCTTCAGGTCCGGCCACCCATTCAGCACCCAGGTCACAAGCATGCTATATCTTACTTCAGATCGCGCAAAGCTGCCTATCACGCTCCTTTGGACTGCGACTTCGTGATCTCAGCACCACGTGGCCTGCAAGCCCAGCCGGGCAGCTGTTGCACCTGTTTCGCGCTCAGGCTTGGGCGATTTAGTCGTTCACGCTCGCCGAGCAGTGTGACGCCTCCCAACAAATCAACCGTCAACGGTTCAGTGCATAGCACAATGGCCTGCCGACGAGTCTGGTTTTGGTGCAGACTCGCGACCTCTCAGAAGAGCAACGAAAAGTTCGGATCAGATGACCGCCTGAGCCTCGACGATCATCAGAGCCAAGCGCCTGTGAAACAATCACTTGCAATAGAAAGAAGGCGACTCGATGGAGAATGGAAATTGAGCACCACCTCCTCTCGTGCCCCCTCTGCCTCACGCTCAGAATCTTGAGCATTTCCTGGGCAGTTGCGGCTGTGGCCCCTCTTCCTTGAACAGTGCCTGCACAAAGCCTCGTGAGTGTGCATCCCGCGCCTTCAGCAGTGCTTGGTTGGCCCGATTTCACTTGACATGTCGCAACGTCATGCGCCAAATCTGAACACTGCCAGCCTTCCAGGAGCTCGACTCGCCCTTACCAGAAGTCCGGGTCGCACGGGTCGCACTATTTCATAAAGACTCCACCCCATGACTCAGCATTTTGAACCTTTCCCCCGTGAGTGCAGCTTAAGTCCAGCGCGTGTCGAGGCAAAGCCCCGGTAGCGCTGGCAATTGGTGGAGCCTCCACTTCCCTTCTTTTCGGCCTCAGGCCGCATCTTGCTACACGACTACACAAAAGGCGAAGTACTCAACCCAGAAATTATCTGAGATCCGCTGCTCAGCTTTCGAAGAAGAGCCTGCAGGGCGCTGAAACGGTAAATTGACGAAGAAAACACACATGCCGACAGCGGCCTCGCTCATCTCTTGCTGGTGCGGGGGCCATCAGCTTGAGTGCACGAGCCTTGGCAAGCAACATTCCTCCACCAGCCCGAGGCCCATGCATCGCCCGGGCCTTTTCAAAAATTTCCTCGTCAATGCTAACAGCTGCTGGTCTGACGCCTCAGTCTCGTTTTGTGGCAAATTATGTTGCATCCTCCTCGCCGCAAGCCCCGGGCCAAAAGTCAAATACCTCAACAATGATACCTATCTTCTGCGGCTACAGGTGCAAATTGAAGACTTCTCAAAAGAAACAATTTCGGGCTGCAAACTGAAAAAGGCTGCCAAGTCTTCCAAGTCCGTTGCTCTCTTGCTTCTCGCGCTCCACGCCGCCCTGCATCAACTGCTGGACACATTTGGCCGCAGCCGAAAGGGTGAATCATGACGTTGCCATGCTAAGCCCTCAGCCTCGCGAGAGTCTTGAAGCCTCGCATGCCCCACGAGTCACACACTGGTCTCCCAGGAGCAATGCTTACAAATGCGAGTGGACAAACAGCCGAAATGCCACCAAAGTACTGGTCACCCTGTCCAGCGCGTGGGACCTGAGCGCTGTGCGTATAGCGCCAGTCCCAATGAAAAGTGCCCCGAAGCGTTCCGATTGAACAAGTTTGCTGAAGTGAAAACGAAACGACAAACAAAGCACAAGGTTTGGGCCGTGTCTTCTTTGCTTCCTCGCTTTGGGCAATCTGGGGCTGCAGCGTCTGACTGCCTTCGGCCTGCGCATGGCATCATGGAGGCAGCTCTTCACCCTCCCCGAGTTCAACAGGCAACTTTTCCGAAAGGCTTGGCTGGCTGGCTGGCTTGGCCCTGGCCCCCAGCCAACCCCTGGCTTGGCCGGACCCACGGACAGCCAGTGACACATCTGCAAGGCGCCTCGACGGTTGAGCGCTGGCTTGCTGCCCGCGTCTCAGAAGGCAACGCAGAGCATGCGGCTGCCAACCCCCCGAAAGTGATCCAACATCTGATGCCCACGCATCGATGGCTGTCGAATCTGAGGCTTGGGCGAGCAAGTGGGTCACTCGCTGCCTTGCTGTCTCTCGTTTTCTCGCACGTTTTGAATCGGCTCATATTCTGCCTACATTGCTCAAGAATCAGCACCTCCCATGCTCACTCCCACCCATGCTCACTCCCGCATGGATTTGTTCCTGCAACGCCTTCTCTGGCTTGGGGGTCATTCGCTGCTTGCGCAAGGGCAGTCAAAGACAGCATCAGAAAGGACAATTCCTCGCTCCAGAAGTTTCTTGCCAAATGTGCCAAAACTCTTTCCCCAAAATTGTCGTGCAGGGCCTTTGCCAAAAAATGAGCACGCAACAGGCCTCCCTCCACAACACTCGCTTGGGCGCTCACACGGAAATAGCTCCAAAGCAATCGTGGGCAGTGCGCGTGGAAACCGGCTGTGGGAAAACGCCGGCCAATCTCCCGCTGCTTTGTTCGGTCCCCGTCACCCCCTTGGCCGCTGTGCTTTGCCGCAATTCGTGGACATGAAGCTTTGTCAATCTGAACGCTCTGGCGACATTTGCTTTACCGATCTCACCTCCTGAATCTTGTTCCCGGATGCCCCCGCCCCCTTTGCATTCTCAAAGCATGGCCCCAGTCAGCCTCGCCGCGCAGCATAGCGCAAAAGCGTGCGTTTGGTGCGCGAGCGTCCAGGTTTGCGCATAAGACGCGAAGCCCGGAGAGTTTCCCGCGGGCTTCAAAAATGCAGCCCGTGCTATCGCGCATGGACTCCTGCAGCTCGCGAGAAATCCAGCACAGCCAAGGTCCCAGCCCTCTCCGTGGGTTCCTGGACAAAACAAATCCGACAAGTTTGCCTCTCTCAACACTCGGATTCCAACTTCAGGTTGGCAAAGGAGCAAATGAGTGCCCAGGTTTTGTATCAAATGCCAGCAATCGCTTTGGGGATTGCTACGACTTTCGGCCTCCCGAGCTGCCGGCACCTGGGGACAGCTGTCACAAGAATTCACTTGCATGCATAAGCAGGGTACTCAGCCGGTCACAAAATTTGAGTCTGAACAGGTTGCCAAAACCATCTGGACACAATGCAAGAGCCATTTGGAGGGATGTCGCCTCAGATGCCCATGCAGGTCAAACAGGGTCCCGGCATCTCTGCGGGTTCGAGCTGCCCTGGAGGCCTCAGCCTAGGTGACGCGCATGTGCCACAAGCTTCCATTTGGGGTGGTGTCCTTTCAATCGTCTTGCGACTTGCCGTGCACCGGTCCCTTTGATAACAATCCAAAACCAGATCTCAGAGACCTGCAGGGTCGCGTCGCGGCCTGTCTGCCCTAAGGGGCTGACGCTTGACTCGCTCAGCACTCAGCTTCTCTCATTTTCCCCGCCTTCTCTCAACCGGAGGCTCTTGCAGATGTGTGGCCGATGCTTCGGGTCGTCTTTCAGGTCTCTCGGGCCGTCTTCTCTCTCGAGCGCCTTGCGCAAAGGCCCATGTTACACAGCCAGCTTGAGAGCTGCGGCCTGGCCCCTCGGACTGCGGTGGCACCGGCGCTGGTGCAGCTCGCGCCTGACAAGCAAGCAGTGTCTCAGGTGCTCTCGGTGACCTCACAAAACTTAGCAAACCACGCGCAAGCGCAAGCCAAGAGATGGGGCGTTTGACCAGCCTTGTCCGCAAAATCTGGGTCGAGTGCATTTGGGGCACTCCGCTCGCCTTGCGATGTCACTGCCATCACCTACTATGCCGAGTCCGCCATGTCATGTTGCTTCTCACGTAACGAGGCCGGGAATGGTCAAGCATGGCCCGTGAAGGCACACGCGCCGCGCAAAGCTCGGCCTAGGCGGCCACCAACGCCATCCTGCAACAAAGCGGGGTTGGCATCCATGCAAATGGGAAAGGACGTGCCCCCCCCCCCCCCCGCATTACGCCCTATCTCACACTTGAATCTGCCTGCGCAGTGTATTTGGTCCATCCAAACCCCTTCCGTTGCCCGCCTCAAAGCGTGGCCGCTTCGCACTCCTCGCATGGACTCTTGTGCAGCCCAAGGCCAAAAGTGGACCAAGCCGCAAGACCTAAACATGAAGCTACTACAAAGCTACTACAATTTGATGAAAGTATTCTGAAACTGCACTTGGACGTGGACGCTATAAAAGTTGGACGCGCATGCGTGATGTCGACTGCTTGGCCAAAAACAAATACAGCCAAGACATGCATGGCGGGTTAACGTTCGAAGCACCTTCAAAACTCCAGCGCAGCCGAAGGGCGGCATTGCCTACTAGAGTAGAAATTGGCCATACTAAGCCAACTTTCAACACATACACACACATGTACACCTACACACAGGTACAGTGTAGGTAGAAGGTTCGAGGGATTCTGCGGGCACTTGCGTTAGCTCATCATACCTCAATAGCTGCTCGACACAGGACAGCCCCTCAAAGCACTGGGGGAGCACCGGATTGCTGGACGACTCAAAATTGGCCTATGAGTCTGTCGTCAATTCTTCCAGCCACTAACAACTCAAATTGCTCATTGGGGAGCACCTTCTTCATTGAGAATCTCCGGCAGCGTTTGGGGGATAGCCCCAAAACAAGCAAAAAAGTCATGCCTCTCTTCCTGCGGCTCCGGGACCTAGGCCATCGCAAGTCATGGCAAGTTGTGCCAGAGAGCTCTTTGCAGTGCTGCGGCAGCTCCGTCAGATTTCCGTGGCCCTTCACAGATGGATTCTTTGGGGCTGACCTGAGACTCTGGCCATTGAACCGCCTGCGTGTCAGGTCTCCGGTTCAAGAACTGCTGCAAGAGCCGTCCATGCCGGATTTTTGAAACAAGGGTCGAGAAACCATCCACTTCTTGCGATTGGTGATCCTCCCCATGGCACGTCCAAAACAAAGCCGTTGAGATTGAGAAGAGAAGTTGGGGCTCAGAATCAACTTACACACCACAGAATCCTGCACCAGTTGGCAGGTGGAGCATTCCACTGAGTCATCCATCTCAACTGGTGCAAAATGGATTCTGCTCCAGATCGCACTTCAGCAGCCCCTTCGGCAAAACTGCGCCTGGCCAGCCGTGAGCGGCTCGCTCCATCGCGTGCCCAATCGCGTTGACCGGGCCGCTTCGAGCTGCCTCGGAAAGCTTACATGCCAAAAAGGTTGGAAGGGATGCTAGCATCAATCAAGAAGCAAAAGATGGAAAACGAGATGCCTGGGAATAGGAACGCGCAAGGGACAGAAGAAAGACTTCAACCTAAAGAAACGCAGAGAAAATGAGCAACTGAGCGCGAAAGTCCTTGGGACTGGAGCAACCAACTAGCCTGAAAGAAAGCCCAATGGCTAATCCCAATGCACTGCAAAAATGGTCCCACTCCTTCAATTTCTCCTGGCCTTTGCTGCAGAAATTGCACCGCTCATTGCGCAGGGAACTACCGCCAAGGGGCGCTAAGGTGGCTGGCAAAGGAAACAATCAGGCAAAACAATAGAAAGGCTTCGAGCGTTGTCAGTTGTAACTTGGTTTTCTTGCGCACACCTCGCAAACGTTCAAAGTTTCAACCATGCGCGTTCAAACCAAATGGATGAAGCCATCTCAGCTTCAGCCTCTTCTCTCTCTGCGATTCCTTGCCCCCAGTTTGCCCGGTGCCGTCTCCTGCAGATTGCCACACCAACGAGAGATGATGGGAAGGGGTTTGGATTCAAACATGAGAAAGGCACACCGCCCTCTGATGTAGAAATAGGCTGTCATGCCCTCATGTCTCTCACGATCTAACCCCTCTTTTTGGTGGCAAAACTGCAGCAACTCAGTGGATCACGTTGAGAACATCAAGGGCTCCGGCCAGAGACCTTGCCAACTTGGCTGACTCCTCGGCAAGGACCAGCATGTAAAATTGGATCAATGGAGCCCCGAAGGGAGAAACAAACAAAACACACACACACACACCCACACACATAACCTCATCCTTCCCAAAACATGTCGGGCTCCCTGTCTTAATGCGAGATGGGTGACCCCCCATTCTCAGATGCAGAAGTATGGGTGTTCCCTTTCTAAACCGGCAGCAACCCTCACCTTAGTTTCCAGGCCAGCCCAGTTGCCAGGGCAGTATTGTTCTTCCCCCTTCAGCATCTCACAGCGGCTTGAGCTTTCGTTCCAACTCCCATCATCTGTTTTGGCTTGGGTCGATATGCCGAGGTGCTGCGGAAGCTGCTGCCAACTGCATGGCCTGGCTTTGCACCGCAGCCGCCTGGGCGGGGCAGCCGCAAACGGTCCTTTTGATCAACGCGCGTGTTGCCGGACTCATTCACCGAGGGATTCATTTGCCCGGCGGGCAAAGAGGGCATGTGACTAGGATCAAGGCAGCAGACTTCGCAATGGCAGACTTTGCCGCAGCAGACTTGGCGGCGGCCTGTGCAATGGCCTGCAATATGGAAACAGCTTGTGAACAGTTGGGTGTGTTCATAGGGCCCCAAACTGGGTGGGGTCCATTTGATTTCTCTTCGAATCAATCCCTGGAAACATGCCCAAAAGGACAAGCCGAGTTGCTACCCACTAGGCCATCCCAAGGCAACCTCACATTTGCCCATTGCTGCTTGCCATGTCTCCCAGCGCGCCTCTCTTTCAGACACCTGCAGGAGCAGCTATGCAGGCATGTTGCATGTTGCCCTCAAGCCCCCTCAACCAGGAAGGCTACAGCTGGAGCCCAACACGCACCTGACGGTGAAGCTTGATCGGAGCACTTGCGCGGTCTCTTCCTCATTGGCAAGCTCTTTTTGACCGGAATGGCCAACGCTCAAAGATCTATCATCCCAACACACGAAAGGAGCGGTGCACGCGTGACAAAGGATGTCTGGGCCCCCAGCTCCTGATACATTCACGATCGTGCTTCACGACCTGTGCTGTGACTTGCTGCTGTCCTTTGATGACCAAATCATTCGCCCAGCAAGCGACATCCGATGCCCACACCAACACTCAGAAGCTGGGCAAATGACCCAACGCCAGGTCAAATTGATGCGGGCCTTGGAATAGCACATGCTTTAAAAAAAGGCGGTGACCTCAGACGCCCAATACTGCCAACACAGCTCACTCAGGAGGCCGCTGAACGTGAGTGTCTCTCTTGCAACACCTGAACCAAAGCAAGTCCTCAAAGAAGGCCGCGAACACACATTGCATGCTGAGGTGGGTGCCGCGTGCATGTAGTGCTTCTGAAAAAGGCCTGGTAGGCCAGGCTGCATCAGCATAATACGCGCATGCGGCACATCCGTTCTTTGCCGCGGCACGTCGCACTTGCACAACGCGATTTCTTAGGCACGCAAGCTCTCAGGTACTTTCATCTGGCAGCGGCTTGCGGATGTCCACCCACACATACCTTGCAGTGCCGCACTTTTTTTGTTGAACTTGCTATCAAAGAACGTTTCATCCTTGTGGAATGTGCATATGGCATGATCTGCAACCACCAGAAGCCCCATGGTTCATCTCACACGGGCCGTCGCCCCCTCGCAAACAGCACCTCTCTTCCCATGCCCCGTCCCGCCACATGAATTTCGGATTGTTCCAGAGGGCGGTACTAACCAGGAACGCTTCTCCTGTTAGGAGAACTGTCCGCCAGAATCCGAAGAAAAGTTCTGATTTGCCCAACAACGTGACCAGTGCCTCTTGGCTCTGAATGCTCTGAGCCTGTGGACTCCACGGATCCCTTCGCACCCAGGGCACTCCTCCTGGCCACCAGCGGGATGGGGGCGCCGGGCCGCGCGAACCTCCGCCGCCACTTTCGAGGAGAGCAGCCACTCGGACACGTCCACCCGCAGCGAGGGGCTCCAAATCCTCGCGTGCGAAACTTCAGTCCCTTGGAATGGTGGCCTGGGTGGTTTGGTGGCTAGGGGCGGTTTCCCCATTTGCCCTCTACAAGAAAGCACACCCGCCAAGGGCAACCTGAAAGCTGGTATCTTTTGGTGGTTTAGTTCGGCGTGTTGAGATAGGCTGAGTTGAGATAGGCTGAGTTGGTTCAGTTGGTTTGGATCTTGTTGCTTGTTCATTTTGTTCCGGATCAGTCCACCGATTAGAGTTTGGAATTGCTTTGTGTACAGACATGCTCTCGTTCAAGGCCGTGAGAATGACATCAGAACTCCATCAGCCAAGAAGCAAGAAGTGAGGCCCGTCTGCAGTCTCTTCCACATCGAACCTCATTTGCTGCCCAAGTCTTGACACGTCAGACACATTGCAATTGGTGCAGGCACCCATGCCATGTACGTCTGAGCGTCGCCCACTGGTGAAGTCCCAGCTGGAAGTGACCCGCAACCCCCTCGTTCCGCGCATGTCGCAGCAGCACCCAGCCGCCCGGCCTTGGTGAAACAATGGCTCTGTGCCCCCAGTGTTCCCACTGAAAAGCACCACACCAAAGACCAAATCACGGGAATGACCCAAGAAAGAGATACTCAAAATCACTCAAACATGCCATTTAAGGAGCCCTATGTCACTCCCAGCAAGTCCTGACATGGGCGACTCAGATCCAAGGGCGCCACCGCACGACCCAGAGGAGTTTCAGGATCCCCTGCAGAGGGTCGTTGGCGTGATCCAGGGAGTTCCTCGGCAAATGAGCTCCTCGACCTATGTCCGATTTCCGAAAATTATCATGCAGACGAGCTCCTGACGTGCGCCACATCAAAGTGGTGCCGAGGAAAGCATTCATGCAACGATTCGGTGGGGCACTGAACGGGCACTGCAGGAGGCTCGTGTTGCAGCATGTCCTTATCTGTTCACCAAAGCTGAAGGCCCACCAAGCTTCAAAGGCAAAGCCCGTGCCAGGTCTTGCAACACATGCGATCCAGGCTCGAAAAGCTGCAAATAGAACCTGGCCAGGCCATCCGTAGCTATGACTGGCACGGCTCTGCCGCAGTCAATGTGTCCGGGCGCCAAAGGGCCAGAACCCGCATTCAGCACCTGGGCGTCGACTCGCGGACTGGGCAACCTCTGCCCAATGCGAAAGCCTCACAGTTGAGGCCGGGGCACGTGGATGGCCGTAGTCCTGCAAGCCCCGCGCGGCCTCCAGGAAGGCGCAGATGTCCCCGTAGTGCCAGGACACAACACCTCACGTTGCTCGCAAAAGGCCATTCTGACTGGTGAACCGAACCCCCCAGCAAGTTCAACTGCAAGCTGGGGCCTCAAGATCCTCATCTAAGCCCATGCCACGCAGGCAACCCTCTCCGAGCCGCCGTCCCGCAGCCAGTCTTTGGCGGTCTCCCAGGCTGCCGCGTCCACCTCCGGGTTCTCCCGGTTCGCCGGGTCCAGCAGCGCGTGCCAAAACCCCACCTCCGAGTCCAGGCCTCGAAACCCCGAGCGGCGGCCCCGGGGACGCTTTTGAGCGCGCGGGCTCTGAGGTTTCGGCCCCTCACCCATCGGATGAGCAACCTCGCACCCATGTGGACGAAATCCGTGGCATTTACGGGAAACCATGGGACGCCATTCATTGGCATTTACGGGGGAGTCATCATTTTAGGTGGCACAGGATTTCGTCCATCCACAGAAGCACTTGAACAGTATCCTCTGGCAGGTGTGCGCATGATCCACTGCTCTCTCAGGCTGGAACCTGTCCAACGTGCGGCACACTGACCCCGCTTTTCCTTCTGCGGCCCTCATCGATGCATCGCACGAGAATGGCATGGTGAAGCGCGGCATGCGGCTCCACTGGAATGTCATCTCGTGCCCTCCATGCCGCTGCGCATGCAGCCTGATTTGCATTCCGTTTAGCTCCAACTTGGTCCGCTTTTTGCACAAATTCAGGTGCATGCATGCTGAAACTGATTCTAAGGAGCGTCGCAGCAATGAGCTCCATCCGGTTCCTTGAAACCACCAGCTTTGAGAGAAAAGAGAAAGGCTATGGCAAGTCGCAGCCAGCAAGTAGCGCCAAGTCGCGAAAGAACTTCTGCCACGGAAAAGGGCCAGTCAGATTCTTCCAGACAGTGCACCACATGATCCAGCAAGCGCACAGCATAGTCCATCCTCAAGCGAGATGGTCTGCTTTAGATGGTCACACGGCAGTCTGCTTGAAATGGACTTGCTTCCTTGAATTCTCACCACTAGGCCACAACCAACCAAAGTGAAAGCCGACAAAGGGTCCAGTTCAGCGGAAAACAGTCTTTCTGGGTTCCATGTAAGCGGGTGAGAGTACTAAGCACAGAGATTGATCCCAAAGCACAGGAAATCACGCAAACCATGAAGCCATGAGTCAGAAGCCGAACGTCAGAGAGGTACTTCTCATCCAAATATGTTGGCTGGGCATCAAGGGTCTGGCATCGGCCACCACTGCGGTAGTACGTGCCTTGGCTAGTCGACTGCGGTAGGACGTCAAAAGACGAGCCCGGCGCAAAGGTCCCTCTGACCCCAGCCGAGCTTCTGTAGCCTTCCGCTCTTCCAGGGGCGACCAGCCTCGGGTGCTGATATCGCATGCCCCCCAAGCTCTGAAGTCACAGCAACTGAGTCCCTCCATGCGGCTGGATGGCTCATCGACACCGGAGACGCACCTGTCCTTGAGGTGGCAGCCAAAAGGTCCGTGTGCTACGGAAGCGCATTCCTCAGCTGAACCCTGACGTCCCACTGTGCGCCATGCAACCGTCAGCACAAGCACAACTGCGACAAGGAGCCTCACACTTAGCAACTCAACTGCACCACCTGTCAAACACCGCTGTGCTTGCTCTATCCTGGCCTTACTTACACACACACAGATATACAATATATATATATATATACGTGTGTGTAATAGATATATATATATATAGATATATATATATATAGATATATACTTGCATATATGTGAATAGATCTCTGTGTGTGTGCGTGCGGTACGTCTCAAGATCTCACTTGCTGGAATTAGACTTCAGCCCAGGCATTGGCCTCGTATTCATCAAGCAGCTTGGTGCTCCTCGCACAGCCGCAAGCAGTCGGCCGCAGGCATCGCCTCCAGCACATCCTCGAGGCGCAGCTCAACTGGATCTACCGGGCCCCAGATCACCACAGGGTGCTTCACACCATTGGCCCTTTGTGGTTGGCCAGGAGAACCAAAATGGAGACGACGCTTGATTTTTGTTGGCCCGCTTTGGCAAGATCTCCCTGTCTGCTTTGGCGGGCATTCTCTGTGAAAGTGTCGGGGCAAGGGGCGCGCACTGCGGCCCCCTCGTCTTGAACGGGTCGCTCTGTTCGCCGCCACCTGGAGATGTTCTTCATCTGCCTGGGCTTTTGAATGAGCAGCCGGACTAAGTCTTTGCCAGACTGATTCAGTGCTGGGCATCTTCCTTGTGCAGCAATTCCGCATGTCTTCCCTCCAATGTCCACCAAAACCGCCCCCTCGAAATCCCCAAAGGGGTCCGCTGCCTTCACTCCGTTGACCTTCCGACCCCCGTAACCCGTGGCAGCGAGCGAGCGGCAGGGCGGCGGATTGGCTGCACACTGCCGCCACCGCCAGCAGCCCAGCGCCGCAGGGGCCCTTGGTGAGCTGAAAGCTGACCTCCACGAGGGTTCAGAGGAAAAAAACAAAAAACAGAAGGAAAGAGATTGACTTCTGTATTTTGTCCATCGCAGGGAAAGATTTGGCACCCAATTCCCACTGTGTGCAAGATACACCTCGTGCACTGCAGCTCGAAAGCAGAAATGCCCCACAATACATGCCCGTGCCAACACTTCAAGCAAGCCGACGGCGGCATCCCGGCACCTCATCCAGGCGGACAGCCGCAAAAAAGGCCGCATAGGTGGAGGAGCATAGCTCATGCACCCATGGCCTTGTGGAAGGAGAGCAAAGAGCAAAGGAGGACTTGGACTTGGGAGGACTTGGACAAACGACCTGCAGCTGCTTGTCACTGGGGCATCTCCTGGCTTGCCCAAGTCTTTCTCAGCCTGGGGCTGCCGCCCTGAGAAGCTGGGGTCAGCTCGTAAGTTCTCGCGCAGCTCTGCGAGCAGCTCGGGCCACGCCAGGCCAGGCGCGGCCTGGCGGCTACTCCCACGTTGCCATGGAGAACTGTTTCCTGGGGGGGTCCTGGACAACTTTCTTCTATTGGGGGCCCTCAATGATGCTCAATTGACTCCGGTGGTGACTCCCGTGGGTTGGTTTCGCGATTGGTGCCGACTGACATTCCGGTGTTGAGCAGAGGCACCCCACAGTTGCACTCGCTCGCTGGCAGAGTGTCATCCAAGAGCGCATCGCTTTCCTCGGTGCGAAGCTGCTTGCCTGCCTGCTAAGCCGAGTTCGCAGCCAATCCTTGCAGCTGGGCTTCCCATATCCCACCGTACTTGGAAGGGTTGGAGTACCTCAGTCGCCGCATCCGCAAGGTTTATGCGATGCAAAGCCGCAAGAGCCGCAGCTAACAATAACTTCCACGACCCAAACCACGCCGCAGCAAAGTCCCTGAAACCCGATGAGGTAATTCCACAGCAGTGAGCGCACAAATGGCCAGCACTCCAATCCCAAACCCTAAGCTGAGCCTAATCCTGCAACTCCCGCCAGCCCTCAATGCTAAGCCGATATCAGCACTTTCTAAATCCTTAGGCCAAAGGCCGAGAAATTGCTCGCCATGACCCTGCGAACACTGACCTACACCTCAACCGCTTAACGCCTCAGACCTTCTCAAGTGCATGAACCCAACCCTGAAATCCTTTCGCACAAAACGTTACTACAAACCCTCCCGACGCCCTTGCAAACTCTTTTAAGACTTTTGCACCTTGCAAACCCAACATCTCGAACACGCAACTAGAGCCACAAAAAGACAAAGCCGCAAAGGCACAAAATCCCAAACCCTCAGACCCTAAGACCCTAAAATCAAGTGCAAGCCAGTCAATGCTGTTGCTCCAGGAGCTGCAAACTGCGGTTGTCGTGTTCAAAACTCTGCATGCTAAGGGATGAGTACTTCCGAGCTGCAAGTATGCAGTGGCACTCAGAGATGCCAAGCCAGCTCGAAGAGTCATGGCGAGGCGTTCTCTTGGGGCCTCTGAACCGCTACATGGGCACCGTGCTGTGGTATGTGCCCAGTCTAGGTGATTTAGCCTGGACAGTTTGTGGTTACCACATCAGTCAGCTTGGCCGCTCCATGCCTGCACATGCACCTCCATTGTCTGCATGCTAACTGTGGGGTTGATAGAGCTGGCTCACAGCTACGGGGCATGCGGAAGCTGCATGACAGCAAGGCAGTGCCCAAGCAGTGCCATCCGAAGCTCCTTGCCTTCCATGGTGCACAAGTCCCCATTCGCCAAGGCCAACCTGGAGGCATCCGCCGGGCCAATTGCAAAGCGTCTGACGATTGTGCATGCCACTCCAAAAAAAAAAAAAAAAAAAGATCCAAATGCTGCGTCTCCAAAGGCTGGCGCCTTGTCTGACTCATTTGGTCATCGTTCGGCCGTAGCACAAAGGTGCGAGTCTCGGAGCGGAGCGAGTCTCGGACAGTTCCGAGCTCCGTGCTGCGAAACTGAGAGGTGGGCTGCCCCCAATGATAAGGAGATGATTAGCGCATCGCAGCGCTTGGCATCAAAGCACGGCCTTGATTGCAAGGCATCCTGGACCCTGTGGCCCCGGTCACGCGCACCTTGTGTTTGACATCCGTGCCCCTGCCCGCAGCCAAGGTCGCAGCTCGTCGTCTGCATGCCAGCCGACGGACTCCGAACCATCCTGACAACCACGTCTGCAAAGCATCAACCTAGACAAGTGAACACAAGCACCTGCCTCATACAAATTGGCATTGCAAGAGTTTGGTCTTGTAGTCACACCGCAGGCACGGCACACCTAGGCATGTATCCGCCCGGGTCGCAACTTAGATGCAGCAGCTGCGGGCTGCGGAGAAATCGCGACAGCAAATAAGGAATGCATCGACGCTTGCTCTCAAGCAGGGGCAAGCTTTGGGATGGGGGTAAGCTCATCTAAAATTACGTGGCTGTAGGGTCAGGTTTGGGCCGACGAAGGACCCACTCGGACACAGCATGGAATGACCAGTGACAGCTATAGATTGCAGGCACCATATGGCGGAGAAACGCTGGCCTCGTCCGTGAGGTCCAAAAACCAGGGCGGCATAATCATGTTCGGCCACTGAGTGCCGCTGTACCGGTACCTATGCATCACACCCGCGGGTCCCCCACAATAAGCTGCCCAACCCTGCGCATTTGTGGGGGCCATGTAAGGCCCACACGTGCAGGAGCACCCATCTGCCTGACCCATAGCTCTTGGAGGCACTCATGCGAATTGAGCTGGGACCCGTGCGGTGAGCCAGCACGCGCTTCGGGGCAATGGCCTGCCTTTCACCTGCGCCCATGCCACAGGTGTCGCATTTGGAGCCCCGATCCTTGCGCAGCCTCAGGCTTGTCCCATCGGAGATCGCTGCGAAGCCTGTCAAACCTTGCACTCGGCCAAGTGGCTACCACTGGAGGCCCTTGAGTTTTAACAATATTCTTGCCGCCCCCCTTTTTAGCAAGCTGCCTGGCGCTCCTGTCAAGAGCCAGCACCAACTTCCGCCTGCAACTCGGAAGCAGGTCGGCTGCTCGCATCTGGCCAATCGTTACCGAATGGAGCTCTGGATCGTATCCACTGCATTGCCCACTACCTCAACAATGGTGTCGAGGAAGCCATCACCTTGCGAAGAGTTTGATGCATTTCTCGCTGCGGCAGATGCGTTGGATTCATTGGCCGCAGCTTCTGGTGCAAAAATGCTTGATGCCTGCGATACAGCATCTCCCACTGTATCGCTCACTGCGTCTGACAGCGTATCAAAAACGCCCCCGAATACAGATGAGTTTGATGCATTTGCTACAGACTCTGATGCGCCAGTGCTTGATGGTGCGCTACCCACAGGATCTGCAGGAGAATCCGAAAGACCGCCACTGCTTTGTGAACTAGCGCGCGACTCCCCTGCTGGCACAGTTGTATTCGGCCCAGTGCTCGACGCTGTGCTTGATGCTGTGCTCGATGCTGTGCTCGACTCGTTCCTTGATGTCTTCGATGCGGTGCTGGGTGCGTGTACTGTGCTGGACGCATTGCTGGAGGGCATCGTCTTGGTGGAGGAAGCTACGTCAGTGGCAGTGGCTGAACTTGGTGTACTGGACTGCTCCTCGGGGGGCCAGCGGTCCGCATGCCCAAGCCTGACCTCCGCATTTCAGACCCATCGAAACTATAGAAACTTGGTGTCCCGAGTCGATGGCAATGGGTCTTTCTGGGCATGAACCTTCCTCCAACATCTCCACATGCAGAACTGAAGGCTCTAAGCACAGCCATCCTGGACTCAAATGGGATGTCAAGTGCGCCTTGCGCCGTTTCAGTTTCGCCTGGGTCTCGTGGGGGGTGGGGGTGTGCTTGCTTCAGCATCCCCACTTCGTGAACTGCTCTGCTACTTCTTGGTGGCTTTGGGGTGTTGCTGACTTGGTGTAGCCTGAGACTGAACCTGTCGGCTCCGCTTCTGTTTGTCTGATTTGTGCGTGGAGTGGATCATTCTGATTCTTGGCTAAGGCGTCCTTTGTTTGCTGAAACAACATCCCCAGCATTACCCACTTGGGGAGATGCGGGCTTGAAGCGCACCAACGGGAAATGAGCTGCCTACGTTACTCCATCGTCAACTTGGGAGAGTATGTAGCAATTCACTCAGCAAAATCAGTTTGTTTAAGGAGGCCGGATGTGCATCAGCTGTTAACCCGTCAAGCAGCTTGATGGTGGCTCGTTTGATGCAACCCAACCTAGCTTCTGCAGCTTGGCTGTGGCCGCGCTGGTGAGAGCTAAAGCAAGCAACCGAAAACATCTTTCTCAGCCCAGTCCGTGCGAACATCCACCGTTGCATTGCCAGGTCTAGCATCGACTGCGTGCGCGTGGCCCTGGCCAAATGCAAGTCAGGTCACAGCTGCCTCATGATTCTGACACACATGTTTTACATAATCAGCCACCTCGAAATTTCTCACAGAGCATACAAACAAGCAGGGCTACAGGCTGACAATGCCGTCCGACATGTTGCAACACTGGCTCTGGCTGGCCTTATTGGTGCCCCCGTGAATCTCATTGTGAATATTGATGACGATCTGCTTTCCATTGCCACCGTCACCAACACTGTCACTGCTGCCTCTGCCGTCGCTGCCGGCACTACTGCTGTTGCCACTACCGGCACCGTCGCTGCTTGAGATGGCTGTCGCTGCAGCTGCATCAAATGTGGCAGCTCCTCTGGGCGTCTCCCCTGCATCTACTGCAGCCGTGGCCGCCCTCGATACGTGCTCGGCAGCTGCCGGTGCTTGGGCAGCCTCGGCCTGACCAGCATTGGCAGAAGCGCTCCCGGCCGAAGGGACCTGTATCGGCGCCAGGCCCTGAACTTTCGTTCCTGCTGGCACAATTGCCAGGGGAACGAGTGGAACCTGCATGGGGTACGGAGGCGTCCAAGGGTTGGTCATTGCCCCTGGCATTCCTGGCATTCCTGGCATTCCTGGCATGCCTGGCATGCCTGGCATTGAAACTACGATCGTAGCGCCTGGCGGGCCGGGAGGCCCTGGTGGGCCATCTGGGCCAGTAGGCCCCTTGTCGCCTGGCGGCCCATCTGCCTCGAGCGGGTCACTTGGAACCTCAGGGCGCAGCTCCCAATCGGTGGGCGCAGCGGCAAGCACTGCAGCCGGTGCTGGCGCCGGTGCCTAGAGGACAACTCACAAATTTGATGCGCCGAGAGAAGAGATGTGGCAAGAATACTCTATCCCTCCAAACCTTGCTTGTGTTTGCCTAGTCATCGAATACCCGCCTACCATCCGTGCGTTAACGGCCCAGCCTGTGCCAGGCTTCCACGCAGCTGGCTCGGGTCAATGGCAGTTGCGCGGCAGAAGCTGAGGACGCCAAGCGCCCACAGCGTGCGACACTTCATTGCGGCCCGGTCGCCCGGTAACCGGGAACCATCTTTGAGCCAAGGCTCCTGGCTCGGGAAACACCTGACGTGAGTCATGCTAACTGTGGCCTTGGGGGTAAAAGACTGTCGGGCACATGCATCCCCCTGGGAGTCGGCCGAATGTGGCCCAAGTAGTCTGACGGACTCGGGTCCCGGCCACTCCTGCAGTTGGGCCTCGCGGAAGGCCCCGCTCCTGCGGATCGGACCAAGCTTGGTCGAGTAGGCTTCAACATTGAATGATCGATTTTCAGACTTCGACTGTCCTGAAAGCAGCCTACCTATATAGCCCATAAGGAACGGCTGTTTGGCCATGGTTCCCTCAACCGGTTGGGATTGCTCAGCAAGGGTTGTGGCCAACAAATGACCTCTTCGATCAAAAGGGACACAAGGCCCCTAGACCCTGATCTGCGCGGGACTCTCCAGCAAACCGCACACGCGTCTGTTTCGCACCCTCAGCTAGGATCTGTTGCGGAATCACACCACAAGCCGACGCAGCATCGACCTCATGTTGTCAGCGCCCAGGAGAATCACGCTGGCTGACAAGCCGAGGAGGGCAAGGTACACGGCGGAGCACACCAGACCTGTTAGGACAGCCGTGTCCACAAAGCGCATTTGCACCGCCAGTGGATCGTTGACGTACTGCACGAACATTTGTTTGCTTGAAGTTGCCATGCCATAGGAGGCCTGTTGAAGCCTCACGGCAGCCTCAAGACCCTTCTCACTGGGACCTGGGAGCATATCTGCCAGCAAGGGGGGCAGCACATCGCCTGGCTCTGGTCGCACCATGCCGTACCGTGCGGTCGGCTTCTGCGCATCGTCGCAATGAAAGCTTCCACGAAAGCCGCAGCAATTCACACCAAAGGCATACAGGTTGATGGGGGTGTCAGGCTTCATGGAAGCGTCCACCACTGGAGCCACGCAGATCAAAGCACCATCCGCCGCCGACTGGAATCCAACTGAACGGCTTGTGTCCACCACGCTCCCAACGGCAAAGCTCACAATGCCAGCATCCTAAGCTCCACTGGCCAGCAGCAAGGCAAACCACCAAATCCGCTCACGACGTTTACAGGTGGTGTTGAGGGGGACATGAAGGCCAAATCCTAGCCGTACACACAAATGTTGCAAAACCCTTCAGCCCTTTCGAAAAAGCACAACGTTCCAGCAGGAAACACGCCTTAACTTCGACCAAGTCAGTTCTTGCCTCCTGCGGTGTGGCAATGCTGAGCAACAAACAATTTAGCAAGGGTCAAGAACGGTCTCGGCCGGCTGCGATGGGACAACGCTGGTGTAGGTGGCAGCCCCCTTGTAGTGGAAGAAATAGACCATGCTCTTGTAGTAAATGACGTATCCTGACAAGGTCTGCAAGCAACGTTCATGCAACTTTGACTCGATGAAGCAGGCCAGGGCTGCCCACTACGAAGCCAAGTAGTGTAGAGATCAGCATCAGCTTGCCCAGCCATTGTTGCCATGGCTGCTGCTTGTAGTTCTGAATTGCCTGACGAGCGATCCCGCCAAAGGCAGACAGCATCAAGGCCCCTGGGGCGCCGGCCCAAAGGCTGCAAGCAATGGAGCTGGCAAGAATCAGAGCCACCAGCAGCCCATGCCAGTAGTACAGCCTGTTGACAACGAAGATCATCGCCTCAAGCAGAACCAAAGCAGTGAAACGTGCAATGGAGGTCTTCGACAGAGACCCTGGCCATGAAAAGTAGCTGCGGCGCTGGAAGAAGCACGCACCTCGGTTTTGGCAAGCATTGAGATCCAAGAGTTCATGTCATTTCATGTCACAGAACGACATGTGGTAGCACTCCTGCACCCAAGCCACAGCCGCCATGCAAAGTTTCTTGCGTCAACGGCAGACTGGTAAGCCTTCCGAAACTCGCAACAATGGCAGCGCGGCATGCATGTCGAAATGGCATCCGCTGCGAAAGCATTGTTGCAAAGGCAGCACTAGGTTGAAATTCCCCTGAAACTCTCACGTCCCAGTGATGCCACCCTCCTCATGGGCGGGCTGTTGGATTGCGACCCTTGCGACGCAAAACGAGCCTTCTGCTTGGCCGCCACAGTGGCAAGCTCTCTGCGGCCCAGTTCTGAGCAAGTGGCTTCGCCGACATGCGCAATCCACTGCTTGCCATCTGCGTCCCCATTAGAGTTTATAGCCACGGGCCAGTCCTTTCTTGTGACCTTGCGATTGGGAAAGCCACTTGCAGCTGGGGTTCTACCGAGCAAAGGTCGGGTCTCATGATCATCCTCGCGCGCTTCGAGGTCCATCAGGGCCACCTTGCGGTAACCGGGTCATGCCGGAAAACCACATGGAATCCACAACGCCAAGTTGTGAGAGGAACCTCCTTTTGGTTTTGGATTTGAACCGAGCGGCAAGCCAGGCAAGCTACCTGGCCAGAGCCAACTTCAGTGGTACGGGCGAACTCCCGCGCGGGTTTTGAGCCACTTGCGCGGTCTGCGGCAACGTTCGTTGAACTGAAGCAAACGTTTCAGGGCTTTGGGGTGGCTCTCGCACCTTCACACAAAACCAGTCGCGTCCTGTAGGAGACAAAGCTCCGGCGATGCTCATCCGAGACGACCTGAATCCATTGGCTTGCAGGACCTTAGTTGAAACAGGCAATGAAATGCAGGAACGCAATGTGTCAAAGTAGGGGACCCTTCTTAGTGGTGAGCTTTGGTTTCCATGGAATACGCCCAAAACAGGGCACCCTCGAAAACACGAACCGGCGAAGCTCGAAGCTCGAAGCTCGAAGCTCGGGCCGCTGCCATTCGCCATGGCGATTGGCCCCCGCTTGCCGAAGAAAATCAGCGGAGCCTGCGACTCGGGAGCCGACGTCGCCCGCAGCTCCGGAAGGAGAGTCAGCTGTCCGTGATTTAACGGGAAACCTGGGAGAACCCACCGATTTGTTTGGGGTTCCGAAAAGTTCTGAAGCGAACCCATGTCCCATCATTTCCCCTGCCTCCTCCAAGCTCTTTTCCAGGGCAGGCGCGTCCTGCAGACGTCGCGGGCGGCTCCTGACGCATTCACATTTCAAGAGGTTTTCTGAATTGGTGCACGCTTGCATAGAAACAAAGTTTGCCCCTCACTCCCGCTCCTTGGCCGGCTCAAACCTTGTGCAAAACAACTGGCAATGCCAGGCAAAGCCACAGAGGCGTGCCCAACGCTGAGTGAGTGAGCCCCAAAGGCTGAGCTCATTGCTCCTGGCGGTGACAGTCCTGGTAGTCGCATTCCCGGAAGCTGGCCTGGCCATGTGTGCTGCTCCCGAATCCCGAACTCATGCGCCTTTTTAACTGATCACCCTGCCTAAGCCTTAAATGCAAACCGTGCCTTCGCCCAGGCGATCGATCCGCTTTGCTGCCAGACCGCTCGCGCCTTGCCGCTGCAACAGCCCCCTACTCGCTTTGCATGTCCCACTGGTTTGGCAAATGCGGCCCTCAAATCCCAAGCGTTCACATCAAAGCAAAGCTAACTTCCCCTCCTTCGTCGGCGAGGAGATCTGGAACGCTTCCTGCGAGAGCGGGATCTCTCGCGGCCTGGCAAGCGCAAAAGGAGCGGAGCGACATCCATCAAAGTGCAGTGGCAATCGGGTTCCGCATGCTCTCTGCTCGCGCTTTTCCGCGCCCCTGTCACCTCTCAAAGTCGTGGGCTGCGTAGGGCTTAGCATTTTGTTGCTGCCGTGAACCAGCAAACGGGGGCGGACAATGACACGACTATGCCAAAACAGCATGCTCTGCGGTCATGAACTGCTTGAGGTGCTTGATGCCAGCCAAGTCATGCGTCCTCATCATAGTGCATCCCTCTGCTGCAATGCCTGGGAGCAGCCCCTCATCCTGATCTTTTCCTCTTGTCGCGGCCACAAATGGCAAAGCTGCACCAAACCAAACAGCCGCACAGTGCACCGGCTGTGGTCGCGACGCCCGCTGAGCTGATGACCATCTTTGTCTTGGTCACCTTCTGGGTGTAGCCAAGCCAGGCCCAAACTCCGCCGCAGCCCCTTGCAGGAATGGTGGCCGTGACAGTCTTCGGGGCCGTGAGGCCAATGGTCGTGGCTGTCATCCCCGCGGATGCCACGGAGCTCAGAAGCGCCACGTGCCCACTGACCCGCCGCACCTGCATGCTGCCGCCGCCGCCCCGCACGCACTCGTTGGCAAAGGTCTCACAGTTGTACCACAGCAATTTGTACCTGTGGCCCTGGGCCAATGCCGCCTCTGCCCGTGCCAGGCACTCGGCTGCTTCAAGGGGCCTCTCATAGAGAGAATACTTCTGGAGCTGATCCTCCGCAAGGGTTTTTTGGACGACGCCACCTGCGCGGAAGGAATTTTCGATGATTACGTGACCGTCGGCGTGCTCCTTGTAGATCAAGTGGTGGTCATACAGCTTACCTCCCATCCGTCCGCCTTTCTTCCACAAATGGTCGCCAGGTTCAAATTGCATCAGACCCTCTACGCCGCAACCTCCTGGCATCAAAGCTCCAGAATGCATCGGCCAGGTGCAAACAGCGCATCATGGCATATGCTTTGAAGCCAAAGAGCCCGTCAGCGTCTGCTGTGCTCCTCACGTTCCGTTTCAATCAGCAGAGCTGCTGGCCTACCCTGCTTACATGCCTTCCTGCTCGTCCATGTGGCTCTTCTGGCAGAAGGAGGGTCTAAAAACTCTAAATGAAGGAAGGCGCTGTTCTCAACAAGCTTCTTCTGGCGGGTTTCCACTTGTTCCTTGTCACGATTTCAGAGTTGAAATGCCAGTAGCTTGCCATGTGCAAAAATCAGTCAAGATTTAAGTGTGGGACCCCTTGCCCCTTTCAAGAAGCTACAAGCCTAAGGATGATTGATGTGCCTTTGCAAAGGGCCAAGGGGCCCACCTGCCTCATTTTAACCGCACCTTTTAGCTAATCGTGGCCCGCCCCAACTGCACCAAATCCACAGCATGCCGGACAATCGACAGGTTGAAGCAGATTTGGCCTCTCTCTCGTCCACGTCGAGAGGTGTCGCGATGATCTCTACGCCTGTGTCTGCAGAGAAAACTGCCACAAAACCACCTATTTGTTCGCACGCATCTACGATAAGGGGGCTGTTAACGGCAGAGAGCTCGAGCTTCCATCCCTCTTCCAAGCAATGTCCATGCCAATGGACTCGCCACAAATCCACAAAGGCAGGCCTGGACATTGCAGCTTTCTGCTTCTCCAAGAAGCTCCTGGCACTCAGCAGCATTCTAAGCCCCAACAGGGAGCGAAAGAGAGAGAGAGAGAGAGAGGGAGAGGTCACACCTGCAAAGGCCAGCTGCTTGCAAAGTAGGCAATGGAGAGAGGCGCGAGGGCAACTCTGATGCAATAAAAGCGATGTTCTGATGAACGTTCCTCATGAGAATCCTCATGAGATAGGATTTTGCCATATTCTAAATTCCCATGTTTGCGGTAGTCAGACACCTTTGGGTCCTGGTAATCAACACGGCTGTCAAACCCAAAAAGCAGCTGTCAAAAGCAAGCACAAACAGCGCTTGACCAAAGCAATCGACAACCACGGTTGGAAGCACATGCTTTGCAGGCTGCTTCAGTTGATGGATCCGAAAGACTGCTACGGCTGGGTTGGCGCAAAGTGCCTTTGCAGGGCGTCGTGGCTGTGCTTTTGGGTGTTGGTGGGTGTCGGTATTGACAGCCTGCCTGCCTGCCTGATTTCATGTGTCACCCGGTCTTGATAGTTGCCAACATGGCCAGAAGAACAACAAGCCAGCACTCTGTTATCTCCCATACTTAGGCGCAAGCGCAGCTTTGGCCACCGCGGATCTCAGGTCATCTTGGGACCTCATTCAGAAGCCAAGCAGCTCACCAAGAGCCCTGAAACTGGGAAAAACATCTCCAGGCCCGCGGCAGCTCTTGTCTCAGATCCCGATGCCCTGACGCAAGCAGAGTTGCTCTCATGCCAGTCGCTTGCTACCCTGGCCTGAGTTCAAGGGAGCCCCGACTGGACCGCCGGCCTGCGCTCAGCTAGAAAACGCCATTGGCAAAACAGTGCCGCCGGTGTAAGCTGTTGGGCCTGCACGCCTCATTTCCGGCTTCATCACACAACCATCAACCTCAAACCACTTACCACGGCTGTACCTCTGGCACCAAAAAATTGGGCATCTGAAGTTTTCCAGCTCGCCACATCTCACACGCTAGTCAGGTGGAGAAAGACTGCCCTTGTCGGAATGAACTTGCAATGCTGACAAGGCCTATGGCACCAAATCCATCCATCCCAACTCCAATACTCACCATCCTTGGGGCGTTTCGCAGATGGAACGTATCAGTACCACAACCTGTTCGCCACAAGTGGCCATGGCTTCATGGATTCATGGTGCCGCCGGATGTCAGGTGCTGAAATTGGCCCCCAGACCCAACCCGCCTGATGCCCAGCTCCGTGCCCGGAATGGCCGTGGCCGTGCGCACCCGCGCCGTTGCCGAGGCGCAGGAGCTGCTGCAGGGACCTCGTGCCGGGCTGCAGGAGGGCTGGAGCTGGAGGGATGCACCTCCCACCCGGCCATACTGTGGACGAAATCCGTTCGCACCACTTCGAAACCATGACAAACCATGCTTTGTCATGCATTGTTGGCATTTACAGGGGAAGAATCATTTCTAGGTTTCTTTAGATGGTGCAGGATTTCGTCCATCAATAGTATGGCTATGGCTCAACAACATGTACCAAAATGGGCGCCTTGGTTAATGGAACCAAAGACTATCATTTGCGTAACCCTGGCTCTGTAATTTTGAGCCACACCCATATGGTTGCAACCAAAGCGGAAAGCCAAATGCCACAAACACACAGCCTCAGCCACAGGAGGCGTCGCCCTGAGTCTCGCGCATCGCCAATCGAGGCGACTGGTTCTACACATTGCTATTCAAGTAGCCCGCTGCCTTTTGGGCCAAATTACGGCCGTGCAGTTGGCGGAAAGGCCTGCTGCGCAGGCACACGCACCACAACTCAAACCGTTGAGAGCTGACTTTGCACATGCTCGACCGGTCCGGTCCCATCCTTTCGAACTGCCTCCATGCAGCAACCTGAGTATAAAACCAGCCCTCTAGCGCTCATACCTAGGCGACTAATCGCACCAGGCCAGTGGGTGGCCGCTCTGAACCAAAACCTCTAGGTAACAGTTCTTTCCTGAAGATCATGAACGTCACTCAGCGGCATGCCATAGCTCCATGGGCTGATTGCCAGTGCCACTTCAAAAACAATCCGATTACGCAATCCTACTTGGAAAACCGAAAGCCTCGTCAGTCGAGATCCTTCAAGACCAGGGATGGACGAGAGGGCAGTCACGCCTAGTATCCCTGAACCGCTTGTGTCGTTCGGTCGGGGAATGCTTCATCCATCCTTAGACGATTGCCGCATGGACCACCACACGCAAACTCAAAATCGATCATCTTGAGGAGGGCACGCTCGATCCGCCCAGTACCGAATAGTGTCATCAATCTGAATGAGGTCCAGCTCCTCCGCCCAAGAGTCAATTCAGAAGCTTCCGGAAACCCTCTTGAAGGTACACCGCTCGGGTGTGTGTGTGTGTATCTGTGTGTTAGGGTGCCACTTGTTGGGCTTGGCTTCCATGTTGTTGTTCTCCCCTTGTCTCTCTCTCTCTCTCTCTCTGTCTCTCTGTCTCTCTCTCTCTCTCTCTCTCTCTCTCTCTCTCTCTCTCTCTCTCTCTCTCTCTCTCTCTCTCTCTCTCTCTCTCTCTCTCTCTCTCTCTCTCTCTCTCTTGGCACGTCACAGAGACTGTGGGCGACGGGAGGCGTCGCCTGCTCGAAGACCTTCTTCACTGACTCCAAAAGCTCTCGCTCAGCTCGCCGGATGTCATCCTCGAAAGCATCAAGGTGGGGCACGAGCGCTGGCCAACAAATCTCCGCATTGGAAGAGGAACGCCAACAGTTGACTGGGAGATAGCTGGACAAGCTGACAAGTTCACCAAACCTAGGGCCAGCACGGCGGCCCTGGCAAGATCGTGGTCAGGTGCGTCGCCTTCCGCCTGCCCGTGAAGCAAGGCGCAATGAAAGAAATACCGACACCTGTTTGCCTAAGACCTGAGCAGCGGCCCTGGCATCTGTTTACAGAAGGCCACGGCATCAGTGCTCCTCAAGCTCTTTGCAGGCGCTGGTTTGCCCTCACTCTCTTCTCAAACAATGTCAGCACCCTGTTCGGTGCTTCCTCGAAAGAAGCGCTGTCGAGTACCAGGCGTGATTCACCCTTGCAGCATCGTACCACTTGCAGAACAAGTCTTCCACCAGGCTTGGGGCAGCCTGTGCAAACATGAAAGCTGTTGTCCTACCCCAAGGCTCCTGGGTTGGCCTTCAGCCAAGGACTTGTTCTTTGATCACGAACTTGAGGCGCGTCCGGGGCTCTAAGCAATGACCACAGCCCGTCTCCAATCAGATGGAGGACTCAAGGCCTTGGATTTCAAGGCCACCTGGAGCACCCAAAGGCCAAAATGCACTAAAGAAGCCGCTCCACCCAGCGCTTTGCAAAGGTGGATGCAGTCGGTGAGCTTTGTGAAACGAAAGCCGCGCTTCGCCGCTTAGCCGCTTAGCCGAGCCATGGATGCGACAGCACCTCACTGGTCTCCGGCCTTTTCCCTGGATCACCTGCCAAGAGCTTCTCCAGCAGGTCCTCAGGGCTGACATCTGGGTGGTCAAAATCAAACCCGGGGACAGGTCTTGGTCCTTGGTTCCATTAGGGTTCCAAAATGGATACTCGTTTTTGACCCAAAGCCATCTCAAAGCCGCATCTGATCACAACGTGGGTTTCTGGGGCAATGTGACGGCGGGCTATCTGGCACTAAGGCAGCCACCTTTGCGTTGTCTGATAGCCTGACAAAGCAGAGCAAGACCGCACCCGTGCCAATTTGCACGAAGTCAAAGAACGTAGCAAGCTCATAGATTTGTAAACATGAATTGGCCCACAATCGAAATGTGGCAAAAGGAAGCCTGCGGAAAAGTGATCATTTGAAGAAGCCCCAGCTTTGTCAAACTGCCACTTCAGCATCCAAAGCAGTCAAGATGCGGCTCGTAGGGGCCAGCTTTGTAGAACCGCCCCTGCTCTCTGGCCTCTCGACCATGAGATGTCTGAGCGTCATCTGGGAACGGCGGAAATCCTGTAAGCATCACAAAAAGGGTGCAACCGGTCCGCCACATGTCGGTGGCCACACTCGGCACCAGGGACGGCGATGCGCTAAGCTCTGGGGGCATGTACCTGTCGTGGACGACACATGCTCGTGTCTCACCCTCCTGGACGAACTCGTTGAAGCAGGAACACCCGAAGTCAATGAGCTTTAGATGTGCCGCCCCCGCATCGATGTTGCCCAGGACCATTGCATTTTCGGGCTTCACGTCACAGTGGATGACATCATGGCTGTGCAAATGCTGCAGACCTTCCACCAGCTGAGCAAACAGCGGACGTGCTTGGTCCTCTGCAAGGGCACGACCACGTGAAACCATGATGTCAAAGAGATCCTTGCCGGCCAGCAACTCCATCAGCACAAAAATCGTAGTTTCTGATTCAATGACGCGCTCGTAGCTCACAATCCTAGGGTGCTTCCCTATTTGCAGCTTGTGCGCGTAAAGGTCGTGCATGATGGCGCGCCTTTGGCTCGGATTGCTCATTGTGTACATCTTCAGGGCAAACTCTTCGCCGGTCTCCAGCTCTTTGCAGCGGTACGCACAGTCCCGGCCCTCTCCGATCTTCTTCTTAGTGGAGGTCTCAAACAGCAGCAGCTTCCCCTTGTCGATGGTGCCGAAGGTGATGGTGTCCTGAGTGCAGTCTCAGGCGTTCACTTTCGCGCACCCCGTGAAGCCTGAGGGAACCACAACTCGCAAAGCCATCCAAGATGCCAGGCAAAAGCCTACGTTGCTCTTGTGGCTGAACCCCTGCTGCGCGCCGTGTTTGTCAAACTTGTTCATTCCCGAGCCAGAAAATGCATCCAAGCCTGCGCAGGCGTGGATGCGAAGCTCAACTCATCTCGCTGCCCGAGCGTTGCAAGACTCGCAGCCGGCCTTTGATGCAAGTCATCATGCCGGCCATCTTGGATTTGACGTTGTTCGACTGTTGCATCGCCTCCAAAAACCAAAAAAAAACTTTCCTATTTCTGACAAAGCGGGCCAAACAGCCACAAGCAACTCCCAAAGTGGAAGGATGTGAAATGCGAAACAGCTGGTGGAACAGTTTTGCAAGCTTGCCACAATGGAACACCATGGCGTATGCAACCCTGGAATAGTCCTGAGGCTTTTTCCAGCAACAAAACCTCCGCACAAAGCAAAGCAGGAACTAGCCAGTGACAAAGCCTTCATCCCACGCACATGGCACCTGGAAGGTCAATTTCATCTGGAAGGGACCCATAGACTACATAGACGTATAGGTGCCACAAAACAATGGCTACGACCCTACTGATACTGAGGGCATGTAACGCACGACGTGGCACGTATCTTGTTGCGGAGGCATATAATAGGGGTGTAGGTATGTAGCAGTAAAACAGCGCTGGACACTTCCGCAGCGCCGGCTCGCACGCGAATGCCAGTAGCACAATGTAGCACAGAACAACAAAGTGCATTTCTGCACCTCCACCTCCCCGGTACCTGTTCCAACTGTTCTCTTCTGAGGGGCAAGCTCTCTGCAAGTTGACTCTGCACTGGTAATTGTGTCCATCGAAAGCATGTTCGGCAAAAGTCTGCTCTCCAGGCACCCATACAAAATCACTCAGAGTCTGGGTATGCATCGGGCTAGGCAACGAGGGGCGAGGGGGCATGTAACGAGCCAGCAGCTCTGTTGCACAACCTGAACATAGTTGCGATGTCTTTCTCAAAGGCACCCCCCTAAAATTGTGTTTTTCCTTTTGGCTTCCCCCCAAAAGCAAGTGACCTCCAATAAAGACTGGGAGAGTGGGGTAGCCTTCGCGCCTCTTCGGCGGTCGCCTGCCACTTGGACACCTCCGCCTGTAGCTGATCTGTGGCGCTGCGCTGTTGCTCCACCACCTCCTGCAGCCGACTGGAGAGTCCTCAGCCGGACGCGACATGGGCCTTTGATGGGCGGTTGATTGCCGTCACACGCTTCCTTAGGCGCCTCCTGCCGCTCAAGTAGCCAGATTCCTGCTTGTGACTGGGGCCTCATACTCTTTCGGGCCCCTTGCAGCCAAGAGTCGGGTCAATTCCTCTGAGCTTTCTGCGGCAGTTGTTGGGGAGCTTGCTTCAATCTCGCGGATGCTATCTTCCAACTTCACTCGCTCTGCAGACAAGTTCTCTAGCTGGTCGTTGAGCTTGCTGCACTTCGACTGCATGCGATGGAACTGAACCGCTCCTCGAAACGAGCTCTGAAGCCAACGTTTCTCCAGCACATCAGACTGGCCCACAATGTAGTACAAACCGACCCCTGCCACACTGCACAGGATGAGGTCGAAAATCCAGCTGCTGCCAGAAGCTGCCAGAAGCTGAATGCGTTCGGACACCGCTGGCAAGCCAGAAACGATGGTCAAAATCCGCATAAGCTCCACATCATCGAAACCGTCGCCTTCATCATCCACGCGGCCAAATATTTTCCCAACTTGGTCCTGCGTACCAGCCAAACAGAAAGGCCCCGAACCAACGAAAACTAACGGCTACCCACTCCTGGCTGACATCAACACCATTCGCCTGCAGCAGGGATGCCAGCTCCTGCATTCTGAAAAGCAAAGAAAAGCAAGCCAAGAAAAGCAGAGCGGGGGAAGCAACCAGCAGCATGGCGCGCATGCTTGGAGTGTGTTGCTTGCCCTTGCTCAGAAGACAGGCGAGGCGTCCTTGGAAGACAAATGCTCATCCTTGCCAACATCAAAGGCCGTCAGGAGGTCATGAGTCCTCTGACGCTCCTGCACCTAGGCGACAATTCTGACAGTGACGGCCCATGACTCGCTGGGCTCGCCTGGTGCCACACCAGGCTGGCCACGCACGCGCCGAAGATGCCCAGCGCCGCGAGCTTGCGGGGCTTCTTCATCTCGCGCGACACCTCGTACCAAGGACTAGCCAGGCCAATGGAAAGCGCTCGTTTCTTCTTTCTTCTTTGCAAGCCTTGAAGTCCAAGTACTCCGTCCAATGCCTACTCCCAGGCTTCCCCAAACTTGCCTAAAACTCCCTCAGCTTCCCTTCCCTGAGCTTTTTCCAAGGCACCACAAGCCTCCCCTGCCTAAGCTTCCCTCAGCACTCCCTGAACCTCCCCAAGACTC